CCACCAAAGATGAACGGAACTTCGTCGACTATTTGAGACCTCAAGGACAAGGTTCGGCTTAGCATAAATTTACGAGGCTGGGCATTATCTATTGTCAACGGGTCAGCCACCGTTCTAATGGCTCCAAAACCATTCCAACCCAAAAACTGCACAGAGACGCACAGAAACTGGCCAAGTGGCCAAGTGGCTCTGGGCCATTTACATAATCTTTGGCCAGCACCACGAGTCGGCTGCCAGAGGCGATTTATTGGCCAAAAAAAAACACTAGACGGCCAGCCAGACGGACAGTGGCAACTCCCAGAGCTTGCACTTAATTATGCTCGTTATATTTTATAACTTATTTAGTTGGACCCGGGAGATGGCGGCGGTTATCTAATTTATGCGCGTTGATTTGATGGCTCACACTTGGATAAATCACAATTTAATAATAGCTCCTCGGCTGGCCAAGGGATTCATGGGGGAAATCAACAATCAATCAGCACGTGTAAGCGTTGTGTAAGAGACTTTAAATAATGTATTAAGTAATTCAGAATGACGTTAGATGCAGAAGCTACGCTGCTAATAACTAACTATTACAGCGAATAAATAAATAACTTAATAGGTAGGAAAGGTACTAAAAAGCAAGCAAATTTCAGATTTAACTTATTATTTCTTATAATTTTATATATTTATAACAAATTAAATATTATTTGTAATTAATTTGAGTAATTTGTGCTTAAGAAATTTCAAAAGCAAAGGCAATCATTAATATTTCTGATTTTTGATGTTTTTATATTAACTTTCAGTTTGCAAATCTAAAATTTCCTATCTTTACATGAATTTGAAGTCAATTAGCTTTTTTCTCTCCCTGTAATACATAGATTATAGTCTGGAAAATGTTTCTTTATAGAAATACAAAACTCCTCATTGGCCTGCCTTTGCATGACTTTCAGATGAATGCCAGTTGCAGTTGCTTTCTAAAATCCCACAGATCAGAGCCAAAGACCCTAATTAGATGACTTCCAAGAGCGGTAAAAAGGGGAAAAACATATACAACCGGCTAATGCGTGTGCAATTAGCATTAACCCACTGCGTTTTTATCACACTAAAAACGCAATTATGAGTTCAGTTCAGCGGGCAGTGCAGCGCCCATTAATTGCCACCAACTCGCCGTAGCCGTAATCATCGTTGCAAAATGTCTCTTTGAGACCAACTAATTAGAGGTTTTGCGTCAGTTGGCGGCTTTAGCCTCAATGACAAACGGCGACAGTTGACGTGGGGCAAGTGGTGGGTGGATGGGTGGTGGTGCAACCAGCCGTGAACGTTCACCACCTCCTGACCAATGAGAGAATGGTTAACAGCCTCGAAAATAATGGGAAAGAAGGCGTAAAGTATTTTAAAACCAAACAGCTAACTAACTAAGGGCTAACTAAGGGGCTCCTAAACGCAAACCTTGCCACATTTTATTTCCCTTTAAAAAGATTTAACCGATATGCCAGTACTTTTGATTTACAAAAGTTGTTTTAAATTTGACCAGAAAGAAAAGGTTTGCTATTGTCTGTTAAGTCTGCTCTGCTAAGATTGCCTTTGTGTTGCAAGTCAAACAAAAATCAAGACAAGACAAGATCTTTAACCTGCCGAATGTTTGGCTGAAAGGTTGCTCTTCCTCAGAAGCTTGTTTAAGTTTCGGGTTTCAAAGGCTCAGAAAAATCTTTAAAATATATATTCAATGCTGCGAATAAACTTAAAATCTTGTTAACACAATTTATAAACCTTCGGCTTTCAATGGCTAAGCCTTGTCAATGGCTAAAACATTTCTAAGAAAACCAAAAACCTTAGTAAACGTCTTAAATAAAACACGTTTAATGTTTGCAGTTTTAGTGAGCTACTTAACAGAGTGATTATTGGTTAGGTTATTATTAAAAACAGTTTATTTTCTTGTTTTAGTTAAGGTTTTTGAACTAGAACTTAGACAACTTTGAGTTAATTGTTAATTTATTCCAATTTAACTTAAACTATTCTCATACTTTATTCATTTTCAAAAATATTAAGAGCCTTCCTACTAATATTGTTTATTAATCTTCATTCGAGGGAGTCACCTTTAACCTTTGTAAAAAGTTTAAGTTGTTTATTTAGTTTCCATTTCGAGGAGAAACTTGAGTTACAAGCGAGGAACAAGGGAAATCCAGTTGTTGCATCTTCAGGCTGCGGAAAGAAGAAAAAAACCATCGATAAGCGTTTTAGGTAACACATTTAAGCCGTGTCTTCTGTTTTTAGTTTGGTTAAATGCAGTTTGATGTTGCCGCATGTCAAATGAAGGTGTTGCCTGCTGATGTTGCGAGTTGTTAGTTGGTGCTGCTGCTGCTGCTGCGATTGCAATTTTGTGCCCTGTAGGGCAGTGTAAATTAGCAACAAAAACGCAATTTTGCAATGCGGCTGGAAAACAATGCAGATTTTGTGTTGTTTTTTATCGGCCACAACATTTGTGGAGATTTCTTTGCGGATTGAATTGGCTTGGCTTGGGCTTGGGCAATCCGAGTTTGTCGCTTAAGTCTTTTGTTTTGGCCGTCTGCGATGATGAATTCATGGCAAATAAGTCAAGGCGGAGGCATGGCTCGGTTGCCAAGCATTCGAATCTGATTCCGATTCCGATTTTAGACTGGCACATTGATGATGTGCTGGGGCAATTGACTCATTAAAATATCAAAAGCCACCGCAGGCATACTGATTCTGAAGAGCAAACTATAAATAAAACCCTCACGTCCCCATGCCCAGTGTATATATTTTTATTCGCATTTCCATAAACTCAAGTGGCGGCCACTTCAGCAGTCACTTGTTTGGCCAGCAAATAGAAGAAGACCCCGTCAGAAATCCATTGTCTTCTCTTAATCAATATCTTAAGATAGTATGTGTTCTCTGCTTAGAGTTGTGCAACATTTGCATTTGACTGGCTGCTGGTTATAAGCCATCCTCAAGTGAATGGAAGGTGATGGACTGCTCCAGTTTGATGGGTTTATCGCCAAGTTGTGCGCTACACATGCCACGATTAGTGGAGCCAACGGAAATCATCTGAGCGTTTGAAGTTGCCAACTGTTATTTATGTTTTTCCATCGGAGTTTTTCACTCGCTGTCAATGCTTTGGAAGACAACAAAGTTACTTTGAGTTGTCACTTAACCGACAGAACTAGAAAAACTCTGTGCTCGTACGTTTGTCACTGCGTCTTGACCATGGCACACATGTGCATGTGGCATGTGGCATGTCATCAGCAACGGTATGGCTATGGTATGGCATATGGTAACACGATCGGCGATTAATCCACCAGCACCATTATTATCGCTGCGATTATTATGGCAGCTGTTGGCACAGAAATCCGTCAATCGAGGCGCCTCATCAGCCCCTTGGCGGCCAAGTCAACCGCAAAGTTATCAAGAAAATCCAAAAGATTATGGGTATATACCTGGAATTGTAGTTAACTTAATGGTAGAGGTTAGAGTTTTTCTGGGAAAACGTAAATGATTTTGCAGGGCATCCTTAAGGTTTAAGATAATGTGCTTAAAAATCATAAATAGATCAATTTGTAAGTCATGAAGCAACCTAAACCCACTTCTGAGAACTGAAACGTTTTGAACTGAGTTGAGAAAACATCTAACTACTATAGAAAGTGATGTATTACACCTTTATCTATAAAATTATTACATAATTTGATAAATCTCAGAGATTTCACATTAACTTCCCCCGAAAGTTATGTAAAATCTGCAGTTTTTATCCGTTTTTGCATACACAAATTTCCCCAAATCAGTTGTTGCATACCAGAAACTAGCCGAAATAGGCCATAAGCCAAAGTGGCACCTTCGTTTTACACCCACGCGGAGTTGTCTTCGATTGGGCAGTTTGCATAGGTAGGCAATAATTTTGGTGGGTTGTATCATTTAATGCTTTCCAGCGAGGTCTGCAATCTGTCTGTGTGTGGCATAAACTGCTGATTGCCACACCAGTGGAAAAGACTAAAACTGAAACCGCAGAGCTGGCAGCAGCCTCGTCAGCAGCTCTTTGTCGATAACACGGAACCTATTCCCTGACGATGAGCCAACCGGCCACTTTTGGCGGCAATGATGAAGCTGTCAGCACGCTGCACTTATCTATCGATCACACACATAACTGCCCAACGGAGCCAGACACAGCCATCAAGCAAATGCATTTTGGGTGCATCATCAGTTTTGGGGGTGTGCTATCAGCGTCTGGCATTTAGCCACGTTACCATAAATTATGTGCCCCGAGGGGGGGGGCGGCAACACGCGTTGCAGAAAAATTATGCAATTGCGCAAAAACCCTTTTTGGCTAATTAATGCAAAGTCATGAGCGAGGCAAAAACGCTTGCATCAACATCAGGCAGCAACAAACAGCTAACAGCCATCAGCCATCAGCCGCACGAAGCTGATTCTTTGCGAGCACCAAACCAGTTCCACTTCCACTTTGCAGCTCCACTTTGCAGCTCCAGTTGGCCAAAGCGGATGCATTGGAGGCGCCGCTGCTGTAAACGCCAAAGCGTAAAATTGTGCAAGCCTCCGCTTTTGTTGTTAAAAATAATTAATAACCCTCTCTAAAACAAACACCCTGCTAAATCTCAGCCTAATGAACTTGCCTAATCGCTTTTTATTACAATCGTTCTATAATGAACCAATTTCCTTAAACGATTATTCTAAAAACTCTAAAAAAAAAAGGAAAACCAAACCAATTAAAAGCCATTCTTTTCCCGCTGCTATGAAATTTTTATTCTTAGTCATAAACACCAATTTACTATAATCACTTTGAAAGAAGGAACTTGATATTATTTTTTAATAAATAATTGACTATTAAACTTAACAAGAAATAGTTTAATTATAGGCTAAAAGCAACATTAGAGAAGTCATGGAAACTAAAAACTTTTATCTATTAGAAATTCTTAAGGAATTTTAAAGAACAAGCTTATGTAAAAGGTATTTTTAATTTATTAAATTATTCATTAAATATATTTTTCCAGACAACAATGCCCATTTGCAAAAGTTCACCTGGCACTGCGAGCAAGAAAACAGCCACGGATATATCCGCCGATCACGTGACGGAAGCTGCCCAGGTGAAAAGGACCCGGGAGCAGGCCTACTTCAACTCCTACGACTTCGATGCAATCGAAGTGCTGCCCTACGACGAGGAGGACGACGAGGGGGGCACCAGTCGGAGTAGAAGCCGGAGTCAGAGTCGTAGTCAGAGCAGAAACGAAAGCAGCAGCAGCCGTAGCAGCAGCACCAGGAGCTACTCGGCAACCAAAGATCCGAGTGCGACCCATAAGTTTGCGTATCTGCAACGTTTGGGTGCCTTTTTTGCTCGAAACGGAAGTGGTGGAGTCGAGTCTGAAGCAGCAGAAGCCGCAAGAGGAGCTGCTCAAAGCGGAGGAAGTGCAAGCAATTTGGCAGCAAAAGGAAAGGGTGAAAACTTTCTTCTTCCACGCGCCATGTTGAAGTATCAAAGGTGAGGATGAAAAACACAATTATTAAGAATTTAAATGCTGAATAAATAATGAGAATGTGCTTGGATTTAGTACAAAGATTAAGGGAAGTTTACGTGTATAAATATAACCCTTAGAAGGGGAAAGCAAGGCACTTAACTTGGAAACCTCCCAAAACCTCAATCTCTAGAAAGCTGTTACCCTCCACATGGTTATAAAACTCTAATATTGAGTGCCCTAACCCATACTAGAAGTAGCTAAGCTGTGGACCAAATTAAACATTTAGATATGGAAAGCATCCATTGGATACCCATCGCCATGGAGCGACCTTCAGCTCTCCAACAGCGACCTTGACTTTAGTGATGGTGGGTTGAGCAGGTAGGGGGTTAGGGGCAAGAGGATAGAGAAAACCCCAGAAAAGGCACGACCGTCGCTGATCGGAAACCCTATTTGTTGTTAATGCAATTACGGACGCAACACTTCATGGTTCCAGCCACTTCAGCAGCGGCAGCGGCAGCCAGCGATATTTTGTAATTATGTTGTTGGAAGCCAATTAGCGCGGCATTAAGCCGGATAGCAATCAGCAGCGGAGTGTTGCCCTAAATGAGGATTATGATTGCCAGAGAGATGGTTCTGAGATCGGCCAGAGCCAATGGGGCAACAGGTTGTTGCTCGCTGCTGCCGCGGCAACTATGTAAATCATGTCTGCAGTGGCAGCGAAGTTCAAGTTGCTGCCGCTGCTGTGGCTGTTGCAGTTGCTGCTGCATCGAGCAATGCGGTTTTTGGCGCCTGTTGTCAGCCTTCACCTCTTTTTCTCTTCATATATATGTAATCGTATATTCATGTGCGATATAAGTGCATATATCTTGTTGTTTTTAGAGAAGCTTGGCAAACACTTGACGGCGGTCATCGCAGCAGCAGCAGCAGCAGCAGCAGCAGCAACTGCAGACAGCTGCAACAATTACGTTTATTAATTGAAATTAAAGAAGCCACCACCAGCAGCAGCATCAGCAGCATCGGCGTATGATCTTCGAATCGCTGAAGGTCAGAAGCTGAGAGCTCGTTTTGGTTTGAAATATTTATCAAAAATACAAAATAAATACTCGAATCGATATATGAGTATGCATATGCATTAAGTCGTGCCGTGTATTGACAGCAATTTCAATTAATTGGCAGATAGTTTCGGTTTGCAACTTGTTTCAGCTATTTTGGTCATTCTCCTTTGGCCAGAATATGGAAATCACTGACACTGGCACTGGTACTGGCACGATGATAGCCATGATAAGATAATGTGCCAGATATATGCTGTCAAAATAGCAAACGATTCGCAGCGGATCAAGGAAAGAGCGTTGAGTTTCCCTTCAAGGCTAACGACGACGAGTATATATAGTATCCCCTGCCCTTTGTCGAAGCCCCCCAAATCGATTTGAAATTCCGTCGACGTTCGGTACTATACTTAATTTGCGTTAACTGCTCACGCATGCTAACTATAGTATAGTAAAAAGTTGAGGGGATTTCGCACAGTAGCTGCTGGGTCTTCGAAGGCGACCTTGGCCAAATGCGATTCCATTGTCCCATCAGTGTCCCCATCAATGCAGTTAGACGGCGATCAATTGTTGATACTCGTCGCTAATTTGTATTCAATTTTTGAGACCGCCTAGGCCATAGTTATATCTCTGGCTTATGCCAAGGTCGGCATTTAGCCAATCCAACCGACCAAAGCCACACCACATCCATCTTGAGCGTTAAGCATGTGCGAAATCGCCGATATAATCGCTGCAATAAAAACGCGTTAGCCTGGCCTAGCTTGGCCTGGCCCATTGATTGATTTGCAATTGATAGACGGCCAGATCGCGACTTAGATGCCGAATTTCCAGTCGCCTGTAATTTGTCTTGGCAAGCAGTCAACAACAATTAGCGGTCACACGATAGTGTTTACTAACGGTCTATAACTGTCCGCATGTCCGTATGTCCGTTGGTCCACCAGTCCACCAGTGTTCCGTGCATGCAAACGAGGCTGAACATTTTAATTAACACAGTTCGAACAAACAAAATAAACAAACATACGGCCCAAGATTGCAAAATATTTCATGAGCCAAGAGGCAACCTTGCCGCTTCTGTTGGTGCGATATATCTATATGGCTGTTGCCACTACGCATCGATGGTCGCGCCACCAAAACTCTAAAATATCCATACCATAGCCACACTACGCCGCCACTGACCGTCGCCGACTTATCAATTTTTGGGTGCGTTACGCACCGAACTCACCGGCCGCCATTCGAGAACAGTTCGAAAAGCTGCAGCCACAAATATCTGGTAGCAACAACCGTTATTACGCAATTTTCAGCGCTCATTCCGTTTGGCCAAAAGCCAAAAAGTGAGTGACCTAGTGCCAAGATGTAAGTACGAGTGGATAGAATTGAGTCGCGGACTAGTTGCCGATCGTAAGTGAGTTATTAAAGCAATGCCACTGGCGCCAAGCGGCGGTCAAAAATGCAAATCTGCCCCAGAGAAAATGCAAATGCCGTGCGATTAGAATTTCGAATCATAATACTTGCGTGAAGGAGCAATCAATCAGTGGGGCATTTTATGAAAAATAAATCCCTGTGGGGACCAGCATATATTGTGAGAAATAGTATTGACTTTTAACCATAAATAATGTATTATATAAATAAATATATTTACCTTAAAGGTAGCTCTGCGAAAGACAACGATTAACACATCTTTAGGGCTTACACAATTTAGGATTACTGCAGTGATTGATGATGCGATTGAAAGGGAAAAGATAACTCAAAATGAATTCATTTGAAAATCCACACGAGATAAGGATCTGAATATTTTATACATTTTTTGCTATAATTTATTAGTTAGCCAAACTAACGTAAACGTAATAATGAGGACAAATTTCAAAGATCAAGGGGTCTGCAGGTAGCAGTACATCACTGTGTTAGATAAAAGATATAAGATGGGTTATAAATATATTTAATATCTAAATAAAGTTATATTATAAAACCAAAATAGATTTAATCTGATAAGAAACTGAAACTGCATCTTAAAAACTACAAAACGGATTCCAAAAAGATTACGTTTTTTAGCTGCTGATTTCCCCGTCTTAAGCCAGAGAAATTTAACTTTATCTGACTATGAAATGAAGAGATATTCGCAAAGAGATGGAAATATTGACCCCATAAATTTCTTGAAAAACAGTCAGTAGCCATCTGCACAGAGTTCGGTGAAGTTTAGTGCCCTCCACAGTGGAAAGCTTCCGTTCCATTCAATTAAGTTTCCATTTCATTTCGCTGCACTTAGCAGGCCACCACCTCCTACCATCCGCTGCCATACGCTACCATCCTTTGCTAGGCAAGTCATCAGGCACCGGCAAATTTCATGGTTCACCAAAAAGTTGGCCCAAAACTTAGGCACACATACACTAGGAGGCAGAGGAAAAACTAACAAAAAGTCAGCCAAAAGTGACTCAAAGCCGTAGACTTCACTGGCATGCCTAACTTTACAGTTAGGCAGTAACATAAAATAAGACCGAAAAACAGGCAAAAATCAAACAAACCGAAAGCTAACCGAATTGCAACAGTAACTGAAGCCGAAATCCTGTTTAGAACGAGTTTATTTGAATTGAAATCGAATTTGTATGTTGATGCTGAATTTCTAAAACACGCTCTCAAATGTTTGCCTATATATATATATATAGTATATAGTAAGAACCGAAAGTGATTGCCCAGAATAAGTGTATATTCTGGACATCCGGGAGTTAGGGAGATATTCCACGGGTATTCCCAGTTCAGCGCTTTGTCGATATTTGCATGTCAGCTGGCCGAGAAAAAATGGAAAACGTAAACAAAGCGACTAACCCAGTTAACCAGTTTTCGCTTTCGGCTGTGAAGTTGTTAAGCACTTACACCATGGGATGAACTTAAGTTACAAGTTATTCACTGACAAGCTCATTGAATGTGTTTCCGATAAGATTACATACAGATACTTAGATACATACGAGTAGATACAGATAATGAAATTCTTAAAATGTACTTTTTTGCTAACCTTTTTCTAAGTTTTCTCAATAGAGTAATAAGTGGAAACCCAAGTAAATATTAAGCCTCATAAAGTCCACGATTTCATTGAAAAATTGTTATTTTTACCCATAGTACTTTCGTCGTTTCCCAGTTGGCGACGCATAAACAAAACGGCGATTGCGAAAAACCAACAAAAACCGCTTTCCAACGTTAGGTTTCCCTTTCGTCCGAGTGTTTTTCACCGATTTTCATGACTCTTTCTTTCTCTCGCTTTTCCCGCTCTCATTGCAGCACAGCGACAACTTCAGCCTCGCCATCGTCCACATCCACATCCACATCCACGACAGCAACAACAGCAGCAGCTCCAATGCCATTGAAGAATGGACTAGGCAGTGGAATGGGGAATGCAATTGGTCACGACCAACAGCTGGAGGTGACCGCCGGCGTGGGGGAGCGCAGCAAGAAGTGCTCGATAGCCTCCAATGTCAGCAGCACGCATTCCGCGGATTCCGGACTGCCAGTCGCAGCAGCAGCAGCATCAACAACAGCAGCAGCAGCAGCATCTGCGGCAGCAGCAACATCTGCTGCTGCGGAAAACCAGGTGAATGAGACGCCGCGCGGCGGTGGCTCACACTATTCGACAGACAAAAGCGGCTCGTCCGGTTATTACAGCTCCAATGTGTGCTCCACTTACTCGCTGGACGAGCACATCTATTGCGAACCGGTCATCGATGTCCAGGAGAAGATCAAGAGTGTGGCCGCCAGGCAGAGACAGCGACCGCCTCTCCAGCTGCCAACGAAAGTGGCGGCTCCGCAGGAGGTGGCATCGATAGACCCACCAGAAGCCACCGTTGAAAAGCTAACCGCAGTGAAGAGTCAGCGCTCGGACATGCAAGATGCAGCTGGAGCTGCCCCAACGAATGACCATCAAAGCCAGTCAAAGGCCGAGGCGGCCGAGGAGATGCATCACTACAGCAGTAAGCTACGCATCCTGGAGACGAGCATCGAGAATCTGGACCGACACCTGAAGACCTTTCCCTGCCTGTACGCCCAGGATCAAATTGTGAGCTTCATGCAGGTAGCTGGCGGGAGAAACGAAGTCTCATCCCAAACCATGGATATTGGGGAGAAACTGAGAGCCTACAACCAGTTGCCCACAATCATGGAGCAGCAGCAGCAGCAGCAACAGGAGCAGATGGTGGATGACTCGTTGTTGGACATTGACCTAGATGCCTTTCTTTTGGCGCCCAATGCGGGTCATCGGGGCATCGACAATCCCAGCTTTCTAAACGACGAACAGCTGGCGGAGAACAACTACAAGTGTGCCAAGTACATCAACTCCTGTCCCGAGGATGCCTATCGCCTGGACAGCGAGAGGGGCGGACCAGGAGGTTCTGGAGTGGGCGTGGCTGAGGAGACGTATGCCAAGCGTTACGAGGATCAGTTGCATTTCCAAAACACTCGTGAACTATTGGAGGATGTCCGTGATAAGATCCGCCTCCTGTCGCGTGCCACGCCTCCACCTTCGGCCACGCCCACACCAGCCAGCACTCCGCCCACGGATGTGCCCAAGGAGCTGGAGGGAATGATCCATACGCTGAAGCACGAACTGGAGTCGTACTTGCAACGCATGAATCAGCACAGCGAACTGGAGCTGCGGCAGCTCTGCAGCGGCTTGGGTCGCCAGCAGCACGTTGTCCGCATGCAGAACGCCCTGGAACGAAGACGCAGTTACGCCGACCTGCAGCTTAACGCCTACGAAGCTGTACGCGACGGAGTACTCATCTCCGCGAATGGTAGACCACTTAGCGTCCGCGAGCAGATCATGACCATTCGTTGTGCCAGCGATCCCAACTTCAAGATGAAGCGCAAATCCATTGCGGAGATCTTTCCGGCCGCCGAATGCTACGTGGAATCGGAGGTAACGACCACCAGTTTGTCTCGCAGTGCCACGCCTTCGCCCGCCTCAACGCCGCAACTGGAGCTCGAGGCACTGCATCCAGGCCTGAGCACCACCACAGTCGTTACGCAAATGCAGCGGAATCTCACCTTTCACAAGCCCATCCTGGCGGTGGCCAGCAGTAGTCAGGGATTGGGAAATATGACAGTCGACGGAGCTGGCGGGGATAAGACGGATCGGGAGCGGGAACGAGAGAGTATCGCCGAGTGGCACCGCAAGAAGCCCAGCATCTGGGAAATGTACTACGGCACCAACCGGCTCCATCAGTCACTTCTCGGCAAGCAGCGAAGTGGAGGCGAACTGGTCATCAGCAGTGCCCAGCCCACTCTGTCCTACGTGAGTATGGGGGAAAGGGCGGGAAAAGCGGGCTTTGATTAATATTATTTAGTTAATATAGCTGTACTAGGACTACGGCTATGAAATATTACTAAGCCAACATTACGAGGTATTAAATTAGTCAATGGGTGGTTTTTTTTATGAGCCTGTTGATTTATAATCTCGGATTTTTTTTCTTTTGAGGTGTTAAATAAATCTAGAAACAGGGAACTAAGTAGTAATTTAACTAACTTAAACGATGTTTGAGGGATTATTTAAATTGATTTAAATATTACCACTTAGCACATTAGTTTGTGACTTTACTACATCCATTAATTTAATTATATATTATTTATTTTAAATGAGACAATTTATTATGGTTTATTTTTAAACTAGACCAATGAAAAGGAATAACTTATAAATTTACGATCCACCATAAAACACTTTTCTTAACCTAGACAGCAATATTTGTTTAGAAAACAGTAATGCTTAACCATTCTATAATTTCGAAATTAATTAATACGAGTAAGGAAAAGAATTTAAAGATTTGCTTTCCAACAATGAAAACCACTTCTAGAGTTTCTAGCAAAGATTTTATTAGCATTTGAATAACGAAACAAAAACTATAATAACTAACTCAACGTCCGCATGAAAAATCTAATAAAAATCAGCTTTAGTTTTTCATTGCATTTTTAGTGTCCGATTGAATAAATATTTATCACCATAGATAGCCCAGTGGATGAGCATTCACTTCAGTTTGGCTGAGTTTCGTGCAATCACATAATAATTCCACGACTCAATTCGCACCGTAACGAGTGAATTAATTAGCTATAATTTAATTCGATTTGCATTTCAATGGGATTCTATGCCAAACAAATCCACTTCCGTTCACTGAATTAATCAAACTGAAGCCGTAACTGAAACTGAAACATAAATATAAATTAATTTAAGCTTTGTTAAAGGAGTTAAAAATCAATCTGTAGTGATAAAACAATTAGGTGATTAATGCCTTCGGTTTGGAGATGAACTTGGCTCGATTATTTATGATATATCATTAGCAAGAGTTCGGGTCAAGTGTGTTGCGAAATGATAGCCATATTTAGATCAGCCGTCGAGCTTGCAGAGATAATTATGAGCTGGTCGGGCCAACGAGGCGTATGATTAATGCTCCGGCTAATTGCAGCCAAGCTGAGTTGCAGCCCGAGGTCGGCCAGCCCAATGCCTAATGGGAATTGGACAATCGAGCAGCGAAACTATCTCAAGTTCGCTTGTTGGCTTGATTTGCATGGCTTCAGATGCTTCTTGGCCTCACCTCATTAAGCTGGCCAATTCCTCATCCAATTCGCATTCTAAGCCAGTTCGTGGAACAACAACAGTTGATCGCCATCGGCCTCATCCTTGGCCGCAATGCCAGGCATTTTGGTGGCATCGTGAGCTTAGTAATGCCAACACCCGCGCACTTTTAGCCAGAACTCGAGCCACGTCATTCGTAATTCGCAATGCCCGCCATTCCCCGGCGTCAGAGTTTATTATGCGCCAGGCGATGCCATCGATAGCGTCGATATAGCCGATATAGTCAGTCGACGAGTCAGGGCCCCAGCAACGCGGCAGTTTGATTAATGAATCCAAGCTTGTGGCTGGCTACTGTTCCCCTTTCAGCCGAAGATCTCGATAATTACATCTAATGCTGGTCCCACTCCACCACGAACTTCAAACAGCTGCCAGATCAGCACCTGCCTTGCCTTGCCATTCGACTCAATGGCTCTTCAGTTAATGCCAGATTAAGTCATAACTCTAATAAGTGACTGCAGATCGAGAGCAATTACATTGAGAATCAAGTAAGCATATCAATGGAACCCTTAACTAAATATCTGTTTATTACTTAAGTCACTTTATACGAGTATCATATAAATCATTTTTTAAAATTGAGTTCTATGAGAATTGCTATGTTGTGGGTAAAATGACAGATCAAGCCAAAATAATATCAATCTTGTGAGAACAGTTTTTAGATATCTCCCTAGTCATTGCATCCATTTTAAAGGGTATTCAAATGTCTAATACCACGCATTCAGTTCCTTTCGGTTAGAGACTCTCAACATTCCGTTACCAATTTTGGCTTCCGTTCTACGCCTTCCGTTTACGGTCAACAGCTTATGCAATATCCGCGACTTGAACGATTCTGACCAGCGTTCCGAGTAGCCGAACTCATGCCCCGCATCCCAATGAGTTTTCACTTTCGGCCAGGCCAGGCACTCGTCGAAGGTTTGTTCACCTTTGCGTAGCAGATATGCGATCTATCGCGAGCGATTTGAACTTGAGAGCTGTGGGGCAATCGTGCGAAAAATACGGTTAAGCGACACTGTACCAGTTAACCTTTAAATTCCGTTAAGAAGCCGGTCGCATTGGCAGCCGCATCTTGGCCAACAGGCCATCGATTGTGGCCGCGATAGCAGGCAGGATAACGAGCATGCAACAAGTGGCAAGAAGTTGCCCTACCACTCGAATGACCTTTAAGGACGTTGGCTAAATTCCGCGAAAGCAAAGAGACAGAAAAACAGAAGCCGCCGCCCCATCCTGAAGCTGAGGCCTCTTCAAAACAAAAAAGCCCGCTCGAAACTCGTCCCACGGCAATTGGCCGGCAGCAAACGAAATCGAAAACTAAACGGGTTTGCTGTCATGAATGCCAAAACGAAATCGAAACCGAAAATGAAAACGAAACGAATCTGAAAAACGCAGAGAGATGTAAGGCGATCTGGTCCAAAAGCGGCCAAAAGCTGCACGCGTTTTAGCTGCCACAAAGTGTTGCAATCGCAATCGCAACCACACTTACCACTAGTGGACACTTAGCAGTGGGCAGTTGCCACCAGCACCACCAGCACCACCACCACCACCTATTCGTTAACTGGGTTATGGCGGATTCCATTTGGGGGGCAGGCCTCAAGAGCAGTCGCTGGTCATGGAGTTGTCAACCTTCTTCTGTTGCCATTTTGCATGGTGAGGCTGTTTGTCGTTTGGGCCTTTTAATTGAGGCTCTCTCACTGGGATAAAAGTGGCAGATTGGTCAAGCTGAGATTTATTTATTTAAATATTAAAATATTTTTGGTTAGTAACGAATTAATTAAGCAATAAAGTTGTAATTAATGAAATTTGGCAAGCCATTTTCGCTTTCTTTCTCGTAAAATGGTTATTTATTAATTATCTTTCTAAATAAACTAAATAATGAATGAAATTGGTCAATATAAATATTTACAAATAATTAATTAGTGGTCGTTGTAAAAGATGAATGGCCAAATATTAGTTTTTGGAAAATATTAAGGATACAGATAAATGAAATATAAAAGTATGAAATTTTGATAAGCAAATCAAAACATATATTTGTGATTTGTTTTTTATCATTGATAAATTCATTCTTAGTAATCAATGTTTATAAAACCGATATATATAAGTATATCTATGTATATATATGTACCGGATTAAAAAACAATAATAATTGCAGTGCAAATTGATTCAATTATCCCCCGAAAATCTGTAGTTGAGCTTTAAAAATCACCAGATAGATCAATGATCTCATTTCTCTCTGTGCACTGGCACTGGCCACCTTGGGGATCTCTTTGGGTTTATATAAATGGTAGCTAGTGGTTGCAAGTGGCTCAGGGGTATTGCTTCCACGGAAGCTGCAGCACTGCCCACAATTATGGTATCAAATTTCCACCTATTGCCCATACGCCGTGTGCGCCGAGGGAAAGGCAGCAACTAATTAGACTGCCACTGCCACCTGAATTTCGCAATTCTGCCACGCCCACCCAGTGGCACAGCTGCCCCCTGCGGTAGTGGTTGTGGTCGTAGCGGTGACTCAACCAACCAGCCTCCAGTTTCAATTTCCCCACTGCAAAGTGGCGCAAAAAAAAAGTAAGGAAAAAACGGAGCAGCGAAAGAAGAAAATTCATTTGCAATTGCATAAAAGTTTGCACACACTTTTAAATTGAATTAAATCCGCGTCTCAGAGCCGCGACTCGGGGACTTATTGCCACACTTTACACGAGTTAGCATTTGCCTGTTAATTGGCGAAGACAAAACAAAACTAATATGTGTAGAAGTGCCCCCTTGAAGACATTCACCTGGGACTGGGCCAGACGGCGGATCAGTTGTTGACTTCAGCTCGCCGCAACTGGATCAGGGATCAGAGTCGGAAACAATGGATTAGTGATACCCGAAAAAAATGGTAACAAACTATTAGAATTTTCGGTCAAAATGGGTTTTGGGAATTTGTAAAAACGTTAAATTGGTTTAGATTAGATTGAGTTAAAAAATTGGTGAAAGCCTCAACAAAAACAGGAAGTTTTTTTTTAACTTTCTTGATAACAAATATTGTGAAGTATTTTATAATGATCCTTTTATACTGTAAGGTCAAATTCTACTTTCTTGGCTTCATATGCCTTTTAATTTATGCAAACTTTACAAAAGTATCACAAATTTGGACATTTATTAATTTTCATGCATAAGAAAGTTCCAGTTGTAAGTTATTTTCATGCCTAACAAATAATCAGATAAATCCCAAAATGTTTCTACATGAACTTATAAAGAGCAGAGCTAGCATCGTGCTGGAATGACCTGGAAATAAACCAAAACAAAAATGTGCAAGTGCCGGTGAAAATACCTAGACTTTCTTGAGTCTGCAGATAGCAGCAAGCGGCAAGATAACGCTTCTATGTAGACAGTCCGAGTTGCATGAAGTGAATTTCCAGTGCCACGACGTGAGCACAAATACGGATTCCCCGTTCGGCGGAGATTACGACGTTGTGGGACGTGTTAAAATTTGGTTTTCTCTCGCGAAGTGATTTTTCAAACCTGATGTGATGTACTTGCTCGGCGGGTAGCCGCATTAAACTTGGCCAACTTCCAGAGCGACGGAGGGGAAACAGAAGCGCTTTCAATGTCATCGGCGGAAAACGTGTGCGGCAAATTAAAAAGGCACCGCCGATCGATGGATTTTCTTTCAAAAATTAGCACACACCCAAAAGCTGAACCCGTATTTGGGGGGCACCTGATGTATACAATGTGTTTCAAGGCCGGGCTGAGCGGGAATTTACAGCCAGTAGTCGATTTCTCATCATTTTGCATATGTTTGTCGAATTTATGGCTGTTTTTTTTTTTCTATATAATTTATTTATTTATTATTTGTTGCGTGTGCGTGAGTGTTAGCGAGTTGGTGTGCGGCATCATTTGCAAATTAGCTTATGGACAGGCGTCTCCCCTGGCGTCAAAATCGGCAAGATATTCCGGCACCTCCGGGGGCCCAGGTTTCAATTCATTTCCACCCACGGCGTTTTACACCACAATTGCACTTCATTTGGCATGGCAAGCCAATAAAACCGTTACACTCCAACTCCCACAAACATGGTAGGGTGCACAGAGAGAAAAATGTACCTATATTATTAATATATAAGGTTAATTTAGGATGTGTTAATGATTTGGTAATAGTGTAAAGTTCCTAATCGTGGTTAAAGAACTTTGGGGAATCACATTTGTCTATTAATTATTATATCTCTAATCATATTACCGAGGCTAATGAACTCTCGAATCTTTTTTGGTTATCAAAAAATTAAAATAAATCCCAAGAATAGACATCAGGTTTTCTAAAGGATTCAATCGATCATAATTTAGAAATTTACTTTTTCGGAAACAACTTAGAAACACCTCGAATTCCGCTTCGATTATTTCAGAATGTTAATTTAAACAGGAATTTTTTGGTAATACTAATTTATTTCTATTGAAGAAGTAAATTTTAGTTTTAAAAATGATTTAATATCCAATCGATCATCACTCATGAATATTCATTTCTTCGTGTGTACCGCTCGCAGCCAATACACTTGCAAATGCCGGAATGCGGTAATTGCCCCGCAGCCTCCGACTCCGTCATCTTTTGCCGATTACGTCTTGCCTTTTCACAGTACTTTGACTGATAAACAGCAGCGGTAATAATGAATACACATCTACATATATATGTATACATATATATCTCCCGACTTTGAACGGCATCACTAACCTCAGACAAGCGAATCATCAAAAAGGGAGAGAAAAGAAGCCGGAAGGCAAAAAATGTACCGCAAAGTTGTGTTCATTTCAATTTCTCATCTTGATTGTGTGAGTGTGTCTGGCCGAACTCGAAACACAGTTGATATTCGCTAAGAGATAATCGCAAGTTAGTAAATAGCTAAAAATAAGAAATTAATTTACGCAAAAAAGGGGCCATAACCATTTTAAGTAAGCAGCTTAAAAGTTATTTATAATTTATGATGTAGTTTATTTTAAAATAGTGAAGAAACAGTTGGTACTTAATGTATTTTTGGTAGTTTAGTTACAGGTTGGTAAAATTAGGAAGAGGGATTTTGAAATTTTAATGTTATATTTGTAATTGAAAGTTAATTTTTTAGAGTAGTAAAATAAGTTTAATTAAGTTTCAAAAACTAGAATAGTTTATAAAAGCGATGCATATATTTAAATTACAAATAATCTTTTCTTATCCCTTATGAAAGAATCATTTTTTAAGAAGGCCTACAAGTACCTGCCAACCGATATCCACTGTAGAGGGTTGCACAGAAAAATAAATGATCACCCGGATCGAAAACAATGCAGCTTAAAGCATACCGCAATAAAAAAAATCGGAAAAAACGGGAAAAAAAATTCCAAAAGCCGTCGCAATCACAATAAGATGCAAAAATAGGTGTGCACAAATTTTTGCAGGCAAAAGTGTTTGTTTGCCTTGTTTGCCGCAGCTCAATTACACACATGTGTGCCTGTGTGTGTTGAAAGCACTCCAGACACACACAAATTACACTTGAATGCCCTTTTAATGACCACATTGCGTATGCGCCGCTTTCACTCTTGAAATTCGATAAGCGATTCAATCTGGCATTTGACACAAGCGAGGGTTTTTAGTCTCATTTGCCAACATAGTGATTTTAGCCAACAGAACTTGGTCCTAAACTAATTGAAAGTGAATATGATGAAAATTCTGTAACGCCAATGTAAATTTCAGTAAGGAAATTTCTTCACTTCCTCCGGAAGTTGCTGCTGAATGTGTCGCAGTTGTTTGAATGCTGCAAGCCCTTAACTTTTAAGATTAGACAGAGCTACATATGTAGACTCGTATGAGCTGAGGTAATGCATTTTTTGAAGCTTGCACCTGACTGGTTGAGTGAAATTTCCAAAAGTGTTTCATAACTTTTAACATGTTTAGCGAGAATCGTCAAAAAACAACAACAGCAACACAAAGCATGAACAAAAAACTGTTAACGTTTTGTTTCAAGTCTGCCTTTTGCCTTTTTTTCGCTGTTACTGAAAAAGATTTCAAGGTTGTGTCGCTAAAAGTGAGACGGGAAAAAAACGAAGATGAGCACAGGCGAGGCAACAAAAGCGAAGAAAACAAAGCTCAGTGGGTCAAATTGCTGTTCGTTGGAGCCCTTTTTGTTGGTTTATTTTTTAAATTTTTCAGCATCTGACCACGCCCTGCTCAACTGCAAATATTGGCAGGCACGAGACGATGTTTGGACCGTGATTTATGGTTAAACATTTTGCGACCTGAAATGCCCCAATGAGCTCGAAAGCCTAGCTTTGCTTCGACTCGAATAGGATCGGTGCGCTTATGCGTGATTAAAGTGATCATAATCAATGTCAATGGAAGATTGTCTGCCGTCGTCGATGGTCAGCGATTTACATAATAATTATAATTACTTAATTGCAGACCCAAGTGGCATTTTCAGTGGAACTTCTCAATCTCTAACTGGCTCAAACTAAAAAGAAATCAATAAAAAATAGTTAACGAAACTTTGAATTTTATAACCTTTAATTATTTGTTATTAATTTGTATCTAATAGAATATGTATATTTAAGGGAATACAAGTTTTACCTTGCTTGACCTATTGTATGATCTTTCCTTTCACAGCCATCCTCACGACCTGAGTCGGACTTTACGCTCGACCTGCCAAGGGCCGAGCAGCTGCGCTTGAAAATGGAGAAGGAGAAGAAGTTCCGCCAAAGATGTCGCTTTATCACCACGTTCCTCAGCCTGGTCTTCTTCCTGCTGACTGTGATGGTGGTCAGCTTGGTATTGACCCGCGGCAAACGGATGTTCGGCAGCATGATTTGAGGATTCCCATTACCAAACGACCACTACCGATGGCTAGAGCCAAATTAGTTAGTCTCTAGTTCCGACTCGGCTAGATCGAGAGTCAGCAGAATATTACAAACTTCAGTGCCAACCACAAATTTAAAACGATAGCGAAGCTCAAGTTTAGTGTTAGTGGTAATCATAAGCTCATCGTGGTTTTTTTTTGGCAGGGCAGGACCGCCACAGCCGCAGTCGCAGTATTGTTAATAAATTATTTATGTGATCCTAGTTGTTAAGTCCGAGTGAGTGCATTTGTTTCTGTGCGTACGCGTTCACTGCCTGTATCCAGCCTATCGTTTGTCAAACCTATCGTTAAGCCCATCAAACTGTATTAAGTCTAAATGTATACCTAATTATAGCTAGAGTCTTGTGAAAATGCGAAGAATAAACGGAATACCGAGTACATTTAATTAACATTTATTAATATGGAACATACACGCACAGGCGAGTTGAAAGCATCGGTTCTTTTGAGAGTTTTAATGCCTTCGGGGGCTTCAGCGGCATCTTCGTTCTTATAGACATATATATATATCATCGTAATCGTTATCACAAGTGGTTTTGTTTTCCTTTTGATTCGTTAAACCTGAACCAACTGCGAGTGGGAGAAATGCACAGAACTTAGTTAGTAGTGGGCTTAGTTGGCTATTGGCTGGCAGCTACAGCGCAAATCTACAAAGCGTTAAATAGCTACGAAATAAGGCAAGATCTGCTGAGAAGTGTCGAAAATGGCGGTGCGTCCAAACGAATCGTTGGCGTGTGCTCATGTTTGCTATTTCATAATATGCGTATGTTCTGGCGATTGACCTCGAACAGTGTGTGGTCCTCTTCGTCGCTATTCACGTCCTCAATGGCCATGGGAAGTGGTGTCAGCTCCTGATTCGCCCGGTCGCCCTGCACTCCGTACTTGCGCTCTGCTCGTGACAGACGCAGACTATAAAGATTAGCGATTGATTAGTATTATCAGTTTTAACCGATAGTATACAAAATCTTAAAATAGGAAAATATGAACCGAAAGATCATCTACATGATGATTGTATGATCTTAAATATTGTTTTGTATAGATTGATGAATTTAATTAATTGAAAGGTTTACCAAATTAGTACATTAAGCCATTATGATTATTTAAACATTCAAAGAAATAATAATTTGCAGTTCATGGAAACCATTTAGCTCAGGTCATTGAATGTTAACGATGAATCATAACCCATAACTGAGAATTGAGTTCTTTGACTTACCGATAAACACGCATCACGAGCAGCAATATAGCCGTACTGGTAATGCCCACTAGTATGTATACCACGGCCTGGCCGGGAAAGTCAATATCGGGAGTCACATGTGTCCGTTCGGCGTGTACATCGTCCTCAGGAATTCTTCCTGGGGACTGGGCAACCGGAGCCTTTGCATCTGGCTGCGAAGCTAATGGCAATACAGGGGCAACAGGAGCGGGTGCCTCTTTATCTACAACGACCATAGAATCCTTCGGTCCCGCCGGAGGTTCTTCAATCAGCACTTTTTTAACGGTCTTGCTCTTCTCCTGTTTCTTGGCCTCCGGTTCGACAACCGGCGCACTCTTTTCCGAAATTTCCACAGTCTTTTGGGGCGCCTGTGTGACTGCTGCGTCACATGTTTGCTGGTGGAATAGTACCAGCAGAAGTGCTATGCCGACTAGGTAGAAGCAGCGGCAAAACATTTTCTTCTATGCAACTCAAATACGTTACTAAATTTAGCAGCTTTTTAGGATAAACAATGACCTTTTTAAATTTCTTTACTGTTTTTGTTTTGCTTATCGCCAGAGTTGCCACACACAGGAAAGCAACTGATAAATATATTTAGCCTTTTATATCTGGTCACACTTGACAAGAAATGGTTTGGGTCTGGGAAAATACAATTTTGTCAGTACACTGAAAACTTTTGATTTACTTTAGGGATTTAATATATTCCCTATTTAAGGTGAAGACTTTTCCATGAAGCTTTTTGATCTGCAGGATGTGGTTTTCATTTAAATCGGCCTAGGCCTAGTATTAGACATAAATAAATTAAATGGGGACAACGGTATTTATTTGCTTGTATGTATCGATACTTTATCATCAATACATGAGAGGAAGGCTTTTTCAAATAATTTTGGAAGTATTCGCAGGCAGTGATCATATCTACTGTTGTAATTTATCCATCATGATTTCCATGATTTTGGAACGCCACTAGTAGTAATGTGCGATTAGTGTATGTTCATAAGTGTAATCGATTTATCACCACCGACACATTCGTACTTGGTATTACTGCTGAAGTGTCGTGCGGTCACTCACTTTTAATAGTTATAGTAATAAACGAAAGTTAGTGATTTTGCCAGAAAAGCAGTTGATTTAATTATAATCACAATTGCGAAATCAACTTTTTAATTAGTTTAGTTTTAAACAGCATCTGGAAACAGGTAATTTTAGTCGTAATCAAGGAAAAGGCACCGCCAGACGAAATTTGGGGCTGTGAAAATGGCGAACAAAAGAGAAAAAGTGTGTGTGCTCCAAGGGGAAATCAAATCACGACGTCACAGAAAGAAAACGCAGGCACATAGGCATTTTTCCAGGAAAATTGATTTATTCGCGAGGGAGCAATGAATTTTTTGAAAGTTAAAGTTATTTATTGCAGTGCAATGGTTATGTGCGCTAATTTTTTTTCTGTCTAAATATGTAATTGTATGTGTGAAGACGAGGGCGAATTCGTGTGTGTATGTTTATTTAACCAGGAAGTTGGGTTTTCGAACACGATCTATCGATAGGCGGGGGCGGTGGAGGGGCTCCACTTGCCGTCCGATTGGCCAATACCCTACATTACAGGGCATATCCGACCATGTTGCATTGCATTACACCTTGAGCTCAATGTGTCTGTGTAAATGTGTGTATTCCGCAAGCCTCTCTTTTATTGCTGTGACATTGGATCATAATAGGCGACCTTCGGGTCGTCGCTTTTAACGTGGCGAGGCCTACCACATTCCCTCTCCCGTTCCGTTTTTGTACTGTTTCGTCTCGTTTGCAGATTGACATTTTAAATTCCAAAATCGGAAAACATATTCGTCAAGATTCCGGCCACAGCTCCCAGGACGAGAGCCGCCAAAAGACGCCACCTAGACAGCAGCAGCAATCCCCCGTCGCCAGCGCCGGATTCGCCACCTAGGGTCATAGCCTCCTCCAGCCCAGCGCAACTGCAGGCACAGCATTCTCCAGTGGGAGAAGGCAGAAGCCCGTTGCCACCACCCACCGCCACAGTTGCCGCCAAAATGAACCGCTCTAGCAATGCGCAGACCACACAGAAACTCGTCAACCTGGACGATATCTGGAGCGAACTGGTCGAGGGAATTCTGCAGGTGTTCGAGCACGAGAAGTGTCTCACCCGCAGCCAGTATATGCGTTTCTACACACACGTCTATGACTACTGCACCAGCGTGAGTGCGGCTCCCAGTGGACGGAGCAGCGGGAAGACCGGTGGAGCCCAGCTGGTGGGTAAGAAGCTGTACGACCGGCTGGAGCAGTTCCTCAAGTCATACCTTAGCGAACTACTCACCAAGTTCAAGGCCATCAGCGGTGAAGAGGTGCTCTTGTCGCGTTACACCAAGCAATGGAAGTCGTACCAGTTTTCCAGCACCGTCCTGGACGGCATTTGCAACTACCTGAACCGTAACTGGGTGAAGCGCGAGTGCGAGGAGGGACAGAAAGGTATCTACAAGATCTACCGCCTAGCCCTAGTCGCTTGGAAGGGACACCTTTTCCAGGTGCTCAACGAGCCAGTTACCAAGGCGGTGCTCAAATCTATCGAGGAGGAGCGCCAAGGCAAGCTAATCAACCGCTCGCTGGTACGCGACGTCATTGAGTGCTACGTGGAGCTCAGCTTCCCCGAGGAGGACGCCGACAACGAGCAGCAAAATTTGTCCGTGTACAAGGATAATTTCGAAAGCAAGTTTATCGCTGACACGTATGCCTTTTACGAGAAGGAGTCGGACGCGTTCTTGTCCACTAACACGGTAACCGAGTATCTCAAGCACGTAGAGAACAGGCTGGAGGAGGAGACACAGCGGGTCCGTGGCTTTAATTCAAAAAACGGGCTCTCCTATCTACACGAGACTACGGCGGAAGCGCTTAAGTCCACATGTGAACAGGTGGGATTATAAACTACATCCCACCTTCTGATTTATGTACTGATCAAATTAATTTATTTCAGGTTCTCATTGAAAAACATTTGAAAATATTCCACACCGAGTTTCAGAATCTGCTCAACGCAGACCGCAACGATGATTTGAAAAGAATGTACTCGTTGGTCGCCCTCTCGCCCAAAAACCTGACAGATCTCAAGTCTATCCTTGAGAATCACATACTCCATCAAGGCACCGAGGCCATTGCCAAGTGCTGCACTACTGACGCGGCCAACGATCCCAAGACGTATGTCCAGACCATCCTGGACGTGCACAAGAAGTACAACGCTCTCGTGTTGACGGCGTTCAATAATGACAACGGATTCGTGGCCGCCTTGGACAAGGCGTGTGGCAAGTTCATTAACTCAAACGTTGTCACAATCGCAAACAGTGCTAGCAAATCGCCCGAGCTGCTAGCGAAGTACTGCGACCTGTTGCTGAAGAAGTCATCCAAGAATCCAGAGGACAAGGAGCTCGAGGACAATCTAAACCAGGTGATGGTCGTGTTCAAGTATATTGAGGATAAGGACGTCTTCCAAAAATATTACTCCAAGATGCTTGCTAAGCGCTTGGTGAATCACACATCGGCATCGGATGACGCCGAGGCCATGATGATCTCTAAACTGAAGCAGACGTGTGGCTACGAATACACCGTCAAGCTTCAGCGAATGTTCCAAGACATTGGCGTCTCAAAGGATCTTAACTCCAATTTCAAACAGTACCTGGCCGATAAAAACGTAACCATGGAAATTGACTTTGGAATCGAGGTTCTATCCTCGGGGTCGTGGCCTTTCCAGCTGAGCAATACCTTCCTGCTTCCCTCCGAGCTGGAGCGGTCAGTGCGACAGTTTAATGAGTTTTACGCTGCCCGCCACTCTGGTCGCAAGCTCAACTGGCTTTACCAGATGTGCAAAGGAGAGCTGATCATGAACGTAAACCGCAACAACTCCTCCACCTACACCCTGCAGGCCAGTACCTTCCAGATGTCGGTGCTGCTTCAATTTAACGATCAACTGAGTTTCACAGTCCAACAACTGTTGGACAACACCCAGACACAGCAGGAGAACTTGATTCAGGTAAGAACGAATCCGTCCGTTTGCTATCTGCCTACTTAAGGGGATTATCTTTTAGGTATTACAAATACTGCTCAAGGCAAAGGTGCTGACCTCCAACGATAATGAGAACTCGCTGACGCCCGAGTCAACGGTAGAGCTGTTCCTGGACTACAAGAACAAGAAGCGTCGTATTAACATCAACCAGCCGCTGAAGACTGAACTTAAAGTGGAGCAGGAGACTGTACATAAGCACATAGAGGAGGACCGAAAATTGCTGATCCAGGCGGCGATCGTCCGCATCATGAAGATGCGCAAGCGACTCAACCACACCAATCTCATTTCGGAGGTGCTCAATCAGCTGTCGACGCGCTTCAAGCCCAAGGTGCCCGTGATCAAGAAGTGCATAGACATCCTGATCGAGAAGGAGTATCTGGAACGTATGGAGGGACACAAAGACACATATAGTTATCTCGCTTAAGTTTATGTTAAATGTACAACAACTTTCGCTGTTTCATCTATGCAAGCCATTAAAAATATCATCCATATACTTAGAGATTGTGTAGACCCTCCGCGCCCCCTCCTACCCAGCCCGAAATAAACTGCCGCCGAAACATTCGAACTGTTAGCGAGCTAAACATACTCCATGCTTTGGCATTCTATGTGCAATTCTAGCCAACACGTCACTAACTTCATCTTCCGTCACATGAGAGCATTATTTTAAGGAAATGGCCAGCCGCAGGGAGCAATATACCCCATAGACATAGCCCTCTGTAGAACCAGATTACAATTCCAATTTCCGAGAACAAGAGAGGTTCACACCAACCAATAGACTTCTGCAGGGGCTGTATGGTATATATAAAAAGCGATTTTCTTTATTACCCATTGTTTGATCAAGTTTTGTTTTAACTAGCTTAGGTTATTCATAATTCACTGTACGCATATACGATTATTATAAAACTACGAAGCAAAACGTGTTAAGTTCATAAAACGATGTATGTTTACCTATGGTGCGGTTATTTTATTCCTGAATCTGTAATTTCTGGTCCAGATTCATTCCGCTGGCAATAGCGTAAACGGTGAAGGCGAACTTGGCCACCTGCAAGAATTCCGAGTTTTCTTTGTTTGTCTTTCGAAAATTAAAGGACTTACATTAATATTAGTGGCCAGGTTAATGTTGAATATGTTCATGGCCGTAAACGTCATGGGCTGCTGGAGCTTCTGCAGAAACTGAAGGGCTGTGCGCTGGTAACGCTTGTCCTGCATCCACCAGGCGGAATGGAACAGTGCATCCGCCAGCTCGTTGCAGTCATCTACGATGGCGTTGCAGTAAAAGCAGAGCGGGAAAGTCTGCAGGAGGACCGCCATAACGTAGGTGATAATCCCAAATCGGGTTGACTGATCGGCGAACAACACCATATTTATCATGATGATTCCCAAAATGGATCCGCATATAACGAATTGGGCAAAAATTGTGCCAGAGATGATTGGTCGGATGGCCTCGCAAAAACTGGAGATACAACGAAAAGATATTTTCTCTAATAATCAAATAATAATGTAATCAGTGATTCAGGTAACAAAGTGTATCAAATACACTAATTGGAAGATATTAGTAAACCTACAAGTAGTTCAATCCACCAATTTTAAAAGTTTTTTTGTTTTAGAATGTAAAATGGATACAGATTTTTTAATTAGAACTTTTGTTTGACAAAAGTTATACTTCAATTTAATTATTTGTTTGATACAAGATGATGTCACTTGAAGCTCATTCAAAAAATTTTAAAACGTTTTTTTGTTTTAGAATGTAAAGTAATGGTTACAGAATTTTTGTTTGACAAAAGTTTTACTTTAATTTTATTATTGTTTTATTATTCTATTAGAAGCTTGATTAAAATCATTCCTTCATCAAAAACTTAATAGTATAACAAAAACTGTGATTCTGTAGTACAATTTAAAAGTGAGCATCTATATATTTGTATTACTAATAGCAGTAAGTTTCAGTTGAAGTTATAAAAATAATTTTTGTGACATACCCATGTATTCAATTATAAAAAAGTTATGTTTAATAAAATTATCTATTTTTAAGAAAAGATTACCGTCACTTACTTCAGCATGGTTCTGTGAGCCTTGATGCAATCCACCAAGGATTTAAACATGAAGTTCGGATCGGAATGAGTCTCATTGCTGACCTCGCCCAGATTGACGATGCGGTCCTTAAGCAGCAGTATGTGGCAGCGGAGGGCAGCAACGAAAATCACTGGATAGGAATCGGTGGCCGTAGCAACGAATATAGCATATCCCACAGTAAAGAATTCGAGAAAACTTTGAATGTACAACTGAGTCCGATCGACTCGCCAGTTTACAAACGGGTAGTATGTATTAAACGGGACACGGTCGTGGAAAAGTCCGTCAACCAGTGTGGAGGTCGCGTACAGAACGTAGACCACGATGAAAATTAAATACAACCTGGTAATGACGGCCACCATATCGCGCATCTTGCGTTTCTCCTCCGGCTTCACGCAGTACATGTCCATCTCATCGAAATGTTTGTTGGCCAGCTCCAAGCGGTGCATGTAGATTACCAGGGTGAAGTACTTCAGAGCGAAGCACCAGGTGTTTAGGCATAGCTGCAGGGATTGCAACAGCAAGTCCGGCGGAAATTCCGCCAGATGTATTGTATAGTTGATCGGGAAACTCACGGGCAGTATGAGCATATTATAGGTGAAGGAGAACACCCTCCAGATCTTGCGACCTACCCCAAAATCGTTCCACAAGTTAAGGCCCGAGAATCGAAGCGTTTCTAGCAGATAGGCATTCGAGTCTCTGGAACTGATTGGCTCCGATATAGGAGCTGGGTTCATGAGTTTTAAATGTCCGAACATCTTTAATTTCAAACGTTTAAGGCTGGAAACTAACTGCAGAGCAGAGTGTTTCTAGGCATTTATAGCTGGCGAATTGTAGCTCTTAATTGCCGGTTGCCATTTTTATAGGGGGGTCGATTTTTGTTGCAAAAGAATTTTACACAAGTCATAATACATCATTCTCGTTTTGATTATACACATCAATTCTTTTTGGGCGTTACTTAACTAGGGGATTTCGGTGTTTGTTCCATTTCAATTGGTATGCAATACCTCCTTCGGTGGGAACGGACACTTGTTAAAAATGTGAAGAGACGTCTGTACCTCTTACAGCTTAAAGATTTTTAAAATTGTGATTCAAATGGACATGAACTTGCTTGTCTCTTAAATTCTATACACTTATCTTCTTTGTGATGGCGTCATGTTTCCTTTAAAACTAAAAAAAAAATACAAAAAGACTATAGCTACTAGATCTTTGATTGCAGGCGCACGAAAATCTAACAGGGAGATCGAAAGACTGCCTTGAAGCAGTGGTATTGGTGGAATCCTCAATCCTCGTCGTCAAGTGTGAGTACTTTTGTCTGGAAACGCATTCGCTTTGTGTTCTTGACCACTCCGTTGGTGAGCAGATTGACTCCGGGCTCTGGGCACGGAAGGTTATTCCATAAACGCTTCACACGCACCACAGCTACGGAATTGAAGTCGTATCTTTTTGGTGCGGAAGCTGGTTCAGGTACGGAAGCATTGGGTGGGAGTTTGCGCAGCTTGACTACCGGCTGAAGCTGGCGAGAGCTGCTGTTGCTGCTGACACTGGCCCTGTCATCGGTATCTTCAGTAGGCTCCGCGTTCGATTCTGAACCATTCGCAGCCAGCGAGCAGCCGCGTTTTTGTGGCGAGTCTTCTTTGGGTTTGGCAGTACGCAAACTGAAGTATTAGGTTGTCTTAGTACAAAAAACTATAAATTCGTAATTTAAAATAATACCTCTCCTGTTTTTCATATTCATTTAAAGTTGGTGGTGCTGCAGCGCAAATTTTTCCCGGCTCCTCAGGGTGACATCCAAAGTCCTGACCCCTCAGCCAATTCTCGTAGCGTTCTGGCTGGAAACGCCGCACGAAGGTCTCCATAGAGATCTTGACCATGTCGCTTCGGCACTTGCAAATACTTGCCCGCTTGCCGTACTCGATCCAACGCTTTGACGCGAAGTTGGTGGACTCGGCGCCGTTGAAGCCATGATTGAACCCAGCATGGTAACCGAATGGAAATGTAATCATGATCTCGCCCGCTTCCTGTATTATCTTGTTGTAGGGTATGTTGTGCTGCCGTAAAACCTTCGGGCTGATCATAGTCATCTTGTGGCGCAGATAGGCATTGCATTCCTGATGGTTTTCCGTGAAAGTGTCATTTGCAAGCTTCTCTAGGCGTCTGCCATAGGCCGGAGGAATGGCATACCAGGTTTTAGGTGCTCCGAAATGCAGATAGTTGATGGAATAAAGATCCATATCCTCAGTGTGCCAGGCAAAGGAACTTTTCCACATTCCGAAATAGAGGTAGGCCGTATTTACACCATCGATGATAATGTTGTAGTCCGTATTGACTAGGTTTAGGATAGTGTCCAATCGACCGATGTTCCATACGTCCAGTTCCTCGTCACTCAACGAGCCTTTGACATCGGCCGCGTAAAGTGGCGATATGTAGGTTATGTTTTTCCAGTACTTGCGCTCCAAATCCTCATAGTCAAAATGGCGCGGCGTCTGATGAAGCTCGGAGTTGGCTTTTTCCATAAACTGGCGCAGGGTCATTTGGCGTCGTTGCTGGATGTTGATCTGCTGGTACAGCCCGTGGGCCCTGCATTTCGAATGGAGTATTATAGTGGACTAAATTGATACTTAATTGAGACGCGCTTACCCGGTAACCACTTGACATATCGGCGCAGGAATGGTCATGTTGATGTTCTCTATGTCGTAACCCGTCTTTCGGGGAACCCATTCCGGTGGCGGCTGGAAAATACAAACATTGTATAACTATTTCTTAAATCGATTTGGGGTTTGAACAACTAACCTGTATTTTGGCCAAGCCGGCTAAGTGGGCTCCACGAGACTCTATATACTCAATGTAGGCAGAAAAGTCCTTGAACTCCTCGTAGCTGGGACGGAAGGTCATGATACGGGGCACTTTTGTCTGCTCCCCATCGCCGAATGAGGATCTCGTGGACATATTGAAGGAACAAACAAAAAATTAAGCAAGTGGCATTAATCCACTTTGTCTAGTGTGACCAAGCAAGATCAAAACAGCACAGACATTATTATTTCGAAAAAATACTAATATTCCGTTTTAAATAAATTGTTCATTTAATATTTATGTTGATTAATTAATAAAAAGTTCAATAGTGATTAATTAAAGCTAATTATAAAACTGTAAAAACCTTCCAAAAACATTTTTAGGAATTTGTACCTTATAAAAAGATGTTTTTGAAATAAATTCAGAAATAAGAAGTAGCGGTTCTAACATAAGGTAATAAGATACACACATCCTATGAGATAACCGTTGATCCACTGGCTTTTATCAAAAGATTTGGCCATATTGCATGTACATACATATGTAGGTGTTACTCATGTATGCTAGAAAATTAAAAAAAAAAAACTTTAATATTTTAAATCTCGACAAAAGCTTTAAACAACCCAAAAAGGAACTTTCTCTTAAATAATATTTGTTTGCACAATTTAAAGCCTTCCAAATCTGTCCCATCGTATGTACCGCACAGGTAATAGGCTTACATAGGCTTTCACCGGAATTCACCCGGAATACCAAGTGCGGCAAGCTCTAATCGGTGGCCATTAAACAATTAAACCTGGATAATCAACAACTCTTACCTGGCACGATTCTGTGAAAAAAATGCACAAAACAAAAGATAATACTTGAATCATAAGATTTAAGGGTCTTTCGACTGCAGCCCATCAACACTCAAGATCTGAGATTACTTCTTAATCCGTATAATAATAGGTAATATTTATAGCAAGGTGTCGATCGCGATAATGGCTCAATTGATTAAAACTTCTTTGCCATGTAAAAGTAAATCAAAGCCAAGGCATAATATAATTTGCATTGGATTGGACGCGACAAGTGCCGAGATCCCTGGTAGAGGTTTATGGTTTTATGATTATTGCCGCGATAATGGCGGACGATCAGCGTAGCCTCGCGGGCACTTGAGTTCTGGAGGCGGAGGCCCCTGTAATCTGGGAAATGGGTTCTTGTGGTATCAGTATAAAAGCGAAAGGTACACCAATCGCTCCGCAGTCATCCAACGTTTTCGCGCCCAAGCACTCCGTCCTATTTCTAAACCGACGTGTAATAATAAATATATCAGTTAGAGACCAGACATGGGTTTTGACACCTCAGAGGATAAGGCAAGACGTAAGTTAACGACCTGGGAGAAACTCAGAAATCATGGATTTAGTAAAAGCGTGTGAAAAACAGTAAAAGTTCCTTAATATCGAGAAAATTATTTAAAATTTGACATTTTCTTAAAGAACTTTTTGGCGAAAGTTTAAATACTAACATATGTACATATGTAGCTTATCAATTAAGTACAGTAAACCCGTTACCTGTACTTCTTGTTATTGGTGATTAAACTAGAATATAGTTATAATTGATAGCAATAATGACGGATAATCTCCGCTTAGTTGTGTACTCACTGTTAAGAAAAAATTGAGGATCTATATTTTCATCGATTCAGCGTAATTTTGAACCCATATATACAATGATTCGCAAGTTGTACTCCATTTACATCCAATTGATCAAGTTCTAAGTATGAAGACTGGTCACCTAACTCTAATTACACTTTTATCAACATATAATAACTGCTACTTACTTAATAAACTTTAAAAGGGAAATGGAATCAGACAAATTTCAGTTAATAAAGCTGCACTATTCAAAGACCGTAAAGATTGAATGTGCTTCCGTGTGCCGTCCATCACTGTCACAGATCTTTAACCGAGTCTTCTACAAAACCAAAAGCTAATTATGGGTTATTGATAGGAAATCGCCAATGTATGGCACCATAGCAATATAAGAACATATTGTATATACATATATATGTACGTCGTGAATAATCTTTATGACATAACCGACTTTGCTTTAAGAGCTTTTACTCTTAAATGCACGTTCTCTTTTTGTACTATAACTGCACTTTATGGCTCACCAGACCTACCCTAAGAGACGGTTCTATTGCAATCCAGACGTCTGGCTATATTTGCAAACCATATCTTGATTGTATATCAGAAATCTGACGAGACTTAAGACTTTATGAAGATCAACAAAAGCTAAATGCGGTTGACACAAAGAAAATATTTATTATCTCTAGTGAAGGTTGCCTAATCTATGCAGCGAATTTTGGGGGACCTAATCTCGGGATCCATCGAGCTCTTACGAGCCAATTAAAGTATACGACTCCGTTCACACATTCTGTCCCCCGCCCAAATCTACTCCACTGACTCCACCGAGAACTTTTCCATTGAGAGTGAAGCGGCTTTTGTTTTCCTCATTGACAGGCGTTAATGATAATGACAATATTATTATAATAAAATCTAAAGAGCTCTGACGGAGCCGTAATTAATGGAATCGTTACTATCAGAACATTGTTAAACTGCAATAAAATGTATATTGAGTAAAAAAAAAGGTCCTAGAAATAATCGTCCGACTGACAAACAATTCGCACCGTTTATTTATAATGAGGCAATCAATAAATCGGATTGCCAGACGCCCGTTACATCCGTAACTGATCAAACATGGTTTATTCTTCCACTGGAGAGAGACGGCCCCTGCTAGTCCACGTAGTTCCAAATCAGCTCAGGAAATTAGCCTGTAAAAATACGCTAATAAGCTATTTTCATTTAATACTTAATATACATATACATACATATACATACATATGTGAACGTTACTTTTCAGCGAGAGGTTTCGGAGCACGCCACTGGCAGGCGATCATCCTGTTTGTGGGAATGATGATCAACTACTTCCAGAGGGTCAACATATCGGCTGGGATTGTTCCTATGACCCAATCCACTGCAGGAGCTCCTTTCTACAATTGGGATACGTCGGATAAGTCGATGATCCTTAGCAGCTTTTTCTGGGGCTATGTTGTCTCCCAGGTGCCGGCAGGTGAGCATTAAAGACTGAATATTCAATATTTTTAACAAATTATTTTCGTAGGACTCTTGGCCAAGCGATTTGGCGCCAAGTTAGTCTTAGGCTTGGCGACGGCAATTGGTGGCATCTTGTGCTTTTTCCACCCCATGGCAGCCAAAAATGGTTGGCAGAGTATCTGCGTCCTGCGTGTCCTTACTGGTGTTGTTCAAGGGACTGTGTATCCATGTGTTCACACCCTACTGGCCAAGTGGGTGCCGCGAACGGAACGAGGTCTTCTCACCACGGGCGTATATTCGGGAGCACAGTTCGGAACGGCTGTTATCCTGGTTACCAGTGGGTTTATTTTCGACTCTAGCATGGGCTGGCCAGGATTATTCTATCTATCCGGTGGTCTAAGCCTAGCTTGGGCACTGCTATTCTTTTGGCAGGCGGCTAATGAACCAGCCACAGCCCGTAACATCAACAAATGCGAAGTGGAGTACATCGAGAGTCTTACGGGCAGCAATAGTGCAAGTCAGGTAAGGCCCTCTTTGAAAGTACCATTGAATTATGAATAATCTTATGTCTTCAATCTCTCCTTCAAGTCCATGTCCGTACCGTGGGTGTCGATCTTCAGGTCTCCTGCCTTCTACGGTCTGCTGGCAGCTCATTGTGGATTCACTTGGGGCTTCTATACACTGCTCACCGAAATGCCCACTTACATGAGCAAAGTCCTGCAGCTGAACGTCAAGTCCAATGCCTTCCTCTCCTCGCTGCCATACTTTGCTATGGGCTTGCTCTGCTTTGTGGTTAGTCCCATATCGGATTTGCTCATCAACAGGGGCACCATATCGATCACCACGGCGCGAAAGCTCTTCAATTCAATAGGACAGTGGGGTCCAATGGCCTGTTTAATCGGATTAGGATACATGACCGCCGACGAGAAGACGTGGGCCATCATTTTACTGACGCTGGCAGTTGGCATTAACGCCGGTTGCTCCTGTGGTTACCTTATTAATCATATTGATTTGTCCCCCAACTTTGCGGGTCCCATGATGGGAGTGACCAATGGTATTGCAGGCGTGACCTCCATAGTGGCTCCCTTAGTAGTGGGGGCGGTTATATCAGATGAAGAGGATCCCAGCCAGTGGCGATTAGTGTTCTTTATCACGGGAGGAATTTATCTGGTGTGCAACACCCTTTTCGTGATATTTGGTAAGGCCACTATCCAGCCGTGGAACGAGCCGGCCTCTATGTCCAGCACAATGACTCTTCGCAATAATCTGGAAAACGACTCAAAGTCCATTGCTCCCACGTCAGACAAAGACAACAGGTTCTAAAGGAGTCGAGCAACACCTGGATCCCATTGACAATCTCGTTAATTGTAGTAATTATAAGTTATTGTTATTATATGTAGCTTGCCGTCTGTGCCAGCGATATTTGGATATGCCTAGCTCTAACTTAAAGTATTGGTTTATGTTTACGCTTATGCTAAGGGAAGCTTAATATGACTTAGTTGTGTGATTAGTCCAAATTGGACTTTATGATGAGTGGCACGTTTCTAGGGTGATTAAGTCGATAAGAGTCTGTCAATATGCGAATAGTCTATGCACACAGCATACTAATAAATATTTACAGCCCTTGTAATTGCCGGAATGTGTCGTTTGATTAACCATTGTTGACTTGGAATCGCACCGACTTCGACGCCTGTTACTTGACCTTCTGTTGCAACAGTCGCTGCTCATTGAGACGTTGATTGATGCGTCGTGTGTTGGCCATCGAACGAATGATGGTCCACAAGGCTAGGGACCAACCAAGTAGAATGGTGGCGCATAGCACTGGACCGTAAGCGTTGGCCTGACCTACCGGCATCTCTGCGCGAAGCGGCGTTTTAAGCTGGCAGTCCACGTGCACTCGCCTCCAGTTGCAGCGTTCCAGATTCGCCATGGTCGTCGGCTGGCCATCCTTGACGACGTTCTCATCGAAACGGCTTTCCGGCGCATTCAGGCAGTATAGCTTATCGGGGCGGACAACTAACTCGTTCTCGATGAGCTCACTATCAGCCAATGGGCAGTTGAGATAGAGCTCCGGCAGGGGTATAGCCACAGTCGCCGCCGATCTAAGGGGATTACAGGGAAATCATTGTCTACCACTGCAATTCAACATTCAAGATCACCGTACCGCTTATCGCTGGGGGCATGGTAGCGAAAATGCATGGGTAGAGCTAACGTCTCCGTAATCTTGGGAGTACCGCGCAGTAAGACGGAGAAGGGCTGTGCCCGTTCCGTAGCCACTTCAATGTTGATGAACTTCGGGTAGACGGCACTCAACTAAGAAGGCAAAATGTAATGGTAAGTCCATGAAACTAAATTCTTCCGATAACGCACCCTCTTCAGCCGCTGCAGGTCATCCAGTTCGTCCGTGCTTATGTAAACCGATGCGGGCAATGACTGCTGCAGCGCGTATTCACAGTCCTTGCTCACTAGGGGATAGTCAAAACGAAGGCGGTAAGTGAGCGTCCTGTAAAAACATATATTTTATTCAATTTAAACAATTCCAAGGAATATCTCCTGGGGAAAAACCTATGCATGCCGGCTTTGTCCATTTCCACTTGAATAATGGGAGGTTCCACAACATAGCAGTTGCCCACACCTCCCATTAATCCCAAAAGTAAGATAAACCCAGAAAACTTTGTATATCCAGTGTAAACCATTATTTTAAAGTTTGCTTAACTTTAAAACTGCAAAATCGAAATGGTAAATAAAAACATTTCTTTTAGGGTTGTCAGTACACTTTAATTTCTTACGTTGCCACATCGATAACATTCCACAAATGCGCTTACATTTAAAAAAGCTTATCGGGAATTTCTCTCCTTGTACAAGGCGGATCCTTGTCTCGCCAATTTGTCGGCCATTTCGTTGCCTTCTATTCCCTTGTGGGCCTCCACATAGTTCTGGGGATAAAAAATAAAATTAAGAAAAACATGTCAAGCTATTTAAAGGAATCGGAAACCTACCCACTTTACAGTGATACTGTTGTTGTGCAGCAGTTCATCCAGTTCCTTGAAGTCAACAACGTTTTTTACAGGCTGGTTGTTCTTTAACTTCCAACCTCTTCTTTTCCATCCCGGAACCCAAAGGGTGATGGAATTTAACAGGAACTGTGAGTCTGTGCTGATGCATAGTTTTTTGATTCCCAAGTCTAGAGCTGTTTTGATGGCATGAATTGCCGCCTGAATTTCACCTACATTATTAGTAGCGCGTCCTTCAACGGGCTTGCCTGCATTTCTTCAAAAGATTGTCAGTTAATTAGTACTCACTGTGGATTATTTTAATCACTTACAGCTGGTGATCCTTGCCAAAATAGACTCCATAGCCGGCACAGGCTCCTGGTTTTCCATTTCCTATGCAGGATCCATCTGTGTATACAATCACATAACCCTCCGAATCGATTTCGAATTGAAAGGCACCAACTTTTTTAAGTCCAGTTGCTTCTGAGACCTGAGACTGATGTCGAGGGATCTTATTCCTAATATCACCAGTTTCATTGGCCTTCCTTTTGCGATTAAGTATGTCTGCCTGAAAAGAGGTATATTTAATAATCTTTACGAGAACTTGTTTGATTTCCCACCAAATTGTTACTACTAGATGGCTTGGGAACACCTTCCACTTCGTTCATAGCAGCATTCTAAAAAAGATTGTAAGTAAGAATATCAATTTTTAAATAGTTCTTCCTGCATACCAGGTCATCCTCCGTAAGGCCGTTATCGTCTTCAGGCCAGGCCTCGGTGTATTTGGGTTTCTTGATTCTCTCGGTCCTGTCCTTCCAACTAGCCGGAGCTGCCTCTTTCTGTCCCAGAGGCACCGCCACATCCTGTGGAGCGTATGATTTGCAGTCATTAACGAATAGCTCCGCCTCCTGGCGCGTTTTAAACTTCTTGAACTTGGCATTCTTGAAGCCCTTGGTCTGTTCCTCGCACTCTGACCACGAGTTGTAGACTCCTGCCCTCCGCCCACTGGAAACGGCGTAAAAAGCCATCGAGCAGCGTTGATGGCTCAAGGCAAAAAAACGAGAAACTAGCATATTTTAATGGCGACGTCTATCGAAACATATGTAAAAATATATATGTATGGCAATGCCGTGCCTGATGGCTGAATGTAAACAAACTCATAGAGTTGCCAGATCAGTGTAATCGCAGTGAAAACGTGTGGGTGGAAAACTATACAACTGCTTGTTATACGGGAGGTTTGCTTAATTCATCGTCATGTATCAGCCGCCTTTGCCACCGCCACCTGCTCAACCTCCTCCTCCGCCTCCTCCACCTCCACCGCAGTCGGAGGATGCCCCATCTATGTCTGGCGTTACCTCCCACACATACTCCTCACATGAAACCCAGGCTCACAGCACCTTGAGCTACGTGTATCCAGACACCAATGCAAGCTCAATCCCTAGCTATGATCCCTACCAGCAGCAGGCAGCTTATGGGTACGCTTACGAAGATCCAGCACAAAAGTATTATAGCCAGGAGTCCGATTACCAGTACCAAGCATCAGGGACATCCTACCCATACGAAACCTACAAATACTCGGATCGGTATAACCCATATTCATCCAACTACCGGTCACCCTCTGAAAGAGAGCGATACAATTCCTATGGATCTAGTCAGGGTTACCATCATTACCCTGGCTATAGCTCGGGAAGGCGTTATGACCAGCGACATGGTCAGGAGTACCGGCATCCTCAGGAGCCCCGATATGTCCAAGAATCACGACATGGACATGGTCACTATGCACACAGATCACCAAAGGGATCTCATCACGGCTTCTATGGATCTTCAGCCAGAAGTGGAAATACCGAAGAGTACCCGCCACGAAGCTATCGCGAGAAGGAAAGAAGCGAGTCGGTAGAGACGCTCAGACACAAACCCAAATTGGAAACTGAAAGAGCCCGTATTCTCCGTCAGTGGCGTTCAAACTACTGCGAGAAACCAGAGGATTATGTAAAGAAAATGAATGCTCTTGGCGAAGCGGAAGCTCCTGCTGAGTCCTGGGTACGATCTTCTCCAGCTGACCCATACTACGAACGCACTAAGAACGAGAACGAGGTAAAAGGTCGGGCGCGGCTGCAAAAGTTGTGCAAGCTGTTTGCCGAGGAGCTGCTGCAAAGAGCAGAGAGGGTGCGCCAGAACTTGCCCGTTTATGTGCCCCCTCCGAGGAAGGCCCGCCGTCGTGTTTGTAAGCACAAGCACAAGTCGGAAGCCTGCTCATCCTCCTCCTCCTCCGATGAGGACTCTGACGAGGACGCCTTTAAAATTGAGCAGGACTGCTGCATGGAGGAGCTGTCGCGTAAAGTGCAGCATCCACAGCGGGTGCACGCCGATCTCTGGCACAATGACGCAGGCGAGATGAACGACGGGCCCCTATGCCGCTGCTCTGCGAAGTCTCGACGCATTGGCATCCGTCATGGTATCTATCCAGGCGAGACTGGCTACAAGGTTTGCGACCCTAACAGCAACAATGCGGGCAAGCTCTTTCACTATAGGATCAGCATCTCGCCGCCTACAAACTTCTTGACCAAGACACCCACAATCATCAAGCATGATGAGCACGAGTTCCTATTCGAGGGCTTCTCGCTACTTTCACACGTGCGCCTCACCGATCTGCCCGTTTGCAAAGTGATCCGTTTTAACATTGAGTATACAATTGAGTACGAGGAGGAGAAGATGCCAGAGAACTTCACCATCCATGAGCTGGATCTTTTTTGTAAGTAAAATCAGATAAGACACTATATTATCAATATCTATTCTCCATTTTAGCTAAATACCTGTTCCACGAGTTGCTAGAGCTTGTGGACTTTGATTTGATGCCTAATGTAGCATCTGGAAGCGCCGAGGAATCGTGCCCGGCATTTCACTTCCTACCGCGTTTCGTACGTGATCTTCCGGATAATGGAAAGGAGGTTCTCGCCATGGTTGAGGTACTCCGTTACTTGTTAGATAACTCCGCCCAGCTGGTCGAAAGGCAACAGCTGCTCCACCTTAACCAGATCAGCCAGAACGAATGGCAGAACTACGTTGACTACATCAAGGGAATGCTGGTTACTAAGCCGGGTCATAAGCCTTGCTCACTGCGCGTAGACCAACTGGACAGGAACAACTCGGATTTACCTGAGTGCATAGATCGCGAGTCTGGAATCTCACATCCGGCGATCGTGCACTTCGGTATTCGTCCGCCACAGCTAAGCTACGCGGGCAATCCAGAATACCAGAAAGCCTGGCGAGAGTACGTAAAGTTCCGTCATTTAATGGCCAACATGTCAAAGCCATCTTTTAAAGACAAGCGAAAACTGGAGGAAAAGGAGCAACGCCTGCAGGAGATGCGAACGCAGGGGCGCATGAAACGAAATATCACTGTCGTCATAAGCTCGGAGGGATTCTATCGCACGGGCATTATGTGTGATGTGGTACAGCATGCAATGCTAGTGCCTGTCCTGACGGGACATCTCCGTTTTCACAAGTCTCTGGACCTGCTGGAGGAAAGTATCGGGTATCACTTTAAAAATCGTTACCTGCTCCAGTTGGCACTGACGCATCCCTCTTACAAAGAGAACTATGGCACCAATCCTGATCATGCGCGAAATTCGCTGACCAATTGCGGAATTCGACAACCCGAATACGGAGATCGCAAGATCCATTACATGAACACTCGCAAGAGAGGTATCAATACCTTAGTGAGCATTATGTCCCGATTTGGCAAGGATCATGAAACTGTATCAAACATTACGCACAACGAGAGGCTGGAGTTTCTCGGTGACGCTGTGGTGGAGTTCCTCAGCTCAATCCATCTGTTCTTCATGTTCCCGGAACTGGAGGAGGGAGGTTTGGCTACCTATCGAGCAGCTATTGTGCAGAATCAGCACTTGGCTTTGTTGGCCAAGAAGCTGCAGCTGGAAGAGTTCATGCTGTATGCACATGGATCCGATTTGTGCCACGAGCTGGAGCTGCGCCATGCAATGGCCAATTGTTTTGAAGCCCTTATGGGTGCCCTTCTTTTAGATGGTGGAATCAAAGTGGCAGATGAGGTATTTACGGATGCACTGTTCCGGCAGGACGAGAAACTATTGAATATCTGGAAGAATCTGCCGGAACACCCGTTACAGGAACAAGAACCACTAGGTGATCGAAGCTGCATTGATTCCTATCGAGTGCTCAAGGAGCTGACTAAGTTCGAGGACTCCATTGGAATCAAGTTCAAGCACATTCGTCTATTGGCTCGCGCATTTACCGACCGTTCCATTGGATTTACTCACTTGACCCTGGGGTCTAATCAACGATTAGAGTTTCTGGGCGACACAGTTTTGCAGTTGATTTGCTCGGAGTATCTTTATCGTCACTTCCCCGAGCACCATGAAGGCCACTTGTCTCTTCTGCGTTCTTCATTGGTTAATAACCGGACTCAAGCGGTGGTGTGCGATGATTTGGGGATGCCAAAGTATGCGGTGTATGCTAATCCCAAAGCCGACTTAAAGACCAAGGATCGCGCCGATCTGTTGGAGGCCTTTCTGGGCGCCTTGTACGTTGACAAAGGTCTGCTGTATTGTGAACAGTTCTGCCACGTTTGTTTGTTCCCGCGTCTGCAAATGTTTATCATGAACCAGGACTGGAACGACCCCAAGTCCAAACTGCAACAATGCTGCCTTACCCTGCGCACTATGGATGGTGGCGAACCGGACATTCCATATTACAAGGTGGTAGAGGCTAGTGGTCCAACCAACACGCGTGTGTACAAGGTGGCAGTGTACTTCCGCTCAAAGCGGCTGGCCACCTCTAGTGGCTCCTCCATTCAGCAGGCGGAGATGAACGCAGCTAAACAGGCGCTTGAAAACTCCAGGGACCTCTTTCCGCAGCTGGATCACCAGAAGCGCGTGATCGCCAAAAGCATCAAAAAGCAGACGGGCAACGAGTTAGAAAACGAATCCGATCGACAGTATCAGGAAGAGAAGGCCAAGAGACCCAAGTACCCGGCTCCACTGCAAGATGAGAGTCATCTGCCTAAACAGTATCGCATGCACGAGAATATCTCCAGCGACGAGTTGCCGGAAGATGACGAGTTTGAAAGCACAGCTCCGAAGAGCCCAACCAGTAAGTTAACAGATTGAGAGGCGACCTATGCGAATCTCCATAATTTTCTCTCTTTTCCAGTGCCCTTAAAGTTGAATAGAAATTTCAATAGCAGCAGCAGCAGCAGTGATAGCGATGGCTCCAGCTCATCTCCCAATCGGAAACGCCGATTGAAGACGAGTTCTTCGGTATCTTCCCTAACCTAACGAGGATAAAAATCGATTTTTGCATTTCCAAAGAATTCAAATAGCCGCCACATTTAAGTAAAAATAATTATAGGGACTAGAATGTAAATCTCTTCTCATGCCTATTATTAGATAAGCTCAAAACGAATCGCTCACTTAGTATGAAAATAAGACATAAACGTATCGGATTTCAACTTATTGATTAAAATATATTATCCCTACGAAATCTTCGTTTCATTTCGTAAAAATATATAAATACCTCAGATTTTAATGAATTAGAAAATGAAATTCATTGAAAACATGCACAGTGATTTGTTTCCCTAAAAATATTTACCTTAAATCATCCAAAAAGAAACGCTTAGTAAAATAACCGAATCGAATTTTGGTAAATATTTTAGCCAATTAAAACTTAACACGAGTACCCTTCGTACAAAATTGTGAAACACGAGTCCAACAAAGCGAAATGATCTCTCAGATCGTGGCGGCCTCATATCCAGCGCTATTTGAACAGAGAAAGTCTACGGCCCAGTCCAGAACGTGCAGACCCGCTGACGGCATTGGTGATATGGCTCATCTCGGGCAGATTGTGGATGTCACCGCGTGCTGCCACCGAGGGTGGGGAACTCAGGAGGCGCTGGGCAACGCGCTGGATATCGGCGGCAGTCACACTCTCTGCAATAAATGACACATTAAAGTTAAAGATCACAATGGGAAAACAGTCGATGGTCTAACCAATTTCCTTAATAAAATGCTTGGGTCTTTTGCGATGTCCTGTCACCAGCACTTGACGGCCCACATCCTCGAACACAACGGGTCGGGACTCCAAGTTCATCAGCAACATGGATTGCAGCTGGATCTTAGAGCGCATCAGCTCTTCCCGACCCGGCTCTGCAGCCATGCCCATCATTTCACGGGTCAGCACCTCGACCATGTCATTCATATGCTGTGGCGGTGCGCTTCCATGGATGCAGAACAGTCCAGTGTCGGCGTAGGCATGATTGTACGCCGTAGCACTGTACATCCAGTGGTAGCGGTTCAGCACTTTGGTATACAGACGCGAGTACATTCCCTTGCCAGGACCGCCGGCAGAGAAGGAGCCACCTCCACCCATCATGATGTTTAGGACGCACAGCGGCACAAAGTCCTTGTCCTGGTGAGAGCAGCCCTCGAAGCCAAGAACCACGTGAGCCAGCTCTGGTAAGCCCGCCGCAGCATAGATGGGGATTTCACATTGTTCCTATGGATAATCAATGTTTTTTCAACAATATTACTAATAGATTGATGCTGCAGACCTTCACTAATCCTCCTGTGTATTGAGCAATTGATGTATCAACTTGTTTGGGTCCCAAATCTTCCAGTGCTTCCGTTTCCCAAATGGCTTTGTCTTCCACAAAGTACCTTTTAACGTAATTCACCAGCTCATCATGATCCACCTAGCACGAGTTTCTCTTAAATCAAATGCCAGTACATTAATGTTTTAGTAGACTTACGCCTACACCGGCGATGACCATGCGCGTAGGAGAGTGGTGATACTTGAGATAGTTCATCAGCACCTTCCGATCAATGTGATCCAGATTCTCAAGCGGACACAGCTTGGGCAGACCTAACGTGTTATCCCTGAAGGCCGCCGAGTGGATCATGTCCATCAGTATAGGCTCCTGTTCCGGCCGCATGCCTAGGGTCTCTAGCTCAAAGTTGACGGCCCGCCTGGCCAGGCTTACCTCCTGATCGCTTAACGTGGGCCGTAGGGTAACGTCCGCCAGCAGACGTGTCACGGAATCAATAGCCCGGCTGTCAATGCTGGCGGCATAGATGAGCGTGTCCCGCGAGCTCTGACAGTCACAGATACCACCGTTCTTCTCCAGCTCCTTAAGTATGGCATCCTTGTTGGGAAAGTTGACTGTGGACTTTAGAATAGGTACTCCAGTTAGGTGAGATCTCAATTTACATAATCCCACTCACATTAAATGCCAGCTTTTCGAGGAAGTGCGAAACGCCGCTGGGGTAGGCCACTTCGTATCGCGGTCCGGAGTCGATGACCAAGCCCACGGTACAAAACTGGCCATAACGTGGTTCCGAAGCAATTCGTAGACCATTAGGCAACGTTGTTACCTTCGTGATAGCGCTCTCTGCTAGCGGAGCTGCGTAAACGGCCTCCGGCAGGTTGGGCAGTGGCTCGGTAAGGGGAGGCAGGTGGGTGACGATTTCTTTGGACGGCGTGTTCACCTTTTGGGGTCCATTACTAGTCCGCACACCGCCTGTAATCTGACCGATTCCAGTGCCACTGCCCACCTCATCTCCGCCAATTGTGGTCACCTTAGTGGCCAGGCCGCGTGGAAACCTAGGTAACGTTTGGGAACAAGGGCAATCATTAATTTTCGCCGGCTCCGTAACATCCCACCTTTCACCACCCCTCGAGATTCTTACGTGCGCCAAGAGTGTCTGAGCATTTTCAGCATGCCGATGCTGCGAGCGTTCATCATGTGCTGGTGATTTGGCTTTGGTAACGGTATTTACAAAATTACGTGATTTATATTTGAATTTGATTCAGAAACATATTTTTTTTATTCTTTTTAAACGAGTAAATTTCGAAGAAAAAAGAATGTTGATTTCTTCTTCTTCTGCTATAGACTTAAATGTCAGTCACACAAATTCAGGGCTGCACACTTGTCAGGGTTGCCAGTCCGTGTGCGGCTCGACTTTCCGTTACAATAAAAGATCGTTATTTTTAGTTTTACAAGGGACTTTATTTGTGAATAATACATTTTTGGCGGGCAAAACTAATCAAAATTAAAACGCCTTTTGCCATCGAACCGATAACCATAGGCCGCTGCATTTTTTGTGTCCACTAGCGCTGGGTTCCGATGCTTGAAGAAGCTGCCATGTCCATGAGCGGGACGCGAGGCACTATTGGGAATTCCCTCAACTTCTCGGGGATAGAAGGCCTCGAACATCCCCTCCGGGGGGAGACAGCACTCGGCTATCTTGGGATCATCGGGATCATACCCGGCCACTCCTCTAGACCCCAAAAATGACGCCAATACGAACACAAACAAAGTCTTGAGCAATATCGTAATTACACTCATTATCTTACAATTGGACTCACACGACAGACCAGGTGACTTTTACTTTTTGCTGGCTGAACCCGTTTAAGTCCGACTTGACGGACCTGTGGCTTTTCTGAACTGAAGTGATTTTGGCCAAAGCCTTGGGTGATATACACTAGCTTTATGCGTATGTACATATGTATATAATTGTTTGAATCAACATACGTATACGAAAATCAGCTGCTTTTTAACCGCCATTCGCGTAACTCTGGCAGCCTTAATCGGGAAGAAAACCCGGCATCTCAGTTTCCATTCCTCCGGTTTGAGATACGGATACATACAGCTCAGATTTTTCTTATTACTTCGCACTTTGGTCTCGCTGGGAAAACTACAAATACAGCCACCATGGATTTAGCTAAAAAAGAACCCGGTTTCTTAGATAGGGCTGCCTTCTTTGGTAAGTTCCTATATATTATTTAGATTTACAACATGCCCCAACCGCGGAAGTACTTTATTCTACATATAGACATTAACATTTATTTTTTAGCAACAACATATTTATCAACTTTTAAGTATCATTATTTTAACCATGATTTGGGATATACAGTTATTTTATTAATGAATTTTTTAAACAAAAAGAAACTCCGTAACAAATATTGATAACACATTTATTATATTTTTTGTTGTAATTGTAGAGTTAAATTACTTTTGTTTATTGTTATTTATTTACATTGCTTGGAATCATCATTAACAAGAAATTGACTTTATCATGTTTTCGTCTGGCTGCTTTATAATGTCGTTCATTGAATGTTAATCTAGGGCTGAATACATACAATCTTACATCTTTCTTGCTTATCAATTTTTAACATTATTATATTTCTTTTTAACAATTCCCATAGTATTTTTACATATTGATTGAACAAATTTTTTATAAAAATATAATTACGCTTTATAGTTGTATTCTTCTGAGTATTTGATAAAAATTATGCAAACCTTCATATTTCTCTCTTATCAATCTGTCACATTTATTATATTTTTTTTAAAGAAATCCCATAGGATTTCTAAATATTTATAAAAAATTGTTTATAAAGATTTTTTTACTCTTTATAGTTGAAAACAATGACTTGACTAATAATAATGTGGTCCTAATTTAATAAAAATTAATGCTAATACTCTTAAGTAGGACTTTATATTTATAATTTTATTTTGCGCAAAGAAATATTTCCTAAGTTATGTTGGATTTTCTTGTCTTTATTTATTTAACAAATATTACTTACAAAAACAAAAACAAACAAAACAAAACTTATGTTAACTAATTTATTGGCTTACAAAAAACCCACCCCTTTTCCCCTTTACCAATTGACCGTTTTTTAAATCTTGATATGTTATTATGTTGTGTTATTTTCGGCATTTTTTGATTTATCCATATATTTTCAGACAAAGAAATGAAAATATCAATCAATTGTCTGAGCCCATTCCAAAGTATGTAAGAGATTACGTAACATAGGGATGGTCCAAGTTGATTATTCTTGTAGTGCTTTAGGACTTATTTTATATATATTAGCTAAGATAATAACTTATCATTTTTTATAAAGAATTTAATGATTATTATTATATTTAATATGATTTATTATTATCTTGTATTATTATTATTTATCAATGCTTAAAATAATGTATTATTTTTCCAATTATTTCTCATTAATTTGAATTACAATTTTTTTGGTTTCAGTTTTGACTCATTTTCTTAAATCACCCAAAAACAATGACCGTTACCCACCTATTCCATTGCCAGCGCCTCCTCCTCCAGCTCAGGATGCATCTCCAGAAAGTGGGATAATTACCCACGACTTGATTGTTAAGAGCATTTTATTCGACGATCAATCAATTCGCAAGGCCTTCGTAAGGAAGGTTTTCGGAATCCTTGTGGTAACTATATTGTGTATGCATCCAGTTGAACATTTCATCAGTTTGATTCCCGCAGATCCAACTACTGTTCACATTGGTTGTGATGGGCATATGCACATACAACCAGTCCACCCGGGAATTTATGCAGGATAACTTTTTCATCTTTTACGTCGCCGTGATTGTTCACGTAATTGTGATGGTAATGCTCGTGTGCGTGGAGCGCATACGACGCAGGCATCCCGCCAATCTGATTTGCCTGGCCATCTTTACAGTCACCATGTCCGTGCTCTTGGGAATGATAGCCAGCTCATTGGACTCCAATTTGATAGTCTCGGCAGTGGCAATAACTACGGTGCTGGTCGCCGCACTTTGCATCTATGCCGTGCAAACTAAGTACGATTACACTGCAATGGGCGGGCTGATGGTTACCTTTGTGATGATCATTTTCATCCTGGCAGTGTGCAGCTTCTGGTTGCCCGACTTCGTAGATAGCTTGCCAATTTCATGCCTATGCGCAGCAATCGGCAGCTTCTTCCTGATCCACGACATGCAGTCGATAGTCGGCGGGAATAGAGCGGAACAGTTGGATCCCGAGGAGTACGTGTTCGCAGCTCTTACTTTGTACACCGATGTGATTCGTATATTTCTTTATATTATTAAGATTCTACAGAAATTTAATTAGTATGGATCTCAGTCCGGAAAAGCCAGCTAATGTATTTGTACCAGAGCTTACCTTTATATTTATAACCGGCTTCAGCTTTAAAAACCAGTCAAAAGTGCCATTTGCAATTGAAGTGCCAAAAAAAAAATTGATATTAAATATCGGATGCAATTGCAATGCAATTAATTGCCAATTACAGAGTCAGAACAAGAAGAGTGTTGTTTGGTATTGATAATTCAGAATTTTATTAACTTACGTTTTTGGCTCGTCTTGTTCTAGGATTGTTACATTACATTTATATTTATATTTATATTTATATACTGTATATGTTTGTCTATGCGTGAGTAACTATTAAATACAATCACAAAATTTATGCCATTTGATGTTCTTATGTATTTACAGTCGGGGCAGTTAACTAAACATGCGTTTTTACACTTATTGGGGCTCGCAGCAAAGCCATGGAAACATTCACACAGATATTTAATAAGTAACTAGGGCTTGACTAAATGGTTACAAGTATTGTTAGGCTGCACATCCTAACGCTAAGCTAAATTACTGTGCTCTGGTCTGTTCATTTCCGATCTTGTCTTTGACTCGAAGTCATCTGTCTAACTCAGCTAGATTGGGAATCTCTTGACCTTCATCTAGTTCAAATGATGGTGTGTCATTTCCGTCGAAATTCCTACTAGTCTTGGTTTGCTTCGTCTGCTCCTGAGAGTATCTATCTGTGTGTGTGTGTGCTGGTAGAAAACGTTGTATCAAATGCTTTGGCCACGCCCACGTCCACTTCTTGTTTCAGTTTTCCATGCTCAGTCGTCCGTAAACGGATGGTCGGATGTCTCGCTACTGTTGCGCCGCCGGCTCTCCAGAATTCGCGTCGCCTGCTCTAGTGTCTCCTTGTAGAAAATATTGCGTGGACTGTCGCTGGGCAAGGAGTACTCAGTGTCGTCCATTTGCGAGGTGAGACCCAGGACGATGTTGAAGGCGGACGCATCGTAGCCGTGGCATCCGGAGTATCGGTACAGGGGCTTCTTGTTGAACTTGCAGCCATTCGATTGGGCACCTGGATAAAGATGAGTGTAAAATTATTTCACCTTTCAAAAGAAGTACGAAGTATGTATTACTACAAAGTATATATTACTGCCAACCGAGCTACGAGAGGTTTAAAAGAAAGGCGTTGATCGTGCAACTTTTTCACATATACATATATCACCCAAAAATTAAGGACCTATCTTTGTTAGGCTTTAATATAGCAAGTTGATCTATAAAGCCAAATCCTAACATTGCAATATAATTTAAAAACATAAATAAAAAAATCAATTACGCTGTTAGAAAAATGTATTGGTAAGGTTCATTATGTTCGTTTTGGGGAAGGCACCCTACCCTTTTCCATTCTTAAACATGACATGAATTAAAATCAACAATGGGCTTAATCGCGAAAGTATAATGTTTCATTAATCAAACCCGACAAAAAAGGCACTTGGAAAAGCCGAGTGCTCTTCAATCGCTCTGCTTACACAGAAAACAGAATATAAGAGATGAGAGTAAGCGGACGAAAGCAAATCGAAGATAAGCTTCGTTTTACTCATGCATTGAACAATCTTTATGGCATTCATTAACTTTAAATCAATATAGCTACCAGCATCCCATTCATTAGCATTTGAAGATATTTTATAGTATATCGAAACCTGATTTCATTATAGATACTAATGAATTATCAAAGAACAAATGCGATATTGTTTAGCTTCATTTTTCGATGTGTGATATGGAATGTTTGTGGAAATGAAATGGAAATGGAGTATGCCAAATTAGATAAACGATTAACTGGAAAACGGGGCTTATCAAAAACAAAATTATAATTGGGAACTAACTAGACATCAGTGTTGCGGCAGTTAGTTGATGAAATGGACACGATACTAATGGTGGACAAAGAAGAGGTCCCGGGCATCGCTGTACAATGTGAACTGCTGACGTCCAAAGGACATTTGAATAGGACCTACGAATTCGACATAGCGGATATCAAACTCCGTCGTCGCCTGGTGTCCAGATTTTACGGAATTCTAATTGTAAGACTTATCAGTAATCTATCGCTTAAGTCTTATACCTATAAAGTGACTGTTGCAGCTACAGGTGGCTTGTACCTTGCCCTGCCTGGAGCTGTTGCTGAGATTTCCTTTACCCTACAATTATGTAATACCCTCAACGATGGTCTTTACCATGTCGATCTACACTTGCTTTTACGTTTGGCGAGAGTGGAGGAGACTTGCCCCTTTCAATTATTTTGTACTCTTCGTGAGTACATGCATTGGATTGTTCAATAGGAGCGTATATCTGGTCACTTTGGTGGAATCACATTGGGTGAGTCCAAATGATAAACTTTAAACTTTTTTGTGGAAAAAACTGTTCTTATTCCAGGTCTATTTCTATCCCGTCGTCCTCATCCTTGAGTTGTTAGCTCTTATGCTGTACTCCTCACAGGAGCGCTATCGGTTTACCCAATTTCGTGGAATTTCCATAATCTGCCTCGTCTTCGGGATGTTTCTCCTGGTGGCCTACCACTTCAACAGGGTGGTAGAACTCTTCTCCGGAATGGCCTGCACATTGGAGGCGTGGTACGTCATCTACGATACCCACTACATGCTGTGTGGCCGACATGGCTATACCATTGGACCCCAGGAGTATGTCTTTGCTGCATGCAACATCCACTGCGATCTGCCCAAGGGAATCTGGCGATTTATTAAGATGATTTTCATCAACAAAATCATGGAAATGATTCGCATGTTTAGAGAATGCTTTCGGGCCGAGGTTTGCTAAGGGAGACCACCCAGTTGGCTTGGAAAACCATAATTTCAATTTCAATTAAATTTCGGCTGTCAAAATTTATGTTTAATAAAACCAGTCTTTAGGTTTTCTCCAACCATGCCAAGATTCTTCCAAGCCCTATCCAAGTCAACGCTTTATCCTAAACTCTGGGGTAAGCCGAAAATTATCCTGGGACACGCTCGTCCTTATTTCAGCAGGGCTAGGAATAACGCTCAGGCAGACAATCATGAGAACTTCTTTAGCTTCAATTTGGATAGTTTGAAGATCCCTCTTAACGAGGAATCGGATCACCTTTGGAAAGGTCTATATTCAAGTAGATTTTTGGGTGGTGCGGAAGGGGATCATCAATTTAAGATTGGCATTAAAAACTACCATGCAGATAAGGAGTTGCCAAAGTGGAAGCAGATTAAGGATCACGTCAAGGATCTTGAACAGATCTATCAGCCTCAAAAGAAGCCTAAAGACAAAGGAATTTATTTTATGAAGCGGAATAAAATTTCAGATAAAAATGTTGTTAAAATTAATGACATTAAAAAGCCAAAAATAAGAATCAAACCCAAAAATAAACTTCCGATACATTCGCCAAAGCCTTTGAGAACTAATCTATCCGAGAGTCTTGGCCATCTTCTAAAAGAACTATTAAGTAGGTATGTGTTCACAAAAAAACAAGTCAAAAAGGTAAAGAAATCCCCAAATAAGCCAAGGAAAATATACAAAAAAGGCATCATTGATATGCCTAAAATTATAAAGAAATCAATGAACACCCACAAAAAAGCTAGAAAAGATAAAGATAATAAGCTGGAAGAACTGTGGTCACCTGCAGAAGATTCTTTGAATTTGCCAACCGAAGATAGAGAAAGCAAGTTCCCAAAAAGGAAATTAAAACTCCTAACAAAATCTTTACGCACCCAAGAGTTAACACAAAAGAAAAAAGAAAGTGAACTAATAGAACTGGGCGAGTTAAGAAGTCCAAACTATCCCAAAAGGTTGACCAAGAGTATGAGACTTAAGATGTTAAAGACCATATTCCAAAGGGGTTTGTTGAAAAAAAAGATGGCTAAAAGGGTATCAAAACATAAAATAAAATCATTACACACCCAAAAACTAACCAAAAGTGAAAAGGAAGGACTGATGGAGCTCTGGCCAACTCTAGTAGATCTTGGTGAGCTGAAAGGTCCAAGGAACCCCAAAAGGCTGTGCAAAAGTATGCGGGCGAGGATTCTTAAGACGTTACCCCGAACCGCTTTGAATTTGCAAAACCAATATAAAGAAATATTAAGAAACAAGTTCGCAAAGAGAAAATTTATTAAGTCATTACACACCCATAAACTGACCCAATATGAAAAAGAAAACAAACTGATGAAACTGTGGACCAATCTAGTAGACCAGGGCGAAATAAAAGGTCCAAAGGATCCCAAAAGGTTGACCAAGAGTATAAGACATAAGTTATTAAACACAATAGGCCGTAATGCCATAAAGTTGCCAACGGAATATATAGATATATTAAAACACAAGGTCCCAAAGCGGCAATCGCAATGTGATTCGATTTGTTCAGAACTTCCTAGTGCAAGGGCAACGAGAAGCACAATCCGAGATACAAGAAAATCGAGTTTGAACTTTAAATTGCCGTTTAGTCTAGGCAAAGGCCTAAAAATCCATGACTATGGGTTCAAGAAGGCGAACAAGCTGGACTTAAAACGAGATTCTTCCAAAAGCAAAAGTGCGCTTAAGGACCTGCCTAAGTCTATTACTCCAAGGGAAGCAGAAGTAATTTCTAGCCGAAAACTCTTTCGTACGATGGACTTGAAAGTAAGGGGAACCACTAGGCAAACTGCCTTTAACATGTTTCTAAACATTAACAAGTTCAATGAGAGAACCATCACTTCCAAGTCAGATCTATTGGATCAAATGAATCGAATGGAGAGCCTAAACAAGAAGGAGAATGACAACATCGAGGATATCGAGGAACCTTTCTCTCCTGTAGCTTATGATTTATCAGAGAGTTTAAACAGAGCATTTCCGACGCTAAAACGAAGAATTATTTCCAGGACACATTTGGTAGACTCCGTTCCAGAAGCCGAAGATAGGCCAGGCGAATTCTGGTCCTATACTGATTATGATTACGAAAAACTTCAAATTTCTTTACATAGAAGGAAGCGCAAAACAGTTAAGACCTTAATGAAGAAAAAACATGGTAGTTCCAAGCAATCCGACGCAGCCACTCAGACTGAAACCATTTGTCCAATTTGCAATTCCTTGCAAAAATATAAAACTGAAAAAGTATCACCATTGGTGATGGAAATGGAAATTAGAAGAAATTTTCTGACACGTCGCCAGTACTACATGGATAATCTGAAACATAGGAAATTTTTAGTTATTGGAGATTCAGGAAACCAAAAAACAAACTTTGAATCATCAAATAAAAATAATCTAGGCCATGTTCAGCACAGCAATCAATGCTTTAGCATGGCCAACTATGATTGCAGTAATACGTATTTAAAAGGACCTAAAATCATAACTGAAACTTATGAGAATCTAAGAGCTCCTCTACTGTTTGATACTAAGTCTGAAAAAGTTAAGGCCTACAAGGCTCTAGATATGTCAAACATTTTTTTAAAATGCTATCAAACACTTTTCGAGGCAGAACAGCGAACTAATAATTATAATATTTGGACCTTGAAGTAACAGTTTGCTGTTTTCATTTTACTTGTAGAAGAAATATTTATCAGAATCTAGTCCCAATGAAGGAAAAGACGTGCATTGCTCTCTTGAACGAGTTTAATTGCTTTGCAATTTGTCAGCGAATAAACAAAGCAAGAAGGAGCAGCAATACAATTTACAACTCCAGGAAAATGAAACGATTTCTTAATTCATTTTCTCGAATCAATTGACAACGAACTCTGTGCTCAGTTCATAGAACTTCTATGGAACGAACAAAGAGTTATTTTCAAGGAAATTCAACGAAATGAATGCAAATTTCCCAAAGCTTAGTTAACATAATATCTAAATTACAGAAAAAACCCAACAATGTTAATATTGATAACTACTTTCTAAGGGACAGTCCGATCGAAAAGGCATTGTCACGTTTGCCATCAATCCCAATTCAGATGGTAATTACATAAATTTCCCCGATGTGAGTGCCATCAACGGAATGCCGTGCAAATGACGGTCATTAGTACACCGGGCCAGCCCCAAAGGAGAGTTATGGGGTGGTGGCACGAATATACATAGGTTTGATTGATTTATATTGGGGGCAGAACGGGACACATTCCTAATGACAGTTTTCCATATCCTAAAGCCACCACACTAACTGTCGACTCACCGATTGGATCGATGCACTCGAGGGTGAGGCAGCACTTCAGCCAGGGCAGCATGATCTTCTCGGTGACCAAGGGGCTGCCCGAAAAGAAGACTGCATCCAGGTCGATCATCCGAAGGAAGTTGAATTCCTCAGCTTTCGACTCGAAGTAGTCGAACATTTTTGGGTGCGTGAGCGAGGACACCGCCGTTGGTGTGTTCCAGCCCAGGACTCCTGCGGATTTGACTCCAGCTGTCTTTACTCCTGGATTCATCACGCTGCTCTGTAGATAATGCAGCTGGGCGGAACCTCCCCGCACCCGCATGTAGTTTTCTAGGAAGAGAACCGACCGGGCACGCATCAGACCATCTTTGATCACAATTGGCCGGTAGGCATGCGTCCGCTGATCGGCCACGAAGGAGGGGAACTCCGATAGGTCATAGGTGATCACCGAGCACCGGCTGTTGTTGCAGTAGGACCCCAAGTCGCGAAGCTGCTCCTCGGATACGCCCAAGTCGTAGATGAGCAGATATTCGCTGGGCAGCTTGGCGGCAATGTTCTGGGCCAGCAGAATGGCCGATGCAACCTGACCCTCCAGCACATACGTGATGATGGTGAAGTTGCTTCTTGTGCCATTATACGGCGTGGTGATCCGCTTCCGTTGCCCCCGTTGCTCTTGATCCCCCTGCTGGCCACCGAAGGTAACGGCATCCTGGGGACGCCGCAGTCCTCGCAGCTCGCTGAGCTCCAGTTCCGCTTTGGTGGCCGGCGCTGGAAAATCTGTCTTTGGCGGGTACTGACCTGATGACCCAATGACCGCGGCATCCCGCGGCTCCAGCTGTTCCTGCTGGCGTGAGGCATCCTTTGGAGAGGTGAAACCCAGAAGTAGCAAATACTTTGGGTCTATTTCCAGCTTTTTGGGTTCCAGACCAACGCGGAGGTTCTCCTGCAAGCGATTAAAGAGAAAAGTAATATTTTAAATAGGGCTTTGGATTACTAAAAAAAAACAATAAACAATTTAAATAGTCATAAGCTGTTAAGAAAACAACACTTTAATCAATAATTCATGTCATTCCGAACGGCCAAATGGTCAAGTAAATATTACAATCCTTGTGCCTAAAAGCCCAGCTCGGTGAGCGGAATTTGCCTCGTCATGGGAGCAATTTGAAGGCGACACATATTAGTTGACCCGGCGGAAACACATGTGAGAAATCTTTCCATTACGGCCCTCAAGCACGCTCCCTCTTCCAGCAGAAACCAAGCCAAGTAAATATCCCAACCTAACCCAACCAAACCCAAAACCCAAAAGCCGCCGCACAATGGAAACTTCTCGTGCCGATGTCAAATTCCTGTCTATTATTTGTTTTGATTGTGGCTAGAGGAGAGCGTGCCGCATGCTCTGTCTCCTGGCGCCCCTACTCCTCCTCCGCCTCCATCACCTTCTCCTTCTGTCAAAAACTGGTGCCAGGTGTGCCCCACTGCGGGCAGGTGAAGGGCCGAAGGGGAAAGACTGAAATTAACCTGCGGCAAAAGACGGCAGCCAAAGGCACAGGCCAGGCGTCGCCAAACCCAAATCGCATGACAACCTTGCTCTGTGGATGGCAACCACTACATTGTTATAGTACACTCAAAATTAAAAGTAATACTTTAAGTTAGTTTCCTTGGTTTCAAGGAAAGATAATAAGAGTATTTAGTTGGTAAAGTAAGATCAACAAAGATTCTTTCTAGACGTTCTATAAGATGTACAAAATGGCAAATAGGGGAATAAAAAGCTAAAACCTTTTCCTAATTACAGTTTTCAGTGTAGCATTGAAACGAGTCATTGTGCATATTGTACTTCCTAAACTCTTACCAAAAGGCACTCTCCTCACCGGCTTGTTAACAAACAAGGAAAGATACCAGCTGATGGTTGTTGCTGGCAATTGGAAGCGATCAGCTTCAGGGCCTCGTGGCCCAAGGACATTCGAATCAATCAACTTTGTCCATGTGGCACTGCGCTTATATAACAAGTATATTGATTTTGTGCCAATCGGTTTTGTGCACTTTGCAGCGAAATGAAGCCACCCGGTGGATGTTCATTTATCCGTTTTTCCATTTTCCTTCCGGATTTCCCTTGGGTCAGGAATCGATATTAATGTCAAAGCCCGTGTGAAGTTGTAGGGGGCAATATTTCAGTTGACATCTCCAAGCAGATTAATATACATTCCCACCAAACTAAACCAGATAACATTTCCTCAAAACAAGTACACTTAAGATGGAGGATTTACCTTTTGAGGAACAAACCCTGCTCATGGAGTGCTTCCGCATGTTCGACAAAGAGAACGAGGGTGCCATCACCTCCAAGGAAATGTCGGCCGTGATTCGCGCTCTGGGTCGCCAGCCCATTGATACGGAAGTCCAGTCATTGATCAACGAGGTCGATTCGGACGGAAATGGCTCCATCACGGCCGCGGAATTCTGCACCGTGATACTTCGCAAAATGCATGACACTGGCCAAGAAGAAGAGCTGCGCGATACTTTCCGCGTTTTCGATAAGGAGAACAACGGATATATCACCATCATTGAGCTAAAGAACATATTCACGGCTCTTAGCGTGAAAGTGAGCGATGAAGAGTTGGAGGATATGATACGAGAGTACGATTTGGATCAGGATAATAAGATCAATTACGAGGAGTTTGTCAACATGATGACTACGCGATAGCTTCCAGGTCTGTTGTTAAGACTTCAGATCAGTAACACGACTTATCCTTTTCCCCTTTCCCCAGCAGGCGACTTCGGCATTGACTTTATTGTCATTTTAAATTTATTGTTTACTTATTTTAGTTGTCACAAAACCAACAAGGAAACAACAAAAACAAAGACTCACTACAGTAAAACATAAAAAAAATTTAATTTTTGGCCAGCATGGCCACTTTGACCGATGCCCAACTAGAAGAGCTCCGGGAAGCCTTCTATCTGTATGACCCGGAGAGGTCAGGAAGGGTGACGGTCAAACAACTTGCCGGTGTAATGCGCGCTCTTGGCGAGGTCCTTACCGAGGCGGAGATCTATGACCTGGCCAACGAATGTAGCGTGGATTACAGTGGCATGGTGCAGTTTAAGGATTTCCAATATGTAATGTCCAAACGTCTGGAGGATCAGAACAGCTTGGTGTCCTTGAAACAGGCCTTCAAGATCTTCGATCGCAACGAGGCCAATAGTTTCACGATATCGGAAATCAAAATAGTAATGACCAATCTGGGCGAGAAGATGTCCGATGATGATTTGCGTGAGTTGTTCCAGGATATCGATCAGGATAAAGATGGTAAAATTAGTTTCACTGAATTCGTTGCTGCCATGCGAAGTTGAATTAGGAATTCCAAATTGAAAGAACCAAATAAACGCGAACCCCTTCCTTTTCGGAAAATGCCCAACCCAATAGCGGTTTTACTACGCCTAGGCACCACTTGAAATTTCCACCAGAATTCCTCAGAGTCAGTCGGAGCAGCGCCAGAAAGTCGGCTTTGAAACCTTGCCCCAAGAAGTCGTGCGTTGTTTTCGTGTGTGTGTGTATGTCCATGTGGCTGGGCGCGTGACTCCGAAATGGGGAAAGTGGTCGCATGTGCCTAATGGCCGCTGGGGAGTGCCAGGATATCCAAAAAGGGTGATGGCGATGGGGCCCGGCAATCATAAAAACGAGCCACGCTGATTACGATGCCAATTTAAATATTTGACATGCACCGCTCTCGCTGTTTACCCTTACGTCTGGCCGAGTTCAAAGCTGGGATGTTATTCCCCAAGTTATATGTAGAAAAAAGCATTGGTTTCGAATCTTATCGCACTTAGCACTTCAAATTACGATGTTATATTAATAGGCATACAACATAAACTGCTCATGACTCATTTGGCAACTTGAAGAGCTAATAAAATAGTTTAAAATGACTAATTTCTCGTCAAAAAAGTTCAATTGTCTGGCATGAAGGAAAATACACAGATATAGAATATGAAACATATGCTTTGGTTATCTGATTAGATATTAACAGGGGTGTAAATGGTAAATGGTTCTCTGCAACGTTTTGTTTCTTGTTAACATTTCCAGAAATACGAGATGGCAATCTGGTTCAATATTACATTAACCGAACACATTAACAAATTTTTTGATATTTTAATCTGCTTTAATAATGTTTATATATAGGCGAATAGATTTGATTTTCCTTACAAATAAGCAGATGAATTTGCAGTACCATAAAAAATGTAAGCATCCTTTGTTTTGATTTTGGAAAGAATCTGCAGATTCTTCGTGGAGTCTGTAGATTGTCTCCGTCAACAGCTTTAGGGAACAAGAATTTTACAAACGCTTAAGACAAATTTTAGACTCCTTTAAGCTCAATGAAAATAGGTTTGTCTGGTTAAGAAAGTCGATTGCTTTCGATGGGCAGATTTCATAAATGTATTTAGAAATCAAAAGCTTAATTTTCTTCTCAACATATCCAGCCAAATAAAATTACGCCTTTATAGTTAACTATGTAGAATACACTTTTTAAAAAGGAAATTATTTCTATACTGCACGGGACTTACAGATCTTAGTAAGTAAGGTCTCTTTTAAGTTGGTGGAACAGACCTTCTAGTTTGCATCAATAATTACTTATTTTAATTTGTTTCACCTTTTTATTTAAATAGCAGTCTTAGACATAAACTTCCGAGTGATCAAGTTAGATCCACACCCAGGCTCAGTCAGTACAGCTCCAAAACACAAACTGAACACATCATAGAAACATTACTTCCCGAAAACTCAGTCTCACTCAATTTCTCTAACACCGAAATGGAACACCCAGAGTATACTTTGTCCCGTGACGACCTCGAAGATATTAACGAAGCATTTGCTCTTTGTGATCCCGAAAGAACTGGAAGGATTAGTCCAGAAGATTTGGGAACTGTGATGAGCGCTCTGGGCCAGAACCACACGGAGTCTGAAATCTATAGATATTCCGAGGGACTCGATGAAATGGGAAATGGTTTTATCACACTTAAAGATTTTGTCGACTTGATGACCAAAATGTATAAACTTATGGATCAGACAGACTATCTAAAGGCGGCCTTCAACACCTTTGATATAGATAAAGATGGTTTGATATCATATTCCGAGTTGCGTGCTACTTTCTACAGTCTTGGCGATAGAATGACTGACGAAGAATATGATAAACTTTTTCGCCAGTTTGATACCGATAACGATGGATTTATTGATTGGCATGATTTTTATAATGCTTATAAATCTTAAATGAAGGCTTACTATTCTCAAATTTTTAGAGAGCATTGGAAATAAAAATTGTTATGAATTTAACTGTTGGTTTAACTCTACCAGCGAGGACTTTCACATGTTAAGAGTGATCGATAACCCTGCAGCTAACTTTATTTACCCGCCTTTTGAAATAGCTCGTTATACCACTCGTATATACCGCTTTTTAAAGCTATTTCCTATCTATTTTCTAAGATTATCAAAGAAAGTTTTCGAATTGAAATCAGTATCAGTATCCCTGCATTATCTTAAGAGTTTCGAGCGATATTGCTTTCAATTTTCCAGCTATTTGCCTCTAACTTCCCCCGCATGAAAATTAGTGAAATTGCCGGAAACCTACGACTTATTCATTTTAATCAAATGTCGAGAGGTCAGTCGGTCCATCGCTTGTCAGCCGTATTTTCCTAGCTCCCCCGTATGGATAATTTAAATAGATTATTGCCCAACTACAGTTTAATTGTATTACTCTGCATGTGGCTGGGTAGTGGGTAGTGGGTGGCGACGGTGACATTGAACCGAGGGCTGTCAAAGCTATATGGCAATCAATAGCGCTGCTCGTTTAGATACTCCGCACAGAGGTAAATATGAAATACGTTTAATCGCTGTGCAAACGCATTGATAGTGCTGGCGGTCATCGGTGCAATTTATGTCATTGATTAGAACCATCTATTAGATGACTTGACACAAATTGCCTCAAATAGAGCGGCATTAATATTTAAAGAAAAGAATTTCGAAGAAGAAAACAAACATTCAAAGAACGCAATTGGATAATGCTGATTCCCTGAAAACAACACTATAATTGGCTAGTCAATTTTCGAATTTACATTCCCGCTTGAATTATGAGGCAGGCAGCCCTGTCTGCCCCGAAGTTTTGCATTGAACTTAGAGTCTTATTTTATTCAGCCGCAGCACCTGTTTGATTCCCACAAACCGAGCACTTAACAATATAAAAATTGTAGGGTGGGCTGTGAGCCATATATATTCGGTACTGCTTTTAAGTACTCATTCTACTTGAAAATAATATGGGGACTGACTTATAAATAGATAGTTTGTAGTTGAAATTATTCATTTATTATTAGTTTCCATGGTGGAAGTGACATTCCGTTGGCTCTTCAAAATGCATTACATTCTTCCTGGCCACTTGACATGGCTTGCTAGCTGGCCAGTTTGAACAATCAATCACTTTAATTGTAAGTCTATATGCTTGCTTACATCAGTAAAAAGTGGAAATTCAATCGAACACATAAGCGTAATTCGAGTTAGATATACACAAGCAACGTTACTGGGCCAAACCAGTTTACTTTTAAACGCAATTCATATTACTCACGGAACACGGAATGCCTCAGTCATTGTTGCAATTGTGGGAACGACTTCACCACGAAAATTTACTTGAAATGCATTTAACCCCCCTTTTTTTGGGGTTTATTCTTACTTTTAGATGATAAGTTGATAGGTTGATCCGTATGAAAACAGCGGTATTATTCATTAATGCTGCCATTATCTTTGTTTGTCATGATACCGAAATTGTACGATTCTGTTTACCTGACTAAGATAACAGCAAGCTGTAAACTTCGAAGCGAAGACTCTTTTTTACGGCTCCATTATATTTGCTTTTATATGCGTACGTGATGAGAAGAGAACCCAAAACGAAGAGCCGCCTAGCTCAGTTTATTATCAGCCAATGTAAAACGATGAATTTTAACCATCCGGTTATATAATCTAACACATTCACCTGAACCCGAAGAAGTCCCCTAGCAGCGGAGGTATAGGGGCAATAACTAACCACAGTCCCCTCGAGTTGCCCAATAACTCAACGGGGTCTGCAACCGGACTCCGACCGGAATCTAATTAGTGTAAACAGTAAACGCTTTGGCATGCGAAATGTAAACATACCCAGCGCCGGCCGTGGATTTGTTGTGTTTGCCGACATGGCCAAAAGTGTTCTGAAATGAACCTGAACCTGGTCAACATCCGCTCTTCCTTCTCCACCTATTCCAGACGTTTTTGTGAGTGATGCTGATGACTTTCGGTTTGCTGCCACCGGCCTGTTTGTCTTGGCCAAATGTGCCAGACTGCCTGGCATATCTAGCTTTTGGCCCACCCACCCAGCAGGACGTGCTTCAATTTGGCTAAGAGCACAAACTGAGCAGAAAATAAGCTACATGTGTGGGTGTGGTCAGGGCGGAGCACAGTTCAAGGCCAAGTTTGATGCCAAAAACCAGACGCTGCCAAAGGCAATTGCCAGATATAACAAATGTCCTGGATATAGAGCCGTCCATTGCCACCACGCTTAACTATCTGCTCACAGTAGAAAATATGAATCATAGATGTGGCCTGCGTTATAAATCAATTAGTTTCGCATTCATTTTTCTAAGCTCCACCCTGTTGATAACTGATAAGTTAAAGCGCTTCGAATCGAAGCAACCAAAACTCGAGTGCACTGCGGTTTCTGCTTTCCCTCAGGGTCTGTGCCAGATACGAATAGATAATTGTTATTTAATACCCTTATCAAAGCGATTCAGTCAAATTGGGGGCACGGAGTGTCCATATCTGTGATTTAACAACCCCCTGAAAATGTGACTCAACTCACCTGAAACTCTTTCAACTGCTGGTGCGTCTGGACGACAATGTTCTTGAAGGAATCGTTCGGCTCGCCGGCTGGTCCGAATGCAATGAAGACGATCGTGGCGATTATGACTCCGATCAGTATTAAGATCAGGTGTTTCGTGCGCATGGCCGCTAAAATTGACTTCGACTTCGCCTTGTAGCCAATTTTGCGGGCAAAGATGCGCTTCAGGGTGAGTGAGGCCTCCAGTCTGAAGGCTTTCTGACTTTCCCTTTTAGCCAAATGGCAAAGTTGCTCTACTCCGCACTTGCTAGCACTAAATCATCATTGGTTTCCACTCGATTCTAGCTTGCTACGCAATTTCGATTTTATTGAGCATTTATTTCTTTATTTTGTCTTCTTCATTATGGCTGCGGTTTCCCGTTGTCAACATTATATGGCGACCTGTTAACGAAAAATTAAGGCAAGCCCCGTCCACATTGTTAGTTGTTCTTCTTGATATTGAAATGTTCTTGGCATCGTTTGGCTATTTCAAATAAATACAGCTTTATTGTGCATGCTGCCAGCTTGGGTAAATAAACTCTCATTGATTTATTTATAAGAATTTTGAACAAACATTGAACATTTTCTATTGATGTAAAGCTCATTTTAATAGTTATTTGGAAACAATTGCTTTGAGGTAAAACACACTGCAGAAACAATTGTTTATAATATAGATTTATTTATTTATTTTAAATAAAAATTTTTTTATAATGCTTAAAATGTGCAGCTCAACAAAAGATGTATTTGTTTATAATAAGTATGTTTCTTCTTTTCGTAAATGGGGTGTATTTAAGATCAGGATTGAGATTTATAAAGCTTTTTTTTTATCAAATATTTACCTACTTTAAGGTTTCTATTTTAAAACAGAAAATTCCCATATTAATCGGAAACTTTCGGTTTGCGGTTGATTTAATTAGTCACTGTGTAACTTGAGTCTTATATGTTTAAAATAAAAAAGAGTGTTTAATATTTCTTAAACAAATTAAATAAATTTAACTTTGCCACAAATGAATGCCTAGTAATTGTTTTGAATGAAACTTAACCCAGAAATACGATTAAAATGTTCAAACTGATATGAGCTATGGGAAACTGCATTTGTTAACACCCTCAATGCGAAAGCCGCGTGGTCGCCTTGATGGGGTTAATTTCTTGGCGCAGGGCCAGAATGCGAGATGACGGGAGCAAGGTGAGGGCAATGCACATACATACATGTATGTAACAGCAACGATGTGACAATACGATGTGCAATGTGCGTCGACTTACGCTCTTTTTCTATTATGCGGTGCTCACAACAAAGGGCAGCGGCTATTTACAGTTGCTTTTGTTGTTCGCCGCGTGCAATTGTTGTGGTTGTTGCTGAAGGAGATTGTGGTGGAGAAATAGAGAGAAGGTGGAGAAATTACCGGCGCAGCCTCCATTAAACTCTTCTGATAAGCACACACACGCACATCCGCGCAAGCGACTTGTTGTAGGCCAGCCAATACTTTTACATAATTTACAGTTTCTGCGGCTGGCAAATTTTACTTTCGGTTTCGCATTCACAACGGTAAATAATATATGCGGATCACGACGCGGCGAAAAACAAAACACTTGAATTCGCAGTTCAATGGGCTTCTCAAGCGCCTGTTGTTGTTATTTATAATGGCAATGCGTTATGCTGCTGCTTTGGAAAGCTGAGGCAGTGCATCTGCCAGCGGAGACTTTAGCTCACAGGCCGAGAAACGACGGAAATGATAGTAGTACTAACTGAACAAGAATCGGAAAAGCCGTGCGCTCTTTTGGCGTGCTGAAAGTTTTTTATGCAAATTCGTTTCAGTGTTACCAGATGTGGGTAAGGCTTTTATCCCAAATACAAATATCAGCCCTGATTTTCTCCTAAAAAATCCACTTCTCCCTCTAAATTCAAACTGTCATACCATGAGCAACCCTGCCCCAAAATACAGGAAAATAGCTTAGAAATAAAATTAATCAATCTCCACGAAAAATTAAGCTAGTATTAAATTGTTTCATTGTCGATACCAAGAGGCTTACATTGCACGGGGACTTGAAATATTTTTTCAGATATGAACCCATCAGGGATGTGCATTATTAGCAAAAAAAAAAAAAGATAAATGTATCAACATTTTTATTTTAAAACCACACGTTTTGTGTAAAGTATTTGTTATAAGTATTAAAACGCAAAATCCAGTTGCTTGTAAAGGCATTACTTTTCTTTTCAAGCATTTCAATAAATTACTCTTATTCAACATATGTATCTTATCCATGCAGAAGTCCTGCTCAAAAGAATGAAGAATTTATAAATGAATTATTTTGTTAGGGTTAAATTTATTATCCGTAATTTTTTACTTGTGTAATACCAGAGTATATATTTGTTCAACGACTAAGACTTGACATACATTTCAGAATGAAAAGGAACCAGTGTATGTGTTACTAATCGGATTTTAATAAAAGTTTATATATGGAACTTGGACAAGTATCGGTTATGATGTTGCTCTCGAAAAATTTGCCCACACTATCGATGTTTTTCGGCTTGGACAATCGAATATTAAAGTTATCTCAGACACAAACCATCATTAGAAACTTCACTAACTAAAAATTTATTTACCAGAGAACGGCAAGGGTACACCCAAACAACAAGTGCACCCGAATTATTTATGCGTTTTCGGCACTTAGAGTGTGATCGGCACCCTAAAATAGGGTGCCTTGCACTGGTCATTTCGAATGTGCTCATACGCACAAACTACTCTGTTGCACAAACACCCAAAACACTTACAGCAAAAAAGGGAGTGTTTGAAACACCCATGTTTCGGGATGCATGATTCGATTGTCTTCAACTGATTTGAGTGTTTCGGGTGTCTCCAACTGTTTTGCATGAGCAGGTCGTTGAGGATTGACCGAATAATTTTACATAAAAGGAAGGAAGAAAGTCCCAATAATTTTACATTAATATAGCCTCTTCAGAAAGTCCCAATATTTTAGGATTTTCCGTGTCGTCATCAAGCCATCTTCTTTCTTTAAAATTGTGTAAACCAGTAACGGGTATGTTATAGTCGCTGCACTCGACTATAGCGTTTTTGCTTGTTTTGCCCTACAATCACCAACCTATTTTTATTCATTTGGACGTTAGGGATTTTTAACCTAAAACTAATTAAATGAACAATTTTTGTTGTAACAAGCAAAACTCCAACAAACCTAGCATATAGAGCGAAAAGCAATCTTATCCCTCATGGGTGTACTTGAAAGTTTTTATTATTTTATACCTTGCCAGTATAATAGTTTTGCCAAAGCCATATACCTGGTTGATAAAGTAGTCAAAGAGGTTTTAAATTTACGTAATAACTCTTTTTTTTTATTACTATTTATGAAATTCTAATTCAATTAAAATATGTATCTGTGGTAATCGGCTGGCCAATCAATCAGGACGGCGCAGTCTGGGAATGTTTCGGCAAACTGCTGAGCAGTTATATCTCCTCGAGTGTGCATGAATTGCCTGCCAACTCCGATTTGAGTGACTGGCACATTGAAGTCGCCATTGGATTTCTGGATAACAAGAAACGATACCAATAAAAACGCATTTCTGATATCTAGATGTACCAGTGACCTACCTGGATCTCAAGGATTAGGCTTACGGGCGAATCATCTACGCCGTAAGTGAAGAATAGATAGTAAGGTGGTGTACTGGACAAATAGCTTTCGAGTAGCGACCAATAGGTGATGGTGGCATCTTCGTAAGGCTGGATGTACAGGGTCGAGTGGTCCGTGAAATTTATCTTGAACTCGAATCGAACGGTTATGCCATCTTCCAGAACCGTTTTGTTAAGGAGCTCCAAGGGTTTATCGGTGGCTGGTTCAATGGGTATTTCCCGCGGCAACCAAGTTCCATTCAAACGACTCTTGACATACCGGGAATCGGGATAGGGCACTCCACACATCATGTATTTTTCGCAGTCGGAGGCCATGCTCACCATGCCAGTTAGATCCACTTTGGCCTCCACTAGAGGAGCACTGCCACGTCTATCTTGGAAGTTGAAGAGATAACCAGACTCATCCTTGCTGATGGCTCCGTCGTATTCGTAAAAGGTTCTTCGAACGTGCTGGAAGCGAAAGGTAAAAAGCAGTTAGTTAAAGGGTTTCTAAATAGTATAACTACCGCCCTTACCAAATAGTACACCCTCTCAACATTGGTCTTGGGACGATAAGGGAAACCAATCTCTGTGGAGCTGGCAATGTAAATGGTGGCAGCACTTACGGCCAGCAAAGCCACAAGAATCAAGCCAGATCGACGTGAAACGTTAATAAGTAAAATCTATAGATAAATATTTTAATTTGGTTAGGGAATCTTTAAAGTTTAAAGCTACACAAATAGTTACCAAAAAGCCCATTGAAAGAATTGTTCCCAAGGCGGCCAAAGCAGAAATAATCAAGTCGGGATTGGTGGTTCTGAAAAGTATACAAGAATGATCCGAAATCATTTCTTCCGAAATCCCAGCCAAACTTACTGTCCAAAACGACCCATCATTGGGGTAAGAATAACGATGAATGTGTAGAAAAGATAGCTGTTGTATAGGAATGGGCACACCTGGATCACTTTCACGATTCCGGTCCAGGAGAAGCCGCGATCCTGCAGAGTGGTCACCAGATTAAAGGCCAATGGGATGACATAGAAGATCAGGGTCCATGTAATGACATAGGTACTACGCAGACCATAATAATTGATGGCGATTCCGAGTATCGACAGAACAATAGCATGTCCATGCAGAGCCATTTGAAGTTGGTGGGCATAGCTAAGTTTCTCCTGTGTTTTAAATGATACATTACTAAGACTGATAGTTATCCAAATATGTTAAACTCACATTCTTCTGCAGCTTAAGGTAGATGACACTGGGCAGAGCAAGACCCACCAGGCTCGGGCAAACGTACAAGCCCAGAGGAAGTGCCGGAGTGCTGAAGTAGGTGAGTGATAAGCCGTACTTATCGAACATGTAAGCCACCACTATGGGCAGAGCCAGTCCCAGGACAAAGGCAACAACTTGGAGTACAAGGATGAGAACGAACCAACTCAGGACCTGGGCGGAGGTTACATTGGAAACATCCGCTATGCGCAAGAGGGATACATAAACCAGGATGATGGCGGCTCCGGCAACGGCGTAGTTGAGGGCGGTGCCACTGTCCGCTGAGTAGCTAATAAAGAACAGTCCCAGAACATCGAAAAAGACAGCTTTTCCGGTTTCCTAGGATAGGAATATATTAAAAATTAATCAGGAAACATTTTTCAGTATTTTTAAAGATAACTTACCGTAGTGTCTGCCAATTCTGGGGCATTGGCAAGGGCCTTTACCAGGGCCAAAAGATTGTCTCCCGTGTTTTGAATAGAAGCTCGTGGAATAATATCATAACGATCGTACTTTGTGTGGTAAACGAAACCGTTGCAGACCAGACCAATGTCATAACCTGCGATAAGAAAGGGATTCATCAGCACAAGTCCACTCCTAAAGAGGTTGTTGCTTACCGACGAGGCTAGCATACTCGGAGAAGATATCAAAATCCGTATCCGAGGGCACAATGCCAGTTTGGAAAATTTCCTCAGCCATGGTGGTGGCAAATGGATGCTCGGCGTAGTCTTTGTAGTACTGCAAGATATAAATGAGTTTGTTCGATTTTATCTTTATAAAGAATATTCAAACTGAGTTACCTTGACCAGCCAAGAGTTGTTGGGTCCAGTCTGGAATAACAGCTCCTTACATCCGCTGCCAGCTGCATCTAAATTAATAACGACCCTTATAACAGAAAAATTAACAAATTAAAAATTAAACTTTTGAAAAACTTTCTCTTAACTGACTTGCAGTAGGGTGCCCATTTGTGTGAGGTGATGAATCCATCGGATGCCTGCAGGGAGTTCTCCTCTGAACCGTTGAAAAGGAAGATGATCGAGTGCTGTAACTTAATTTTCGAGGTTGTGATAATCCTGATCACCTCCATCATGGTCACAATCATGTGACCTGCATCTCCGACAGATGGACTCGTGGGCTTTGAGTCAAAGTGGGAGTTCACCAGAAGGTAAGAATCGCTGGTACTGCCTTTGGATGTTATTTTAACCACTATGTTCTGCACGGCCTGATATTGGTATTGTGCTCCGCTCCTAACATAGGATCCATAAGCAAGTTGGTGGTCAATCTCCATATCGAAGTACTCTTCTAGAACATTTGCCTTAATCAGTGCCAGTTCCCTGAGTATAAACTGCACAGTTTTGTTCTCATTTCCATCGCTTCCGACCAGCTTGGTGCCGATCTTTGCAAATTCGTATAGATTTTCCTGTGCGCGTTCTGCGATAAAGACTCCTTTTCCGACATCATCCAGCGTATTAGCCTCCGGCAGACGGTAGAAGAGCGGCACTACAACAGCCAGGAAGAGAGAGGCCCAGAAAAGGACAAAGCCACCGGCCATGTACCAGGGGATTTTGGGGATCTGCAGCCTAGATCCGACATTCTTCTTCTTAACACTGGCTGATTCAACGGAATCGACCGACAACTAAAATAAATCAGTCGTTAGTTTATCAATATCTGTTTGGATTAAAACTAATTTCTTTACAAGAAGGTCCTTGTCACCCATCCTGCTGATCTGTGGCTGCTGCTCACGACGAAGTCTTCTAGAGAATGGAACCAAGTGAAAATCGAAGGCCTTTATATTCCAAAAGTGGTCGCTACGACCTCTAAATGTGAATTAGCATTTTGGTTATCGTACACATGTTCGGTAATATAGATTATGGATTATTACCTATTTAATGTAATAAACGCGAGGGTGGGACAAGAGTAATTAATATAAAAAACTATTTTAATTTTTATAATTTTTATATATGTTAACTTGAGGATTTATAATCTAATAAAACAACAAATAAATACTATATTTCTAACATATAAAGTGAATTCAAATGGTGGTTATAAAGTTCTATCAATATAAACAAATTTTCCATTAAACGTTCGTTCATATCTAAATATTTATTTACTAGAACTACTTGAACCACCCCCGCGGGAATCAAAGAGTAATCAAACTAGATCATAATCGTTATGTCTGAAGCAGTTTCACACGCCTTTTTTTCGATAGCGGATCTTTATGGATCCAGACCCACCACAACCTAATGGTCGTTACCAATGATATTGGTAACCACTTGAAAACTAATCATTTGAATTGAAGAACCTTTTATTACCTTTTATAGGGTACAATAAGAATAGGTGCACTGATGATTCAAGCCTTTATTACTATAAGAGATGAAAGGGATGAAGACCAGTATTGGCGAAAGAAGAGTTTTATATAATATAATTTTACTGTTTCTAGAACCATACAAGGCATGCTTATTAACCAATGGTCACATCACTGCCCATTTATGGTCATTTAAGCTAAAATTCTAAATTATGTTAAAAGAATATTTAAACTTAATAATATGGCATCCACTGCAGCTATGAGGGTAAACCACCCTGCTATCCGGTTGCTATAATAAACTGCTCTGCTTAGGCATCCCTTGAAATACTTCAAATTTCCCTTCTCCTATAGTCCATGTTATCATATAGATTCACATTGATCCGGCAACGCTTTCTCTATCTGTTACATTCTTTACATTTTAGAATTGTACCATTTTAACTGTTATTAATAGAGATGATTTCATAATTAAATCTTTATTGAATATGAATGGCAAAAGTGCGGGGAATCAATTCAGATAATTCCTAACAGCAAACGATTATTTGCTGATTTTCAAGAACTTCTAAGTGGAATAATAATCGTTTTTTATAATTACCCTGAAGATAGGGACACAAATTGGTAATATCGGTAATTTGAAATGGAAATTCCCCGCAATTAAAAATGGCAATATTACCATAGGAATTAAAGACAAAAGAAAGTTAAACCAACTTTGATAAGAATTTTTCCAAGTAAAACAAATTATTCTAAAAGTTCTAATATATTTTATTTATCTAGTATTCTTATATTATAGCAATTTAGAATTCATATTTCTTATAGAAAGCTGGCCACGTAATTGTTACTGCATACTCGGGGAAAGTATTAGCAAAATGGACGGCCTCGTCATCGCCATCGACGTGCATGTACTGCGCTGAAACTCCCAGTTGGAAAAGTGGGACATTAAAGTCGGCATCGGATTTCTACGGGAAGGAAAACTAATTTAGTTTGTATCGTATTTTTAATTACTGGTTTGCGTACCGTAATATCCAGGAAGAAATTCAATGGAGAGTCATCTATGCCGTAAGCGAAATATATATGATAAGGCGGGGAGATGGTGGTTAGGTAGTCCTCGATAAACGACCAGTTGCCGACGGTCACATCCTCGTTGGGCTGGATGAAAATGCTGGTATGATCTGTACAATTCAGATTGAACTCGAATCGAACCGTCTTGCCATCGGCCAGCACCGTTTTGTTGAGCAGCTCGAGCGTCGGTTCTGATGGTGTCCAAACAGGATTCTTTCGTGGCAGCCACATGCCATCTTCCTTGGACTCCACCCATCGGTGATCATACAATGGCATTCCGCACATCATGTACTTGGCACAATCGGATGTCATGTTGACCAGGCCAGTTAAATCGACATTGGAGTCCAGCAACGGAGCAACGCCGCGACGATCCTGGAAATCGAAAAGGTATCCGGACTCATCTTTGCTCAGGGTTCCGTCGTACTCGTAGAAGACGCGGCGAACTTGCTGTAGATATTATCAGGATATTACGAAAATGTCTTTAAGAACTCTTAAACTTTAAAACTAACCAAGTATTGGACTCGCTGTACGTTGGTCCTGGCGCGGTATGGGAATCCAATTTCAGTAGAACTGGCAATATACACAGAAGCAGCGGACACTGCCAACAAACCCAAGAGAATAAATCCGGAACGGCGGGACATATTAATCAGTAAAATCTAAAGAAAGAAGCTTAGAACTGTTGAAGAACCTTAGAAGGGGGGAATTTACCAAAAATCCCATGGATAATATAGTTCCTAGAGCAGTCAAAGCCCCAATGATTAAGTCCGGGTTAGTGTTCCTTAAAAGAAAAAAATTCCTATTAGGGTTTCTTTATAAAATAGAAATAACTAGCTTACAGTCCAAAGCGGCCCATCATCGGAGTGAGTATCACGATGAAGCAGTAGAAGAGGTAACTGTTGTAGAGGAACGGGGCGACCTGGACAATTTTAAGGATTGCCGTCCACGAAAAGCCTCGATCGTGCAGAGTGGTTAGAAGATTGAAAGCCAAGGGAATGACATAGAAAACTAGAGTCCAAGTGATGACGTAGGTGGTACGCACTCCATAATAATTGACAGCAATGCAAAGGATGGCAAGAACAGCGGCGTGTCCATGGAGTGCCAGCTGAACTTGTTGGGCAAAGGATATCTTATCCTGTCCAAATGGCAATAATTAGTATCTACGAATAGCAGTTATAACCCAATCTACTTACATTCTTGTTCAGCTTCAGATAAATGAAACTGGGCAGAGCCAGTCCAAGGAGACAAGGACACACATACAGGCCGATCAGGAGCGATGGTGTGGCGTAATAGCTGAGTGAGAGCCCGTATTTGTCCAAGCCATATGCTACCAAAAGAGGCAGAGCCAAACTCAAAACAAAGGCGATAACCTGAACCACGAGAACCAAAACGAAAGAACCCAGAACCTTTTCGGAGCTGACACTCGACTTATCTGCTATGCGCAGCAAGGATATATAGACCAGGATAATGGTAGCTGCAGCCAAGGCATAGTTTAGCTTCACACCAGTCTCGGCTGAATAGCTAATTAGCTGCAATCCCAGGACGTCAAAGAAAATGGTGTTACCTACTGCATTATCCTAATTGGATAAATATAAACACGATTAAAATGAAAGCTACGCTAGTAATATGGAGTCGCTTACGCTTAGATTACGCAGCTCGGTGGCATTGGACAGGGTTCGAACCAAGCCGAGAAGGTTGTCTCCTGTGTTCTGAAGAGAAGCTCGGGGAATCACATCGAAGCGATCGTACTTGGTGTGGTAGACGAATCCATTGATGCACTGGCCAATATCTAACCCTGTTAAGAGAATTATATATATTTAAAAAAAAACATTAAACTCCACCAGTTTGCCTAGCTTACCAATGAGGTTTCCATATTCTACGAAAATATCGAAATCAGTGTAGGAGGGCACAAGGCCAGTTTGAAAGATTTCCTCGGCCATGGTGGTGGAAAAGTAATGCTTGGCACCTAGCTTATATATCTGTAAGACATCAGACAAATAAGTAGATCTCTAAGAATTTTCTAAAGTTAATATAAAATGGTTTACATTGACCAGCCATGGGTAATTCGGTCCAGTCTGGAACATAATTTCGCGGCCTCCGCTGCCAGCTGCATCCAGATTAATGACAACCCTTGAAAGAATCCATTTTCCCATAAGACTTTTAAGCTCTATCTTGATCCCAGATCATGCTAAGTACTTACTTGCAGTTCTTGGCCCATTTGTGGTGGGCAATGAAACCGTGAGATGCCTGCATTGAATTCTCCTCGGATCCATTGATCAAGAAGATAATGGGGTGTTCAAAGGTCTCCCTCGACGACGTTATCACTCGCAGCACCTCCAGAATAGAGACGACCATATGGCCATCGTCACCAGTGGAGGGACTAGTAGACACGGAATCGAAGTGACTGTTTACCAGGATGTAATTTTCACTGCTACTCCCCTTTGGAGTGATCTTAACAACGACGTTCTGAATGCCCTGGTACATGTTAACCAGATTCCATTTAACATAAGCACCGTAGGCGCGTTGCACGTCAATTTCCATGTCAAAATAGTCCGTCTGGATGTTTTCCTTAATGAGATTTAATTCCTTCAGCAGAAACTCCACCGTCTTATACTCGTTTTCATAGCTGCCGACCACTTTGGTACCGATGGCTTCGAAATCATACAGATTGGCCTGGGCACGTTCGGCGATGAAGACACCTTTTGAGACATCCTCGACTGTTAGGGGTTCGGGCAAGCGGTAGAAGAGGGGCTTCACTACTGCAACAAAAAGCAGGCCCCAGAACAGGACAATGCCACCGGCAGAGTACCAGGGAAGTTGAAAGTATTTCTTCCCATTTTTCTTTGAGAAGGATCTTTCTCCTTTCTCTACGGGCTCGTCCAAAATCTGAAAGGAGAGTTTTTAGGTTTCTTTACCATCTAAATGCTATAACTATCCTTACGAGCTTGTCCTTGTCACTCATATTTTGATTCTACAGGCTCACGGTCTTGCTTTCAAAACGAGAGTTAGAACTGGACTGATTTGCTTCTCATTACTAGCGCTTTTATATTCGTAAAATAATCTGAAAATTGTAATCAATCATATCTTTCATTTTTATTGCTCGAATCCCTGCCCTTCCCAATAAAATAAGCATAGCCAGGGTTTCCTGATAAAAAGCAATAATTGATAAGGTTTTCTTTAAATTTTCCCAAAAATACCTATAAGCAAAGTATGTAAATCGTAGACCTCTATCTAATATCAAAACATAAAACATTTGCTAACCAGCTACGTATTTTAGGATCTATAATAACCATTAAGATTTCCGATATGAATTCGATTTCTACAGCACAACTCTTTGAGATAAGAAAAGGTTTTGGTTTCAGACCTGGCGCTACTAGACTTAAGTTGTTACCAAGTATATTCGGGTGCCATAGAATAATAATTATTTCTCATTTTATATGGCCGAGGCTTTGTAGTGCTTAATTGTTGGTGAAATCAATTATCACGGATATTTTATGGGTACATAAAGTGGGCAATTTAATACGAAACACACGCTTGGCAATAAAATTCATATTCTTTTGAGAACTCTGGAAAAATTCATTAAACTAGTGTAAATAAATATTATTTTTTACACAATATTTTTCAGGCGTTCCTCAGTTCCTGTAAATAATCTTAAATGTTTTCAGAACCTTAATGATAAAATTAATGCTTAGGTCATGGTTATCAATTTGTGAAAGATCTAGAAGTAGAAGAAGAAGTAGAAGTCCATACAGATTTTGGGGTTCCCTCTAATCTGCAGACGTAGCCCTATAATTTAGATTAGAATTTTTCCAAATCTACAAGCCATTAAACAACTTTTTTAAAAAAGGGAAAACATTTTTGTTTAGTAATAGCTTTTATGAATATGAAACACACTTGTGTGTTTAATGGCACTAAGAATCCGTGTAGCTGAGAATGAATCAGAAAATAAATCGTTGATATGACGTTGGCCACTCGATCAGCACGGCAAAGTCCGGGAAAGACTTGGCGAACTTCTGGCTGAGCTCGTCCCCCTTGCTGCCAATAAAGTGTGCGGAAACACCTAACTTGAATAGGGGAACCTCAAAGTTGCCATTGGTTTTCTGAAAGCGAAAAGAAAGATAATTACTTTTCGGTAACTTGATATTAGAAGGACCAACTTACCGACAGATCGATGAAGAAGGATAATGGCGTATTGTCCTTGCCATAGGAGAAGTATACATGGTAGGTTGTTTGCTGGCCAATGTATTCGACCGGAAAAGACCAGTTTGTTATGTTCACGTCCGGAAGTGGTTGAATAAACACACTCGTATGATCAGTGGTATTAATCGTGAATTCAAAGCGGACTGTTGTCTTATTGGCGAGGATCATCTTGTTTATGAGCTTCACCTCTGGAATGTATGGAGGATCTATCAGTTCCTCACGAGGTAGCCACATGGCGTTCAGACGATTCTTCACCCATCGGTGATCGTAAAGTGGCTGATCACACATCATGTGCTTCTCGCACTCGGATTCAATGCCAACTAACCCAGTTAGGTTCACACTGGTTCCTTGTAGTGGAGCTGGTCCAAGGCGATCCTGGAAGTTGAACAGGTAGCCGGAGTCCTCTTTACTAACGTTTCCATCGAATTCGTAGAAGGTACGACGAACATGCTAGAACAAGAATGGAATATTATGTAAATAACTCTCTTGAAGGGACTTTCAAATACGAACCAAGTACGGTACACGCTCAGCACTGGTCCTCGGCCTATAGGGAAATCCTAGGTGGGTGCAAGTAGCTGCCAGGATACTAACACTAGCCACGGTCACCAACGTAAATAGGATCAGACCAGGTCGTCGAAATATAATAACAATGGGAACCTACATACAACGAAGTTCTTTAATCTAACTGAAATGTGAAGAAAGGTTAAAGTTATATTCTCACCAAGAAACCCATTGCCAAAACAGTTCCCAAGGCGTTGATAGCACACATAATTAAATCCGGGTTAGTTGACCTGGAAGCATTTTTTTTTTAAAGAACTTTAGAGCCAAGGAAAAATTCAGGACCCACCTGCCGAATCGACCCATCATCGCAAGCATCGTCTGCAGCAGAGTATACAGCAGATAAGTGTTGTACAGAAATGAGAAAACTTGGAATATAACTACTGGCGCTGCCCACGAGATTCCTGCATTGTGCAGACCCGTTATCATGTTGATGGCCAGTGCAATTACATAGAGCAGGAGAGTCCAGGTTACGACATAGGTGCTTCGAAGACCATAAGAGGTTAATGTGATTACCAGGAGAGCCAATATGAAGGCATGGGCGTGAAGAATCATATGCAGTTGTTGCCTAAAGTAAGTCTTTTTCTATATGGATATATAAACTTATTATCCCTTTGAAAGTTTTAGATATTTTTTACTTACGTGTCTAGGGAGACCGATGAATATGTAAGGTGGCAAAAGCAAGCCGAACAGACATGGACAGACATATAGGCCGAACATCAGTGAAGGCGTGCTGAAGTAAGTAAGGCTCAGACCGTTCCTATCAAAACTACTCGCAATCCATAGGGGTAGACCCAAGGCAAGTCCTACGGCAAATATCTGTACCAGTAGAATCACTAGGAACCAGCACAAGATAAATGACGAAGAAACTTCCGAACTAGTAGCCATGCGACGGAGGGATAAGTAGATTAGGACTATGGCCACTGTAGCTACCGAAAAATTCAAAGTAATGCCGGTTTTGTTAGTGTAGTTGACGAAAAACAGGCCCAAAACGTCAAAAAATACAGATGGACCGTTCTCGTATTCCTAAGAACGGAGTAGACTATTATGTTACTCATCACGAAGAGACTCTTAATACTCACCCCAATATTATTCAGTTGGGAGGCATTGGAAAGGGCGCGAACCAGACTAAGCACATTATCACCCATACTTTGAACAGAGTTAGATGGAATTATGTCATAAGTATCGTACTTTGTGTGATAGGTATATCCATTGATGCTTTGAGCCATATCTAGACCTAAAATAGCAACGATTATGTGGATTATATTTGTGATTTATATCTGATGATACATACCAATGAGGTTTCCGTATTTAGTGAGAATACCGAAGTCTGTATCAGATGGCAAGGAGCCAGTTTGAAATATCTCTTCACCCAAAGTGGTGGCGAATGGGTGCACAGCGTTCTCTTTGTAGTACTGAAAGTTATTTAATGTATAATATGAATGACCAATGATTTTTGGAAGACCTACATCAAGTAGCCAGGGATGGTTGGGTCCAGTTTGAAAGAGTAACTCTCGACCTCCACCGGCCACGCCCTCCAGATTGAGGAAAACTCTAGAAGTTACGGGTTAAAGATCGTCTCGAAAAGGTACATTTCTCCATTTATTCACTTGCAGAATGGAGCCCATTTGTGTTGGGTAATAAAGCCATGGGAACCCTGCAGAGGATTCTCCTCAGCTCCATTAAGCAGAAAGATTACTGGATGAGTGAAAGTTTGCCTGGTGGAGGATATCACACGAAGAACCTCCAAGATGATGGCCACCATTTGGCCAGCGTCGCCGGCAGAAGGACTGGTTGGCTTGGAATCAAAGTGGCTGTTGACCAGCAGGTAAGTCTCGCTGCTGCAGTTCTTTGGACTTAGCTTTATAACTATGTTTTGCACTCCCTGATACTTATTCACCATTGTCCAATGAATGTATGATCCCGAAACCTCCTGCAGATCAACTTCCATATCAAATAGGTCGTCGATGACTTTCTTTTGGATTATAGACAATTCATTTAGAAGAAACTGGACGGTCTTGTTCTCGTTGTTTTCGCTGCCAACAACTTTAGGTCCGATTTTGACCAGATTTTGTAGATTTTCCATTGCTCTTTGGGCAATGAAAACACCTTTGGAAGCATCCTCGACAAACTTGGGACCTGGAACACTATGGAATAATGGCACAACGACTGCTAGATAAAGAAGCAGCCAAAACAGAAAAAAACCACTGGCCAAGAAACAGGGACCTCTGGGGTTTCTTAGTCGTTTAGTCAGTTGCCTGGTACCATAAGAGGCTGAGTTAAATATCTGAAATTGAACGTCGATTAATATATGCAAGCAATTATTATTAGAAACGTTTTACTAGATTTTCCGTGTCCCTTGCATCTACTTGCTGAAATTAAACGTTGTTAGTTAACAAATGTTAATAATTATTATAAGAAGCGTTTTACTAGATTTTTCGAGTAACCCATATTTAAGACGGCGCCAGGTTCACTCAAAAAACCGACTATGTTCAAAAACCAATGGTTACTGCTTTTATATCTTTCAAAAGACCACAATTTGATTTCATATCTAATTATGGCAGCAATAAGAACTAGCTAATTGATTCGTATAATAAAGATAGTCAGACTAGTTAAGATATTTCATCTTCAAAAGCAAATAAAGAAAGAAACGTAAACGAAACTGATTTCTCTATCTGGCAACAGGCGGTATTGAACTCCGTCGTTAACTTAACTTTTCAAAATATGTATGTATATATATTTGTAGCTAACTACTAGAATCTCCACACTTTCTACTAATTGATTTATGATATAATAACCATAAATTCATTATTGCTGAAATCAAACAATAAACTTTATCTCAAAAAGCTTCGTAGTCAATAATTTGTCGCAGGCAATGGTTTTTAGTTAGTTAGTTAGGCACTAAGTAAAAATGTAATAGAGCTTACTGTGTCCATATTATAAAATTTATGTTTTTTCGCAGACTTAGATGTTGATTGTTGCTCGTCGGTTTAGTAACTGATTGGTGCCGGCTCGAGATTGCACATAAAATGTCAATATTATGCGGGGAATCCCCTTTTTTCGTATGTATGTATGTATGTATGTGCTTGTGAATCGGAATTTAAATGTCTGTTCTATAAGTGTACGATGTATATGTATATATGTGTTTATTCCCATATATTTATAGTCTTCAGACAACGCTTCTTAAGCTTTTTTTGCTAAGTGCAAGGAAATTTTTGTTTTACTTTCACATATCTTTAAGATTTCTTGTTCTCAGCACTTGGTTCACTTTTATAATATTAATTATTTGTGTTCACCATAGCTTTTTAAACCGCTTCAGCAAAATTGAAAAATCGACTTAATATTTTTATGTATGTATGTACATGTAAACTTATCAGTGTTGTGTTGTGTCGGATTCAATCGAATTTTGGTATTTTCAGAGTGGAAGCTATAGTGTCTGATCATTTTGAATTATCGAGTAATTTTTGCGTTTTTAAATTGTATATTTTCAGCAAAAAATGTTGCATCAACAAGATTTTATTAAAGACATAACATAACATAAGACATTACATTACTTAACTTAGCTTAAAATAATATTTTTTGACATTACTATCGATTTACTTTTTACCTGGGTACCTGATAGTCGAGACACTTAAGCGTTTTTTCTTGTTTTAATTTTAAAGAGAAACTCTTAATTTCCAAAATTGTTTTAGCAAGAAATCGTTTGATATTATTCAAAGCCTAATAGTCATCCTAAAGCTGACAGCATTGACAGATAGTTTTAAAATTTCATTGATTATTCGATGAGCATTTGCCATTATCGAAATCGGAGTTTACCGTTTTTTAATTTTTATACTTTTAAACAGAAAAAGGGTTTTTAACCTATAGTTATAAACTAAAATACATGCACATATCTGCATAAACTTAATAAAAAATTATATTGTCACAAATTTAACATTCTAAAAACCACTAGAGTGTACTGTGCTCTTTAGCTCATATCAACTGTTCAAAGGGCATTTATGAAAATTTATAGCACATCTCGATATTTGGGCTTCTCGCACATTTGTTAGTTAATACGTGATGACTTTGGAGTATTTTAATTTACATGGACTTTAGCTGCGGATGTGCGTGTCTTATAAGGGCGGTCAGTTTGTCGACCGAATCGATTTTGTTAGCTGTTCCATTAACTGAAAAATATCTAATAATGGTCGCGTTTCGGCCAATTAGCTGAACGTTGCAATGTTACAGCCGAGCGAGTCGCCGATTTAGATATAAAAGCGTTAGTATTCATTGCTGAGATTAGTTCAGTACGGACACATCGGCCAAACATCATGCATTGCTCCCCAATCATTCTTGTGGCAGTAGTCCTCTGCGCCAGCCTTGTCCGCGGCTTTGACGAAAAGGCAGCCATGGAAAAATTCCTGGAGTCTGCCGAGGCCTGTATGCCGGAAGTGGGTGCTTCTGACGCCGACCTGCAGGAAATCGTGAAAAAGCAGCCGGCCTCTTCCTATGCTGGAAAGTGCCTGCGCGCCTGTGTGATGAAGAACTTTGGTCTGATCGACGCCAACGGCAAGCTGGATACGAATGCCGGGCGCGAGAAAGCAAAGCAGTACACTGGTAACGACCCAGCCAAGTTAAAGCTGGCCCTCGAGATCGGTGACACGTGTGCAGCCATCAGTGTGCCGGATGATCACTGTGAGGCCGCCGAAACCTACGGCGCCTGCTTCAAGAGCGAAGCCATCAAACACGGACTTATGTAGTCGAGAACCTTAAACTGACCTGACCACCTGAAGTAAACTTTCCCTGGAAACGCACATATGTACCTTTTAAGTTTAATGATTAGAGATCAAGGAGAATAATTACATTTTAAAAAGCACTCATTCTCGTGTAACTTCTTGTCGGCGTGTATCAACTCAAGTGGGAGTAACTTCTAAGACTAGAAGTTGTCTAGGTAAGAGGTAGGTAGAAGATCGCCGGCACAGGACCACGAATGTCTAATTGGCGTGGATTTAAGTTAAAGCATTTGGTTACGGAAACATCTTTATCTTTTTGTTGTTGCCCTTTTCTTTATTGTTATAATAGATTACACGATTGCCCAGCATTCCCTAACGTCATGGTCGACTTAGATCGCTCTCGTAAATAGATAAATATATACAACCAGCACTATCCACACACGAATGATAATTTAGTTCTATAAGATCCAAAGCCTCCGTTGAACCTTAAAGCTTTCTGTCTATCAGCGAAGTCATACAATGCCTCGAGTGCAATGCCATTGACCTATATCGAAAAAAGTGGAAAATAAAAATAATTACTGACTGCATTAAGTTGATCAGCTATCGATAATAGCTAATACCGACCTACCTCAATATTGCTCCAGTCACGGAGAGAATTTCACCCTTTTGCTCGATGGTAGGTAAGATCAAAAAACTTCATAACCACAATTTCGTGCAACTATTAATTCTTGGCAGGAAGTAATCCAAATTTACATAATGTAGATGATTTTAAAACCAATCAACAGTCGGCGATACCCCAGCTAATATAGTATAAAATGCGATTAACAAAGCAGCTCTATCAATTCTTAATAATTTTTACGGATTTAAAACTTTCTGCTGGCATAATTATTTTAAAATAGCACAGCTGTGGGTATCTGACAGTTGGGGCAGTCGAGTGCCGTTTCACTTTGAATATTGCGGCTTATCGATAACAAAACGATACACATCTGTCCGCTATTAACAGCACACTGTTAGCCAACAGGGTGTTCTATGTATTAACAGAAAAAGTATAGTGAACCAACAGAGTCAACATCAACTTTTAATTTAACATAAATAATTAACAGATTTTAACGTAACATAACAGAATAACAGAATTTCAAAACACGAAGGAACGTTTTAACATAACCGTTACCATTTGTTGTAGATGTAATAGATATGAACTTTAGATATGAACTTATGCAATCATTCATAGAATTACTCGATATACTTTTCAACGTTCATACGGTCAAACGGGGTTGGCTGGGGATTACAAACAAGAATATGCTTTATAAAGTTAGTCCGATTCCAATGCAGTTTTAAAAATAATTGATCTAATGTTCTATCGTTACAGTAACGACTTTAAAATAAAATGCTTCCTGCAAGTTTTAAAATGTATAACTCAGTTGTTTAATAGTTTATTGACTCTTTTCTCATATGGTTTCAGTTAACAATCATGATTAGAAAATGGCAAGTTCTAGGTATTTAGAAAATTAAACGTTGATAGGAGGTTGGCCATTGAACAGAGGCAGCAAACTGTGGGAGCGATTGGTCAAACAGCTGACTAACCTTGTCGCCAGGGTTGCCAATGAAATGGACACTTAATCCTACCTGGGATAACGGTACCGTAAAATCAGCATCGAGTTTCTAAAAGAAAAAAGTAGGGATTACCTATAGGCAACATCTAAACTCGCGTAGGACTCACCCAAAAGTCAATAAAGAAGGTCAGAGGAGAGTTGTCCTTGCCATACGAGAAGTAAAGATGAGAGGTCGTTTGCTGTCCAATGTAACTCAAAGGCAGGGACCAATTTGCTATGACAACATCCTCGTACGGTTTAATAAAAACGCTGCTGTGATCCGAAGTATTTGCCCTGAACTCCAAACGCACCGTATTGTTTCCAAGTTCCGTTTTGGCCAAAAGCTCCAGTTTCGGCACATATGGAGGAATAACTGGTTCCTCTCGAGGAAGCCACATAATTTGCTCACGACTCTTAACCCACCGATGATCGTAAAGCGGAAAGCCGCACATCATAACCGTGTCACAGTACGGACCAATGCTAGTCAAGCCAGTCAGATTAACCTTATATGTCGACAAAGGACTCGGTCCTCGACGATCCTGGAAGTTGAATAGATAGCCGGAGTCATCTTTAACAACGGTGCCATCGTATTCGTAGAAAGTTCGTCGCACGTGCTGGAATATAACCAGGGAAAGTTAATTAATGTCTTTAAGAAACCTCAGAATACTAACCAAGTAGGGTACTCTCTGGACGTTGGTCTTTGGTCGATAGGGAAAACCAATTTGAGTAGAACTAGCAGTGTAGATGGTCACAGCACTTATGGCCAAAAGGCTGAACAGTATCAGGCTGGGTCGTCGGAACATATTAACGAGGGGTATCTATAAGAAAGTCCATTATTAGAATCGGTATTCTAGCGAAGCTAAGTTTTTGTTTACCAAGAAACCCAAGGCCAAAATGGTTCCCAAAGCATTTAAAGCTGAGATAATCAAGTCCGGGTTGGTTGACCTGAAAGATAGGATGTTATAAGGATTAAAGGTTATTATATAGACTTCAAAATCCCACCTGCCGAATCGTCCCATCATTGGAATCAGGGTAACCACAAAACAGTAAATCAGGTAGCTATTGTACAGGAACGGAAAGACTTGGAAGATCTTGAGCATACCAGTCCAGGAGAAGCCACGATCGTGCAGAGTAGTCAGCAGATTAATGGCCAATGGAATTACGTAGAAGATGAGGGTCCAGGTGACCACATAGGTGCTTCGCAGTCCGTAAACAGTCAATCCAATGCCCAGGATAGCCAGCACTACTGCGTGACCATGGAGAACCAGCTGTAGTCTTTGGGCAAATGCTACCTTATTCTGCATGGAAAATATAATATATTGAAAATGATATTTTCTTTATACTTTAGCTGATCTACTCACGCTGCGTTGTAACTTCAAGTAGATGTAGGAGGGCAAGCTCAGTCCAAGTAGACTGGGACATATGTACAGACCGATTAACAAGGCCGGAGTGCTAAAGTAGGTGAGGGATAGTCCGTACTTGTCAAAGACATAGGCTATTGCTATTGGCAGACCAAAGCCAAGCACGAAAGCTATTATCTGAATAACGAGGATTAGGATGAACCAGCTAAGAACATAGCCAATGGTTGCAGAGGAAATGCTTGCAGTACGCCAGATGGATATGAATACCAGGACAAGGGCTACTCCGGCCACGGTATAGTTCAGAATAATGCCATTGCTCGCGGTGTAGCTGATGAAGTAAATTCGCAGAAAATCAAAGAATACGGCATGTCCACTGGCATAAGCCTGAGAATATATGGAATTAACGTATAAGATAACTACGATTTGAGTGTAAAGGTTCTTACCGCCATGTTATCCAGCTCAGTGGCATTTGAAATATCTCTCACAAGGCTGAGCAAGTTCTCTCCCGTATTTTGTATGGAGCCTCGGGGAATGTTCGCAAATCGATCGTATTTGGTATGATAGCAGAAACCATTAATGAACTGAGCCATATCCAGACCTACAAGACGAAAGGTTATGTAATAAACAATTCCAACTACCTAAGCTTTTCAGTCCTACCAATAAGATTTCCATAGGTAACGAAGATGCCAAAGTCCGTATCAGAAGGCAGGATGCCTGTTTGGAAAATTTCCTCAGCCATGGTGGTAGCTAATGGATGCTTGGCACTTTTCTTATAGTGCTATAAGTAATGTTTACTTTAGTTAGGATAATGCAAACGAATGTTAAGTGCTACTAACTTCTACAAGCCAGGGATTGTTGGGTCCACTTTGGAAAACAATATCGGCACCTCCACTGCCAGCTGCATCCAAGTTGAAAACCACCCTGAAAATCAGATATATTAAAGTAGTTAATCATTAAGACATCAATTTTTACGTTATTTAGAAAGCTTACTTGCAGTACGGGGCCCACTTGTGTTGGGTGATGAAGCAATGCGAGGCCTGCAAGGGATTCTCCTCAGCTCCGTTGAGTAGAAAGACGATGGGATGCCGGAAAGTTTGCTTGGTTGTGCACATAACTCGAGCGACCTCCAGGATGGCGACTACCATCTGACCTGCATCGCCCGTAGAGCGACTAGTTGGCTTGGAATCAAAGTGACTGTTGACCAGGATGTAAGTTTCACTCGTGGTGTTCTTGGGACTCAGCTTGATGACAATGTTCTGCACTCCCTGATACCTATTGACCATGGTCCAATGTATGTATTGTCCCGATCCCTCCTGCAGATCAACTTCCATGTCGAAGTACTCGTCCAGGCACATCTCCTGTATTTCAGCCACTATGCCCAACAGGTAATCGACTGTCTTGTTCTCATTGCCATCGCTGCCAACTACTTTGGTGCCGATCTCGTCAAAGCCATAAAGATCGTTTTGGGCACGTTCGCCGATAAAGACGCCCTTGGAGGCATCTTCAATGGTCAAGCCCTTGGGCAGACGGTAGAAGAGTGGCACCACAACCGCAAAGAACAGGAGTGCCCAGAACAGAAGGAAACCGCTGGCCAAGTACCAGGGTCCTCTGAAGTTCTGCTCCTGTTTTCTCACATTTTTGGCGGATGCCGATCCTGAGTCACCTTCAACTGGCTCATCTGAAATCTGAAAGAGAAATAATGTTTTCAAGGATTATAAGTGGAATTTTCAGAATGACATTACCAATTTGTCTTTGTCTCCCATTTAATCGATCTACTTGGATAGTTCTGCCTATTTTTCTCTTTGAATTCTGACTGATTTGGTTTCTCAGGAATCAAGTTCTTTTATACCCCCAAAAATCGGTGGATAGCAGTTAGATGTCATAAAAATTATAATGCATTTATTGCACATATTGGCAATGTTCAAGTTTAAGCAAATTATGAGATATTATGGGCTATTGAAGTCGTTAAAGATTCATTTTAGCGAGGGTAGCTAAAAGGAAACAGAGTTCTTTTTGATCAAATATGGGAAAACTTATAATAGGTTGAATCATTAATGAGATCTAAATTTTAAATATCATTAAAGTAAGGAATAAAGACATAAATATTCCTAATTTCAAATACTAAACATCGTTATGAGCTTCTTTCTAGCACAAAAACTTATATAACTTCCCTCGATAATTAGGAATAGATTTATGTTTTAATTAACTAGTGATAACACTTCTAAGTCTTTATCTAAAAAGGTGTATTCACCTTTCCTTGAATACATATATGCAGTTTTAATGATTCTACACGTTGTAATCTGTTTTTTTTTCACAACTTATAATGTTTATTGTAGTCTGATATTCATATTTGATTGCTATGCGATGGTTCGAATATATATATGAAATATAGGGTTGCACTTATTTAGGTGAGTAAGCCAAAGTATCGAAGTTAAAGTACCTGCAGATTGAAAGCCCAATTTAACTAATTTAAGATATGGCGATCTCGCCCCCAAAACAGAGAATTACCAATTACGAACTCGATGGCTATATACTAAGTCATCTAGGGAATCTTTATTACCTCTGAAAGCAACTTATACTTAAAACAAAAAATAAAAAAACTGAAATATTAGCTTATGAACTTGGTAAAACCTGTACCAATAATACTTCAAATTAAGTCAATCATCACACATATTGATTTACCAATCAAACTAAATGATAACTTTCTATTAATTTTAGTTAATTATTTTTTAAAATAATACTCCAAAATTAAAGATAATATAAACATTCTCATAGCCAAGCACAAATCTAATGCATATATGCATTATCATGAAAGAAATAAGAACTTATCAAAACCGTAAAAGATTATTGACTTCATGCGCCTTGCCAATCTAGACCCACCACAACCCAATAATTATTGTTTCGAAAATATACTCGTACATACTGTACGACTGTTTCCAAGTCGATTTTTAGATTATAACAATGCAATTTGTGCGTTATAAAGGTATAAAAATCACTTTTTGTTAAGAAAGAAATGAGAGAAAATAGGTGGAACTCAGCTCAGCCTTTAATTTAACAAATATTTAACTATGGTAAGTTTTTCGATATTCTAAAGTACCGAAAATTATACTATCACTGTAATCACCTTGTTTTGGCAAGAATCGAATCGGGAACGCAGAGCTTGCCACATCTCCTCTGAAGGTAAGCAATTAAACTGAGACACAATTTCCCTCAGGCGCATCATTTTGATCAAAAGTTTTTCAACTGGAAATCTCAGTTCTCACGAAGAAGTGTTCTCTGCTGATATGTATATTTTTAGAGTTTTCTCATAAGTGGAAATATGTATATTTTCAAAGTTCTCTAACTAAAAGAAGAATATAGCAGCCACTGTGCTCAGCAGTTGGAAATCTTACAATGAAAATGAGTTTGCCATTTGCTAGTGGATCGAACCCACTTAATGGATGGTCTCCTAGGAATTCGCTCTGACAGGGAAATACTTGTTTTACACACCTGTTTTGTTTACAATTCCTATGTTTTGTTTACTGAAAGCAAACCGCGTCATACGTATCTTTGGAGGAATGCTTGTTAAAAAACAAAATCAATTCATTCGTTTGTAATTATAGTATTCGTAGTGTAGTTTAATAAAATATGTAATTTTTTATCAGATTCTATACAGTTAATCGTTAACGCTTAATGACTACGATTAGTAAATCAGAAGCAATATCATTTGCGGCTTGACCCTAGTAGTACCAGGTCTCGTAGGTGCCCACCCAACCCTGAATGTAGGCATAAGACGGAAATCGGCTGATGTAACTGCTGAGCTTCTCGATAGCAGTGATGTCCTGGGTCACCCAGTGACCTCCAATGCCAATCTCTAGGGTGGGCGTGTCAAAAGTCGATGTTGTCTTCTGTAAATATTAAGTTATCAAGTTAGTAAATGTCATTTGGTAATTAGTAGTCCATTGCGCTAACCTCAACATCGATGGTGAACTCAAGAGGACTGTCGTCCAGTCCGTAGGAAAAGTACACCATATACGGTGGCTCAGCCTGTTCTCGGATGAGCGTGTCATTGAAGGACCAGTTTAGTATCTTGGCATCGTTCTTCACATTGATGAAAATACCCATGTGAGACGGTCCTGTCAGTGTGAAGTTAAACCTCCTTTGCGAGGAATTCTCCAGGTCGCTGCTGTCCTGCAATATTAGCACTGGATATTCGGTGGGTATCTCGGGCATTTCCGAGGTCTCAATCCACAGACTATACTGGCGGGCCTTGTTCCAACGGTGGTTGTAAAGGGGCATGCCGCAGAACATTTCCTCGTCGCAAAAGTCGCTTACTTTATGTGCCTCTCCAATGGCATTAATATCATCTGTAAATGTAAATGTAATTCGATTTATTGATTTCTCGTCGAAACTCAAACCATTTGTGTAGCCTTACCACGAGCAATCTCAAATCGTCGGTCCTGTGGGTAAATATACAAGCCAGACTCATCTATACGAGTGCTTCCATCGGCGTTATGTAGGCGCCGGTGGGCATGCTTTACATTTAAAGAATAATAAATAATAATATTAAACTTAGTCAAATTTAAACTTACTATTAAAGAGTATCGCTGTGGAGAGGTCTTTTCCTTGTACGGAAAACCTGCATTAGTGACAGCCACTATGATGAACAGAATGGTGATTCCCAGGAAGCACAGAACTATCGTTCTCGTCTTGCGGAAGAACATTATGAGAGGGGCCTGCTCATATTAACTTAATATTAATGAAAAATATTTAAATTTACATAAAGGTTGCAGGCGACTTACAATGAACCCGGCGAACAAGAGTGAAAATACCCAGATTAGAGCTGCTATAACCATATCGGGATTCGTCGATGATCCCGAGCGTCCTTGCATCGGCATAAGAGTCACCAGAGCCACGGTGCAGAGATATGTGAAGAAGACGAAGGGCAGGATCTGGCAGACGGTGACGGCGATGGCAAACAAATAGGCTGTATGTTAGAGCATAAAACGAGTTATTGAAATAAATCCAAAACTAACCAATCAAGATAATTACCCTTGCGGTGCCACTTTGTTACCAAATTCACAATCAGTGCAACAATGTCGAAGAGCACACAGAGCATGATTAGATAGGCGGATCGGATACTGAGTCCGGTCATGGTGAGCATAATTATAATCAGGCAGATGCAGTGGGAGTGCATGAAGAGCTGAATCCTGAAGCCCAGGCCCAAGGGGTCCCTCTTGGTCTTCTCCAGATACAAAGCTGGCAGAATGCTCAGTCCAAAGATGATGGGAGCCAAGTACAGGCCAAAGATCGTCCAAGAAGATGTGAACCAGGACATGGAACGATCTACGCCATCCATAAAAACAGCAACCAGCAGAGCAAGGCCCACTGCCAAGACCAGAGACGTAAACTGGATAGCAATGGTGATGGAGAAGCGGAGGAGGACTCCCTTCCAACTGCATCCCGAGCGAACGGACATGAAGTAAAGGGATATCCCAATTCCCAGCAGTGCCAGCAAGGTAACCACCACATTGACGATGATACTCGTCGTCTCCGTGTAGAAGATCATGAACCAGCCAAGGAAGTCGTAAAAGATATTGTGTCCTTCGGAGTGAGCCTGAAATGGGATTGGGATTAGTGATCTTCTCATGAATTTGATCTCATAAACTCACGGCAATATCATCCAACTCCTCGGCATTGGCCAAGGACCGGGCTAGTGATAAAACATTATCGCCAGTGTGCTGGAAAGAAGCCCTCGGAAAGGCGTTGATCCTGTCGTACTTGGTGTGGTAGACATAGCCGTTGAAGATGTAAGCCATGTCCAGACCAGGAACTCCTCCATAATCACGAAAGATGCGGAAATCCGTGTCGGAGGGAATATAACCAGCTTGGAAAAGTTCCTCGGCCAGCGTATTAGCAAAGGGATGCGGGACATTCCGGTAGTAGTTCATCAGCCAGGGATGATTGGGTCCGGACTGGAACAGGATCTCACGGCCACCACTGCCGGCTGAATCCAAGTTAATCAGAGCTCTGAGGAGATGATAACCAGACTATTTATTTAGGACATTATAGAGTAATCGATCTACCACTCACTTGCAGTTCTTGGCCCACATGTGCTGGGTGATGAAGGCGTGGGATGCCTGAAGGGGATTCTCCTCGGCTCCGTTGAACAGGAAAACAATGGGATGGGCTAGTGGACCGTCTGACTTGGCTATGACACGCATCACCTCCAGCATGGTTACGACCATGGATCCATCGTCGCCGGCTCCTGGACTTCCGGGAACCGAATCGTAGTGACTGTTGATCAGTAGGTAGTTCTCATTGGTGGAGTTCTTCTCGGATAGCTTCACCACCACATTCTGGATGCCCTGGTACATGTTGACCATCTCCCAGTGCATGTATGCCCCACTCGCCTGCTGCACATTCACCTCGATCTCAAGGTGGCCGCTTAGCTCGGCCTCAACCTTGGCCACCTCGGCGCGCAGAAACTCCACGGCGGTCTCCTCGTTAGCCATGCTGCCCACCACTCGTGGTCCAATGCGGGTCAGCTCAATCAGTGTGTCCTCAGCTCGCTGGGCAATGAATGAGTCCGGATGATTGGCCTCGTCGCTGCGGGTCAGTGGCCGGGGCATATGGTTCATCTGGGTGTTGACCAGCGAGAGGTAGAGCACCAGCCAGAAGCCGAAAAAGGCGGGAGCGTAGTACCATTGTAGCTTTTTGGGCACCTCAAAGTCCACATCGATGTGATATTTGGAGTTGAACTGTCGGATGTAAGAATAAGTTGACGGGTCTTGATTGTTGTATTTTCCTTGTTTTAAATGTTGTTAAATTTAGTTAGTTTCATTGCAAAACATGAATTGTTTTTTAGAGGATTAAATTATAAATTATAATAATGAACGGCCTAAAAAATTTCTAGAGAAATCGCTATAGGGAACACCCCAGATTCCATTATAACAATTATAGCCTGGCTTTATGGCTAATCAATATCTAATCTTGGTCTGGCAGCTGCATGTCTAACAGAAAAAGTTCCGAACTAAAAGATTTAATCGAACGTGTTGGCGGAATTGGCTTCTGATCTGGAACGGACTGCGAACGTCTATGCAAACCGAATTAGGTGTGGTTACTGACACTCTTAACAGCGAACTCCCGAGGATATCAGGTGGGACATAAACTTTTATTGCCTTGCAATCCATCCTAATCGATAAGCGTGCTCAGAGGCATGCTCCTTAATTTCCTTTTGATTTTCTGAGCAAACAATTCTTGACATTGAAATCGTGCTTCGTCGCGTGTTCACATCATGATTCACGGGCGTGTGGTCAACGGAGGAGATTGCCGAGGAGGACCATAAAACCACTGAAGTTGCTGTCATAAACCCCGATAAGACCTTAATAAATAAGTAACAGCAACGTTTATCGCACGGACAGGCTAAGAAATTCGCCAGTTTGGCTATTCGCGGCCTCTTTGAAGTATGTAATTCTTTGAAGGCTTTTTAATCGTTTTGATATCTTTACGATCTTTTATTTTTAACTATATCAGTTTCGCTGACTTTCCATGACTAAACATTGCACATTGAACAGAATCCTGATAGCTAATGATCTTAATCCCCATCAATTTATTACAATTTGTTTCATTGCAGGGGTTTTAATTCACATTTGTGAAATTGTTTCGATAAGATTACTGAAATATAGACTTCACGGAGTGGCACATTCGTTAAATTGATAATGCTCCCTTCTTATTTATTATCTTAAAGATTAATAAAGGTTGTTGCATTTTCTTTTTAAATGCCTTGTTAGCCAACACGGACTTTCACGGGTTTTCAATTTTAAATCACTTCAGATACGTACACTCATTTTGTATTGCTATTTGTTCACTGGTATCCGGTTTTCACACTTAATGTATCCTTTAAAGGACACACCCTTGAAGGATTATTCAGAACACTGCCGGACCGATCCGGTCTTCCAATCCGGGGAACTCAGCCTTCGAGTTCCAAGTGAAGTACCATTCGCTCTGGTACCCTAAAGATATATGAAGCCCAGCGACATTGAAGGTCTGGGTAATTTTCGCCAACGAGGGGAAATTATCGGTAAAATCGGCTACAATCTGATATCGGAACAGCTGCCCGATACACGAGCGTGCTAATATAACACTTTCGGGCTTAAATGGGCGGGGATTTTTATTAGATTTCTTGTTTTCGCATTCGATGCGCCTACGTGGGGGCACCAGTTTTATCTTTATGGTGGAGAGAATGTCCAGTTGTATCGTAAAGGGTGCAGAAACAATTTCCTCGATATAGCTTTTGATTCCTAAGATACTCGATTAGGCGGCACTCGCGAATTGGTAGTTGTAAACTAAACGATGGCCATATAGTTATGGATAGCGAAATGTTAGAGTAATCCCGAGATGTGGCTCTTAGCTAGCATTGCCTCCGACTGAATGCCGTTGGCTTCCAGCTCCCGGGGCACACCCAGGCGAGACCCAGAGACCCCATGCCAATCCGAGTACCAGCCCCAGCACTTGTTTCGCCTTTTTACAGAGTTTACTAATTAATTTGTGCCCGGCTGTTGTACGATTGTCGCTGATTTCATTCCATTTTCGTTTATGTGTCATCCCACCTTTGTCTCGTCCTCCTCGGGGTTTCGGGTTCCGCTGATTTCGCTTGATTAACAGATTGTTTACGTATTTGAATTGCTTTCGCATGTATTTCAGATTCACCTGTCTATTGAATTGTCGCTGCAGGTTGTTCCGCCCGAGTGGATCCGATAGCTGGGAAACTGTCGGGCGGCTATCAAATTATGTCAACCGTTTTTTCGCTCGACTGCACGGAGCATAGAGAGCTAGCTACCTATCTGCCAGTTTCAGATGTACTTATCTGTATCTGTGAAACACCTTCGAAACATTACGGAGAAACTTTGGTAATTTCGCTTAGGTATATGTAATTATCAAAATAATCGCTGTATTTTTAGAAAGATATATTTTCTTAGCAAAGGGGAATTCTTCGTTATGGTATTACCAAAACAGACCTTTAACTTTACAATCATATAGCTTCAATACACATTTATTTATTACAATATTATTTTACGACTTTGGCAGTTAGGAACTTGTAAATACTCAATTAAGCGCTGACACTTGTCAAAACTGATAAAAATGGCTCAATAAAGCCGATACAAATTCCAGTTGCTATGCCCCTATTAAATAGGAAATTCTTTTCATAGTTTATTGGGTGTAATTCACAGTTACTTGGGTTTCATTATAGCAATTCATATCCATGGTAAAATATAAACAAGATTCTATTGTAATCATTAAAAAAGGTATTACCAATCTTACTTCTAATCATTTAGAAATCTTACTTTTTAGTAACATGTTTTTCCCAACTATTAAGATTACTTTAAAGACTTTCCTATTCATGGAAACGTGACAAATAGTTTCTTATAAAAAATCTTTAAAACTAGAATAACAAAAATACCTAATTACTGTCTGCAACTACGTGTAGATTATTTTGTGAACCAAACCCTTTGTGCAATTCCCAATTGTTTAGATTATATAGCCGCGATTCTTATCCGCATAAGAAATATAAATAAATTTGGAAACCGAAGCTATCTGATTCTTGCCAACTCAGGGGGAACTCGTCTCAAGTGTCGTTTGTCTGGCAAATCATTATCTCCCAAGCACTCTCACTTTCCGCAACTCAAATTGAGTTCAAGGAATCCACGAAATCACAGCGAGCTCCTACTAATACCCACTAATCGCCTGCACTTAATCTTGATTGCTGGCAATTACGTATGTAATCGGAATGCCAATACGGATGAAACAGGCGATGGATGGTCCTTCGCCCTGCTGCCCCCCAAATAGACCGTTGTACCTGTCAAATAATGTGATTAGGTGTCCGCCACTGATAACTCGATACTTGTGATAAGCCTCCGGCTCTTGAGCCGTGAGCCGTGAGCCGTGAGCACTGAAATCCGCAAACAAATCTCACACGTATAAAATCGCCACTGCCTCTGTCCGGTGTTTTAGTTGGCCTCCGTGCGGCAAGCGGTTACATTACGGTACTACGGATATCAGTGGATTTGGATTACTAACACCACACACGTGAGTGATGGAGTGAGGGAGAATAATAGAATTTCGCTTAGGTATCCCAATTATCCTGTCAAAAAATAGGATTTCGATTTATTTTCCAACGGTACAGATCAGTTTGACCAGTCGACAAGCCACACACATACACATGGGCGAGCGGGAGAAGAAAAGAAAGAGAGTGCAGCCTGCGTGCTCTCTGCCGCTTGGTGACCCTAATCTCCTGCCGGAGAAAGAGAGGGCCAGAGAGTTCTGTCGCCAAGCGAGCAGCGCAGCGCAGCAGCCGCAGACGACCGCCGACCGTCGAAGGCGACAGTTGTACTCTCCGCCTCCAATCAGCTGATCCTCATCATCAGCCTTTCCAATTGGACTCGCGATCGCTTCGCCCACAAGTTTCAGTTTATTTTCGGTCAGATGTGCTAATAATCCCGCGAGTGCCAACTAATTTTGCCGGCGTTCCCACAGTGCAAGTGATCGTCTTCCCATAAGACGGAAGATTCCTTCAGCTGGCCGAAGGTAACATAACAGTTGCCAGGCTTCTTTGGACTGACCGTCTCTGTCTCTGTCTCGGTCTCTGTCTCTTTCTTCGGGGGCTTTCTTTCAACAAACAACCGCAAGTGCTGCCGCAACTTCCTTTCTTCAGCAGGTTATTGACTCAAGCCCTTGCAGCGTGTCGCATTCTATGTGTATTTATGTTTGTATGCCGCCTGCATCTCCATTTGTATCTGTTTCTGTGACTCTGTCTGTGTCTGTGCTGGTGATTGTTTTCGTCCCAACTTCTTTTTTTTCCGATGCGTCTGCCTGAGTTTAGTCCAAACAAATGCGGTTCTTGTCGCGAGCTGTTGTTGTTTTCATACCTCGGAGTGGGAGAGTGAGAGGGGCATATAGGGCTGAATGATAATTATAGCATCTACATACAAGATAATGTAATTTTCAAAGACTTAACTGTGATCTCTTTTTACTCCTCTTGTCAAAGAAATAACCAGTAAATCTGACTAATAGATAGTTTAAAGCCCGGATTCCCAAGGCTGTGTACAGTGTATTCTACAATTTACAGTAAGTTTTTAAGCATTAAATAAAAACAATAAAAACTGTTGGAACTCTTGGTTGGATCTAGAGACATCCTAAAGAAAAAATATTCTTGAGCAGAGATTTCCATAGGATTCCAAGGTATCCAACAGTCCGCACCATTCCTACCTGTTTGTTGCTTTTGCCGGCTTTTTATTCCCGTTGTTGTCACAGTTGATTGCCGACGCCTCTGCAAGCCGAAGTTTTGTTTGGGATTTTCCGTTTTCTTCCAATTCCTCTCATTCAAATTGGCTTTAAATAGTTCTTCTACTCCTCCCCCTACATATTTTCTTTTTTTATATCAAGTGGGCGTGGCTGCCGCACAGAGAGTTCCCTCTGTTTGTTTGTTGTTGTTGGTTGAGGAAAGTGATTAGTTGAATCGATAAGGAGTGAAAAACGAATGGGGAGATTACTTTTGCACATCCCATTTGTTTTTTTGCTCGTCTCACTTTTAATCGCCGAGAAGTTGCCTTCACGCTCCTCTTCTTGCCGCCGGCGCGGGTCACCTAGAAGTCAGTGGAAAATGGGTCGATGTTGCACTGTAATCCAAATGGTTTTGGTATTTTGCATTCGGTCGCGTAAAACAGAGAAAATAAAAGCATTCCTCTTAATTGCCTCGCTAGCCAGTACTTTTTCTGACCCTCCCTCCCAGGCCAGTGCTTTTATTCGTTTTTAGGACACACTTGCCGTCAGTTTTTATTTTAGTGGCCATTCATGTAGAAATCTAGAAATATTTGCACAGTTTAGTGGGCTATTTAAAATGGAGATCAAGCATTGGGAATACTAAAGGAATGCTTTATAAATTTGGATAAATGCCATTCACAGAATCATAATGAATCTAGCAACTAACAAATCATTTTTGGACATAAACCAATTAACTTTATTAAATACGTTTCACTTGATATCTATCTTACTTTCCCCTATGAAGGAAAATACTTTACAATAGAGGAAAACCAATGAAATCATCATTTAAAATTCATTGACAAACAACACAACAATAGCGTATTTCCTCGGCTGTGCAAGCAAACAAACAAAATTTGTTATTAAATATTTCCCACACGAAAACTCAGCCGCATCACATGTGTGAACATTAAACGATATTATATATGTATTTAGCCCAGTTGGCTATAAATAAGCATGAAATACCGCTCAGAAATTACAAAATGTGTCTCGTTCAATGCTGATTTGTGCCGAATGCCGATGTTTAATTTTCTCAATTTGTTAGATTCCCAAACGTCGAATATAAATATGGACTCATTGTTTATTTTTTAAAGGCTGCATTATTTCAATGTCGTTGGCTAATCGGCCGCCGTCGATACTTTTCATTTAAACGGCAAGTTTTTATTTCGTTTTTTGTGCCGAATGGTCAACAGATGTTTTCCGGTCTGCAATTTGAGTTGTATTTTATCTAGGTCTAGCGAAAAAATTAGCTATGAAAATGAAAATGTGCCAACATTTTCTTTGTATTTTTTGGGCCCCCAACTTTTGGGCACTCAAGATTTCGTAGCCTACTTCATTTCCTGCCCACTTGACACTTCGTAGAAAAGATAAGTATTATCTATGGCAGATGCTTTCCATAATCACTCTTCGGATTTGATAATGGGGAGTAATCATCGGACAGGAACCTCATTCATGTTTCCAAGTTTTGTGTTCATGGCTATCAACATATTTCCTGATTGATTTTGAATGGAACTCGGATGATAGTGGAATCTATTTTCCGTGACAGCTTTAAGTTGATCGCACTCGCTTATCACGACCCCTAATTATTTAATCGATGCTTGAGGCTCAAGTGGCTGCATTAACCGAAGCCTTTCCCCTAATCCTCTGGGCACGAGGATCGATTAGTGGCGATGACGCGACATTCACATAAACATGACCACAGAGCTTTATCAGCCGAATGTGTCACTATCGGAATGCGACAATTGAACCAAATTAGTGGGGTGCATTGACTCTGATGCTCTTCGTTTTTGGTGACCAATAAAATGTATTTGTTTAACCCTTTCAGGCCACAATGAAATCAAAGTACGAGAACATGAAGATCATCTACAATCGTAGCAAGATCGGCTGGTACTGGGCCCCGCTTTTTGTGTCCTGCTGGTTCCTGCTCTTCTATCTGGTGGTCATACCCAGTTTCCACCGCATGCCAAAACTGAAAACCCTCGAGGATGAACTTCAGGAGCCGGGTCAGTTCATTGGTGAGCGGGCTGAGAACACTCTCTTGAGGCTCACGAAGATCGGTCCCAAGGTCGTGGGTAGTGCGGCCAACGAACAGGCAGCCGTCCAGTTCCTGCTCAGCGAAATAGGCGACATCATCGGTGAGGCGCGCTTGGACCTCTACGATATCGAGAAAGATGTCCAGGTTGCCTCCGGAAACTATCTCCTCTGGTCGATGGTCAATGTCTATCAGAGCATCCAGAATGTGGTGGTAAAGCTGACGCCTAAGAATGCCACCAGTGAGGCTGCCCTTTTGATCAATTCCCACTTTGACTCCGTTCCGGGAAGCTCGGGAGCTGGAGATGCAGGCATGATGTGTGTGATCATGCTGGAGGTCCTGCGGGTGATTACGAAGTACGAGACTCCACTCACCTACTCGGTGGTGTTCCTCTTCAACGGAGCCGAGGAGAATCCGCTGCAAGGCAGTCACGCCTTTATCACTCAACACCCTTGGGCGCAGAATGTGAAGTAAGTCAAGGCAGCCATATTTAAGTGAAGTTTATGGAAACTAACTAACTTAATCTTTGCAGAGCTGTCATCAACTTAGACTCTGCTGGCAGCGGAGGACGAGAAATCCTGTTTCAATCCGGACCCGATCATCCTTGGCTGATGAAGGTATACCTTGTTTTCACTTATTTTGGATTGTGATTCATCCTATTCATATCTTTGCAGTACTACGGAAAGAACATAGTTCATCCATTTGCCTCCACTATCGGAGAGGAATTGTTCCAGAATGGCTTCGTCCCCTCGGAGACCGATTATCGCGTGTTCCGCGACTACGGCCATATACCCGGTAATATAAAGTGAAGTACGAAAACACCTAATCTCTAAAACTTCTGGTCTGTCAGGTCTTGATATGGCGCAGACTTTGAATGGCTATGTGTACCACACCAAATACGATCGCTTTAATATCATCCCACGGCGCACTTACCAGCTGACTGGCGAGAATATCTTGGCTCTGGTCAAGGCCCTGGCGAATGCAGAAGAACTGGAGAATCCATCGGTAGGTCCCCTAAAAGACTTTTAGAAGAATATACCCTTTTAAGAGAAGTCTTTGTCATTCAGAAATACGCCGAGGGTCATATGATATTCTTCGACATGATGGGCTGGTTCTTCGTCTACTATCCTGAGAGCACGGGCGTCATCATCAACATATCCGTGTGTGTCCTGGTGTGCATCACCATTGTGGGTTATATCTGGATCATGTCCAGCAGTACGGGCATGTTCCGTCGACGCATCTGGGCAAAGTTTGGCATTCTCACCGCTCTTCAGGTTACTGGTGTTGCCTTAGGCATCAGCCTGGTTATGGGGATAGCCTTGTTTCTGGATGCAGTGAATCTTCCCATGTCCTGGTTTTCCCAAAACTGGATGCTCTTTGGCCTCTACTTCTGTCCAATGATATTCGGCATGGGCATAGTGCCGGCTATCTACTTCAGTCGCACCAAGGAGGTGAGTTAGCACAAGGTTTTAAGTTTAAAGAGTCTTTTAAATCCGTTTATTATTATTTTCTAGCATGGCTTGCCTTTGGGCTATGGCATTCAGCTCTTGATGCACTCTCATTGCCTAATCCTAACCGTTGTCACCGCCATAATGGTGAGCTATGGCATTCGATCGGCCTTTGTCATAATGCTCTGCATAGGCTTCTACACACTGTCTGTGCTGGTTAACATGGTTACCAAGGCCCATAAAACAAGTGAGAAGATTTTTGATAAATATGTTTATTAATAAATTATAATGACTTTATAATATATATCATAGATTTCCTCTGGCTTATACCACACTGCACGTGTCAGGTGCTGCCCTTCCTGTTCTACACGTACTGCTGCTACGCCTTCTATGTGGTTTTTGTGCCCATGCAGGGACGCGAATGTAACACCAATCCGGAGATCTTGATGGGTTTCTTTACAGCTCTGATGGTCCTACTATTTGCACCTTTCCTGGTGCCTTTGTTCTGCCTGTTCCGCAAGTCAAAAACCATTATCTCATTTTTTGGGATCTGCACGATTGTATTTATTATATTAGCTGCCACACCCATTGCCTTCCCCTATGCCGAGAAGACAGCAGCCCAACGATTTTTCGCTGTGGTAAGTTGATTTTGTATACGTTTTTACTTACAGATATTAATTAACATTTCCTTCTGCAGCACACAGCTCGTACCTTCCACAATGGCGATGCTGCAAGCACTGTTAGCCACACGGATTCGGGTTACTTTGTCCTTCCTGTAGATCGACGTCCTCACACTGTGGATGACATTCTCTTTGAGAACACCAACTTTACCAAGGCAGACCGTATGGATTGTGATTCGGAGCTTATGTGTGGCTTTCCTATATACAGCTCTCGTTGGCTAAATGCAGTGTAAGTGGAAACAACTTTTAAAAACTTTCCTTTATTTACATTTTTGTGTTTTCCGTCAGTGACAACAGCTACTTTGTACCTGGCCCAGAACCCAACAAGGATTATATCCCTACACTGACCATTTTGGATAAAACGAGTAGTTCGGCAACGAATATTAAGTTCGATCTAGAGATTTCTGGTCCAAGTCACACAAGCATATTCATTCTACCCTTAAACGATAGCAAGCTAGTGGATTGGTCATTCATCAGAGATCCAATAGACACAGATGTAAAGCCTCCTTACTATGTGTACTGGTCGTATGCCTTGGATCCCAGGCCACTGCAGTTTTCTCTAGAATTCGAGGTAATTAAATTCTTAAGTATTATATTCCAGTATAATTATTGTTGAAACATCTTCCGCTAGCACGACGATCCTAACTGGTCGGGGGGCACCTTTAAAATTGCCCTCATGGGCCACCGAATACACGACGACATGTACGTAACGGAGGACTTCAGGCAGTTCCTGGCCACGTTTCCACCCTGGGCGCACGTTAGCTCCTGGCTCGGTTCTTACAACAGTTGGCAACTCTAAACGGAGGTCCAAAGTTCCTCTACGAACTCAACTCAATCCCATATTTGCCATGACACCTCAGCTACTGTTAGCCTTGGTACTACTGATTATTCGTACCATTAACCCAAATCCAACGAACAAAGTGTCAATGCCCATGGCACGTCCTAACTTGTAATTGTATTTACGATTAGAACACTGTAGTTACTACTTTGTAATTTTATTAAAATATACTATAAATTATTTATTAAGATAAGCCAACTTTGGAGTCTATATTCTCATCGCCGCTCATACGATCCAGCTCTCGAGGGCCGAGAACCAGTCGGTGGTGTAGGTCCACTCGGGGAAAGTTGCAAGGAACTCTTTGTAGTCCTCAGTGTAGTGCTCCGGATGGTACTGGAAGTGCTCCGTAACCACTAGCTTCATGTAGGGTCCGTCTGTGTTGCTCTCCTTATGCTCGAGCTCCACCCAAAAGTTAAGGGGCTCCTCGGTTTGCGAGTATATGGCATAGATTAGGTACGGCGGTATGTGCTGTTCCTCCAGAGGTGTCTGGTCGAAGGACCAGTCTGTGACCTTGACCTGATCCAAGGGATCTATGTACATCATGACACGATCACTGGCCCTCAGGTTGTACTCATAGCGCACCTTGTTGCCTCCCAAAGACTGCTTTGATAGCTGGGTGAGATTTATGTTCATTGGAAAAACTGGTGGTGTGCTGTAGATCCAACGAGCGGAGTCTCTGTGATGGTAGATAAAGAGTTAATAAGAAGTTAGGAACGAGTTTTACTCTTCAACTCACTTCCAATCTATCCAACGACCACTGTATAATGGCAGTCCGCAGTAAGGCTCAGCCGCACAGGTGGCTGCTGTCCAACTCTCCGGCTCCGCGTTCTTAAATGTAGTGTCATCCAATTCATGGAGACGCGTATCCACAGGCTGAATATAGTAGCCGGAGTCCTGTTTGACAGTGCCATCCAAGTTGTGGAAAGTTCGTTGAGTGTGCTGGAGAACAAATTGAATGTAGGAGTGATCTATGTAACACTTATATAACAGGAGACTTACTAGCACATAATAACGCTGGGGAGCCACTTCCTTCACGAATGGAAAGCCGGCCGATGTGCAGGCCAAGATGATGAATATGATTGTGATCACTCCAAACGAAGAGAATACAGTCTTGGGCCTGCGGAACTTGTGCATGATGGGAATCTGCAAGAAGACATCTTAAGATCATCTTACAAATAGGAGGTTTATGTAGTAAACTTACAACAAAGCCAGCGTAGTTAATTGCTGTTGCAATGATAAACACAGAAACCATTACATCCGGGCTGCTCTCTGGTCCGTCGCGGCCTTCCATGGGCACGAAAGTCAGGAGTGTGGCATAGCAGATGTAGGTGTAGAAGAAGAAGGGCAAGATCTGGCACAGCAGGTGAACCGTGACAAAGTAGCTTTCTGTGAAAAAATAATCTTTTAGAGATCTTAAAACCAAGTAAAAATAATGAGAAAACCCACTTTTAAGCGTAAGCTTCAGGATGATTTGGATCAGAACGGAAATGGCGTAGAAGAAGATGCCGACCATCGGGAAATAGCTGGAGCGGATGCCCATGCTGGTCATGATGATGCAGAGCAAGGCCAGCAGAATGCACTGGGCGTGCATGAAGCAGGCGATGGTCTGATCCAACTTCATGTTGGTTTTCCTCTTCGTTAGTCCAATATAAATCGAAGGAAATATGCCAAAGACGAAGAACAAGGTGCAGAAATACAGGCCAAAGGCCATCCATTTTCCATGGTACCAGGATTCAGCCAGACCCACGCCTTGCATAAAAACAGCCACCAAAAGGGTCAGACCACATGCAACGAATAGAGTTCCAGCTTGGACCAGGAAGATGATGCCGAATCGCATGAGCACCGCCTTCGGAGCATCTGCACCATTGTCCAGTGTCATGATGTAAACAGAAGTGCCAATGCACACAAAGGCCGCCACGGAAACCACCACATTGATGGCTATGCTTACGGATTCGGTATATGTCATCATAAACCAACCCAAGAAATCGTAGTACACAGTATGTCCCTTCTCATGGGCAGCGGTGTCATCCAACTCAGGAGCATTAGCTAGGGCCCAAATCAGGGGTAGCACATTTTCTCCGGTGGACTGGTAAGTTCCACGCTCCACATTCCGGAAGTTATCGAACTCGGTGTGGTAAACATATCCGTTCATCACGCTGGCCATGTCAAGACCGGGAACTCCGCCGTAATCACGGAAAACACGGAAGTCTGTATCGGAAGGTATGAAGTTATGCTGGAACAGCTCCTCGGCCAGGGTCTGGGCATATGGATGTGGCACGCTGGCCTGATAGTATTTGGCCAACCATGGGTGGTTGGGACCCGTCTGGAAGAGCACCTCGCGTCCACCGGCGCCAGTGGAGTCCAGGTTCACCAAAGCTCTGAATTTCATTAAGGGAAAATGGGTAAAAGAATAGGGTTTCTACACGGTATTCTTCTTAGAAATATTTTTTGTCTATTACTTCGCAAATTAAGATATATCCTAGCAAAACTAATAATCTATGACTACTTTTATGCATCTTACTTGCAGTTCTTGGCCCATTTGTGCTGGGTAATAAATCCATGGGAGCCCAACATGCAGGCCTCCTCGGCGCCGTTGAACAGGAAAACCACCGGATGGATAAGGGGTTTCTCGGAGAGCGAGATCACTCGCAGGGTTTCTAGCATAACCACTACCATGACGCCATCATCTCCTGCAGCAGGGGTTTGGACTTCGGAATCGTAGTGGGAGTTCACCAGCAGATAGTTATCATTGTCTGAACTCTTCTGGGATATTTTCACCACCACATTGGAGAGATTGGTGTAGGAAATGGTCATGCCCCACAAATAGAAGCCACCTGAAGAGTACTGCGTGTCCACTTCTATGTCGTAGAGATCAGTGCGGGCCTCGTCCTTGATCTTCTGGATCTCCCGAAGCAGAAAGTTTACCGTGTGTACCTCATTGTTGATGGAACCGCTCATTTTGTTACCGATTGCCGAGTACTCGGCCAACTGTCGCATCGCCCGCTCTCCGATAAACTCATCTGGATGCTGTGCCTCCTCGTTTTGGTACAGCATCGTCGGATAGCTGTGGAAACTGGGCAGTACGGCGGCGTAGAAAAGAACAAAGGCGGCAGCCGCGTAGAGCGGGGCTCCGAACCAAGGCCATTTCTTATCCCTGGACTTGCCGCCATCTTTTTCGGTCGTAATGTCAAGGATTGAGAACGACATCTGAAAAATCCCGATCGGTTAGAGATATTGATCGTCCTGCATAAATCTTTATTTCTAAATTTAATCTTATCTTGGAAAAGATAATAAAAAAAATAAATCCCATTTACAAAGGTTTAAATCAAATAAGTTATTTTGTTGCCTATTTTTGCGCTTCCAAAATATATAACATATTTTAAACGTTGCCTGCTTTCCGGCACTCCAAAAATTAGAAGTATATTTTACGATCTTTCAAATTGCACTCATTTATGATCTAGGATCAGAAATAATTTATTAATGTTTCATATAGTACAAGTGTTTTCGGAATCGAGGTCTGCCGATCTACTTCAACCCACAAATGTGTCAAAGTATTAATAATGCTCTCAGAATAAAGAACATAAACTTCGTTGGGGAGTGTAGAAAGGTCGTAAAGCAATTAGCACCCTAAAGAGCACTTGGAGCACTTTATGGTCTTAGAAAATTTCTCAAATTTCTAAAAACAGCAATCGATAACAAAGCTAGGTCTCATTTTATGGCCAGTATAAAGTTCCTTATCGCCTATGGATACTTAAAGGTAGCGAAGAAAACATGGCTCATATGGTAAGAAATAATATATCACTTGGCAAGAAACCCTTTTAATTTGAATTCTTCCACTAAAACCACGAGCTTATCTCCAGACATGCCTTTCACTTTTTCGACAGAAAGCTTTATATTTAAAGGAAACTCCACACTGAGGACACTTGGAGATCTTAATCAGCGGAACACGGTGAATTATGGTTAGGCACTAACCTTCAGATCGCACGCGACTCGGACCTGAATCAAACTCGATGAAATACAACCGCACCAGAGCCCAGCCGTTGGGCAACTAAGACGCCTCTAGCCAATTCCCAAGAATTAAGTAGGGCCAGGTTCAGCGCCGCGGATCGCTTATCGCCCCCAATGGCAGCGATAATAATTAAATATTATGATTATAATCGTTGGTTCTGGCGCATAAAACGATTACATCCTGCGATAGGCGATACCAGAAGCTGTTTCTCTTTATAACTTTTTATAGGCCAGTTGTTAACGCGATTAGGAATATTATTTGGCATGGATCTTTCGGTGGGGTCCAAAAACTAAGAAATCTACAAAGGTATAATTAAGATAAATTACCCTGGTAATTTGGTAATTTTCGGAAATACGACCTTCTTATCGCTCCACATAAATCCTAAACGTGTAAGTCAGATAAGGGCTGATTAACCTTATAACTTAGAATTTGGACTCTTTTCATGGCAAGGGGTTAAGCTAATGGTTATTCTATACAATATTCCATAACTATTATGATAGTAAAAGGCCTTTCAAGAAAGTACCTTAGACAAGGAATGGTAATGACCTAGAAATTCATTATTTAAAAAGCTAGGTGTTAAGCTCCAAAGTAATACGTTATATGGAGGTTGTATATTAGATTAGCAGCAAAGCCATATCTTTTCTCTGTCTACTTTATATTAGATTATAATTTCACATACTTATAAAACTGTCTTAACAGGATGTTTGGTATAACAATGCTATAAACTACTATGAAGATCTCTCGGAACAGAAAATGTTGGCTCCCACGTTTATTTAATTTTAATCCACTCCATAGATTACCATCGACATTGTTCGGCTACTCATGCTGATAAGCACCCCTGCATATTAAATTATCAAATGCTAATCTGACAATCTGCCGTCGAATCAGTCTGCATCACACTCTTCGTGAATGGGCTTTGTGAAATTTCTCGCATTTGGGGAACTACGGGTGGTTTCTTCTTGGAGCCACAAGCTGTTTTAACGATGCCTTATAAATTATAAATCTACTGCCGATTATACCCCGACGAAGCCATAAAACTCAAGTCTATAATACGGATTTTGGTAAGAATGTACCGAAAGAATACGTACACTTCAATGGCAAAATAAGTCGAAAATTCCTCATCTGCGAAGTCAAATGCTACATTTTACACTCTTATGACATGTGTAAAATACATTCTACGTGTATGTTTTACGCAACTTCAGGTGTGCTGGAACTTCCACAATCGGAACACTTTGATATTGGCCGCTTGGCTTATGGGATTAATTATAAATAATTACTAATAAATGAACAGCCCAATAAAGCTGAATGGGCATAATTGACGCCAATCAATCATTGAGTTTGTCCATATCTCAAAAACAAAGTTCGCCCGATATTTGTCAACATTTAAGTGTTTATTTTACTTAGGTATAAAAAATCTACAGAATTTAATAGTCTCTCTAGTAGATCCGGCTCTCAAACGAAGCTGGCCAGGGGACGGCATCCACATATTTGGGGAAACTGTCAAGGAACTTCTTGAAGTCCGGCGTTAATAGGTCCTTATGATGGGTCCAATGGCCTCCAAGACCCAACTCAAGAGTAGTTGAGTTGAAGTTTCCATTGGGTTTCTGGCAGGAATAGAATATGCTCATTAGTAACTGATCTTTTTATGATGTTTATAACCTACCTCTAGCTCTAGCCAGAACTTAAGGGGGTCTCCATTGACTCCCCAAGAGAAGTAGATAAAGTAAGGTGGCTCAAAGTTCAGACGCAGTGGAGCCTGTAGGCATTAAGTTATTAATATATGATTCAGTATCAAAAATATCATGAATCTTACTTGATGGAAGGACCAGTCCTTCACCGAAGCTCCATTCAAGGGCTGAATGAACAGCGCCATGTGATTAGGTCCACTTAGCTGCATTTCATAACGAATTTTAGTGGTTGTAAGCTGTTTTTTGGATAGCACAATAACAGTGGGCAGATTCTCGCCAAGAACTGGTTCAGAAGCGGGAATCCACAAGCTGTTCTTTCTGTAAAAATGATGATGGCCAAAGTTTAATAATTGAAGATTTTACTTTTGTAGATGGCATTACCTTGTCTTATGCCAACGTTGGTTGTACAACGGCAATCCGCAATTGATTTCCTTATCGCAGTCAGAACCAATCCTTTGGGCAAGAGTCATGTTGATAACAGCATCTGAAAGACAGAAAATCCATAAATAAGTACATTAATCTCAAAATTAGAGTCCAGAACAACCTACTTTTGACTGTGTAAGTGCGTCTGTCCTGAGGCATAATAAAGTAACCAGATTCCTGACGGCGCACATGGTTCTCGGCGTCGTGGAAGGTACGTTTGGTGTGCTAATAAAAAAGAGCGACCCCTTAAGTAAACTGATTGTTAAATAACTGCGTAATTTCTTACCAACACAGCGAATCGCTGGACATTGGTTTCCGGGCGATAGGGGAATCCCACCGGTGTCATTGCAATGATGAAGCACAACAAAGTAATGCCCATCAGGCCACAGATAATGGTCTTCGATTTGTTAAACAGCTGGAGAACAGGAATAATGAAACCGCAGCACAGGAGGCCTACGGCAACACTAAAGACAGCCACCGCCAGATCCGGGTTAAGGTTCTCGCCAAAGCGACCGAACATGGGAATGAAGGTGGTGAAGAATCCGTGCGAGAAGTATGCGAAGAACACAAACGGTGGAACAGTGCAGACAATATGAGGAATGACCCAGGCCACATCTGTTAGAGATAAGATATTTAGAAAAAATTAAACTACAGATGATCAATTTTAACTTACCCTTGCTGTGCAGTTTGGTGGCAATGTTAATGATCAGACCCACCGTGTAGAACAAGCAACTAAGCATCAGTACAAAAACAGAGCGAACTCCGCAGATGGTGAACACCAGGGTAAGGAAGGCCAAAAGAACGGCGTGGCAGTGCAGCAAAAGCTGAACCCGCTGGCCAATGGGAAGTTTATTCTGGGAAAGATCTTAATTTAGTTCCATATTCAAAGATAAGAAGAACATTTGGCTTACATGCTTGGTCCAGTGGAAGTACAGAGCAGGCACAATGGCCAAACCAAAGAAGAATGTGGTAAAGTACAGACCGAGTACTAGCCAGGAGTTCGTGAACCACGACAGGGGCAAATGCACAGCGTCCATGAAAAGACCAAGCAGAATCGGCAAGATAGCTCCCACGACAATAGATAGAATCTGGACAAGCAGAGTGTGTAGGACCTTCTTGAGGATTTTGTCAAGCTTTATGCCAGAGCTGACCGACATCAACTTGAAGGCGAAGCCACAAACTCCGATGGTTGTCAATGACACAATAACGTTCAATATAACGCCCTCGGTTTCGGTGTAGAAGACCAGGAACCAGCCCATAACATCAAAATAGATAGTGTGTCCCTCGGCGTATTTCTACAGAATGAAACAGAAACTCAGTTGAGCAATCATATAAAGATTAGCAATCACCTTACCGAGGAATCCTCAATCTCCGGAGAATTGGCAATCTCTCGAACCAAAGCCAGCAGATTGTCGCCGGTGTGCTGGAAACTTCCTCTGGGAAAGATATCGGCGGTGTCGTGGCTCGTGTGGTAGACATAACCGTTATACGTGTAAGCCATATCTAAGCCGGGAACCGATCCATGGTCACGGAAGATGCGGAAATCCGTGTCAGAGGGAATGAAATTGTGCTGGAACATCTCCTCGCCCATGGTAGAGGCATACGGATGCTTGATGGCCCGCCGGTAGTTCTTCATCAGCCAGGGATGATTGGGACCCGATTGGAAAAGAATCTCCCGACCGCCATTACCACAGGAATCCAAATTGATGAGAGCTCTTAAAGGGATAGAGGAAAGTATGAGAAAATTGGACCAATAAGGAGTACTCCATTGACCTACTTGCAGTATTTGGCCCACTTGTGTTGGGTGATGAAGGCATGGGAGGCCTGCAGGGGATTTTCTTCGGCTCCGTTGAACAGGAATACCACTGGGTTCTTTAGGGGCTTATCGGACTTGGCCAGCACACGTAGTACCTCCATCATAGTAGCCACCATTGAGCCATCATCACCAGCACCAGGACCCGCCGGCACCGAATCGTAGTGACTGTTTACCAGAAGGTAAGTTGTGCTGTTGGTTCCCTTGGGACTAATCTTGACCACAATATTCTGGATGCTCTGGTACATGTTGACCATCGACCAGTGCACATAGCTGCCAGAGGCCACCTGAACATCCACTTCAATATCATTGGCAGAGCCTGACCGTATTTTTTGCATCTTTTGGGAAAGCATCTTCAGGGCAGCCATCTCGTTCTGTCGACTTCCCACCACTCGGGGTCCCAGACTCACCAGCTCTCGAAGATTGTTCTCGGCCCGCTCGGCGATGAACTGGTCGGGGTGCTTGGCCTCATCCTGAATGGTCAGTGGTCGTGGCAGGCGGTGGCAGGCGGGTATTGAGATGGCCACATAAAGCAGCAGCCAGAATGCAAAGAAACCCGGTGCCCAGAACCACTTGATCTTGTTCCGCTGGACGAAAGCCCGCTCGCAGCCATTAGGTTGGGCCTGAAATGATGATGGTAAGGATTGAAATTAATTTATTTTCTAAATTGTAATTAAATGTTTAAAACTGCATATCTTGATAAGTTGCTGCTTTTTAAAGATACCAAAATATCTTACATTAGAATGAAAACTAAGACATTTGCTGTTCAAAGTAAACAATCAAATTTGTTGATAAGCCACGAAATCAAAGGCAGGGCATTGCAATTGAAGAGTTCAATGTTTGATCGAGTTATATCTAGTTAATCAAGTCTGTACTGAAAGCTTTTAATGCCTATTATTTTTCGGAAATTCCGCAAACAAGGTGTTATAGAAATGTTGAATGAATTTATCTAAATCCGCTAAATGATTAGCCCAGTTTCGGTTCGATTTCATTCACCGAAAATGGATTTTACCCAAACTAGATATGCATATACCCTTGCATACGTCTAGAACTAAATGTGAGTCAGTTTCGAAATTGGAATCGACTATAGGTATCAAGTCGAATGTTAGATTTAATCCATCAACAGTTATCTTATCGCTGGACAACCCGCCAGTCGGCGAAGTCACAGAGCCTGTTGCCACCGAAAATCGAATTGGTTATATGGGGATAGTACGGTTCCTAGTGTTAGGGCTGCTCCATTGAACTAAACCCAGACAGATAGATAAATGGAGGGTGCAACTAGGGCAGAATGGTCGCTGCTATCTCAAGGGTATCGACTGTTCGTTAATTAACGTTTCGTTTTCCGATAAGTGCTGCACTCACGCCGCCAAAAATAATCGACAGTTTCGGAATTTACCCATGGGTAATGCTCATGTTGCGGCTGCTTAGATCGCCAGAGATTAGCCCCATGCCACACCCAAGCGAAGAGCAATCTAATCAAGGACCCAAAGTGGGTGCTTACCTCATACTGGTGTGAGCCACGAGGTCGGAGCAATGGATCCGTATTCGGAGGATCGCTGGTAGGTGTTATTACGCGCCGCCGCACATTTTTATCGCTACCACTCATTTCTCCGGACTCCGCTGTTCGATTTCTGGCCTAGATCTACCGAAGAACCGATCGCGACGGCGTCTAATGCTCAACTGAACGCCCAACACCAATGGTTATCCTAAAGTACCGCGCAACTTGTGCCGGTCTCGTATTTCCTCTCCCTAAGAGAGCTTTAGTCTCTCGCCTACGCCATAGGAGCGTATCTTATCTATCGGTTCGTATAATTCGGATAAATAGTGGGGCAGTGGGGAGAAGTGTGGGGCCAACTTTTCATTAACAGTGGACTGCGAGAAATGCCTACATAACTTCCGCTCGCACTCAACATAATTCTGAACTTGACCAACTTGATATATCAATTAATTAGAGCGACGGTATTAAAAGGGCAAACTTTTCTCCCATGGTTCTAATCTCATTTTTCCACACTTGAAAAATTCATATAGGAATATTTTTCTTGAAATATCATTTAGTGATATCATTTTTTCTACTAGACTAAGGCTAATTAATCTCCACTATTTACTAAAAGGTGTTATGTGATAATGCTAACCCTATTAATTACTCCACTGCTTTAAATAATTTGTTAGTTTTAGCTGTTAAAAGCATAGATTGACTTTTCAGTAATAAAAAAGTTTTATAAGAACTTGCACTTGTTTTCTTTCAGTCTGCTCACACCTGAACTCTAGCCTAAACTTTCACAGCATTATGGTAATATTTGTGAATTTCTAACTCTTGATTGTTCGGAAAAAGATGTTGTCTTTGAATGACAGAGAAGTGAATATCAATATTAATATTTACGATAATATAGTGTACAATTTTGTTTAATATTTTAAACAAACTTATTTCTTTTTTTCTTTTTTTTATATGTATATATTTTGCTCTGATTCTCAAGAAACACGGTTAACTGCCTCCATCTCCACACAATAACAATACTTTTTTAAGAACACTAGTCCGATTTTCGCTAAGTGCAGTTTGCAAGTGAGAGAAGCAGGCCCACTATTTTCATTTTCAAACTGCAATCTGCATCCGTACCTTCGATCTTTTCTCCTCCGTTTCGCTGCTCATTTTCGGCGACGCTCTTCTTCTTCCCGTATCTTTTAGCGAAACCTGGTTTGTTGTTGCTGCCGCTGCGAGTTCCAGCCGTCGAGTGTTGAAACAAAGTTCCCGAAGCGCGGCTTTAATACCGCTCGTCTACAAAGCGTTGCGCCACTAACTGAATTATTCAGAATGGTCACCGTTTTGTTGACAGTTCTTAGTTGCTTTTATTTACACTTTTTACCGGCGCTTTGTTTAGACTGTTTGCTTAGGCAAATGTGTGAGTGTGTGTAAACAAAACAAAACAAAAACGACACTCGATTAAAATAACAATCGTTTCGATCGACTATCGCACTATAATAGGTTTTATCTAATCTGTAATTGCATACTTTCAGGCGGTAATTTAAGAATTACGTTACACTGGCCAGCAAAATAAATGGAAAATGGGACAAAAGGAACCAGGCATGCGGAACCGTTAATTTTGCTCATTTACAGTTATGAGCCCAGCGGGTGGCCTCTGTCTTTCCCTTTCTGGCCTGCATGTGCATTACGAAAACGATGACGTGAAAAACACAAACACACACATATAGAATCCCGTTCGGAATTGAGGACAACGTGCAGAACATGTGCCATAAAACGGGAAATGCAATGACGGGACCGAGGCGGGAAGGAAGTAAAAGGGAGAGGGACGTAGGCGCAGTGTCATTCAACCTAAATGGGAGAAGGAGACAGCCAGAGAGGGTGTCACTAGTGTGTATGTGAGTGTGAATTTACTCTCGTGGATTCATTCACTCACCAACACACTCGTCCACTCACTCACTTCTCCATTGATGCCTTGTGGCACTGAAATTCGTAAACAAAGCGTTCACCGGAACATGGTCCAAAGGATAATCGATAGAATGAACGCCTGCGAATGTGGGGAATCATCGGGAGAGGATCCACAATCAGAGCCACGGAAACACTGACCATCTACGAACTCAAGCTGCCAGTTATGGTCTTTATTTATGCCTAGTTTGAGACTTATTGAGTGCGAGAGAGAGAGGGCTTTAAATGCGCAAACGCGAGAGAGAGCAAGTGCCGGTTGGGGCCACAACCAAAACAAAGCGAAATATGTGTCAGCTGCTTCTTCTGCCCGCCTTTTCGACACAAATTTGCGCGTCCTCGTGCTTTTCGGACCTCTTGCTTCCCACTACCACCCACCGCCTCTCTCTTTTTTACGCGTTCATTTTGGGGCCACCTCCACAGCCCAACCACTCTCTCTCTCTCTTTCTTTTTAACCACTTTCTCCGCCGTGGAACCGCTTTGCCTACTACTAAAGTCTCAGTCGCGTTTCAACGCTCGAAGCTTTTGGTCGTGCTCGTTGCCTTAGAAAAGTTGAAAAGAAAGAAAGTAGGACTCAAAGGATCCCCATAACGGTACTGAAATGTGCTTGGAGTAAAAGGAAAAAGGGGCCGCGTGTCTATGTGTGCGCGTGTGTGTGTGCGTCTATCTCTCGGCCTGTTCCGTTTGCCTAGCTAAAAATAAAATTATATAATTTTTAATAAAAACCCCCCTGCGAATGCAAATCGTATCCACCTAAAAACAGAAAAAACAAGGAGCCGGAGCCGCAGTTAGAACCAGCGGAAGAACATACGGAATTTGTGAGTAACAGCCGCGTGATTGTTGGCCAGGCCAGAAGCGGGCCCAAAAACACGTGAAATGTTTGCATACTTAATGGAGGCGTGTCGTTTGTATTCAAATACTTAACTTGGCTCTTGTCTGCCAAAACATTGGATTAAAAAACGCGGCGCATGCAAATCAGTGTGATTTGAAAAAAACTCTTCGGAGAGTGGGACTTCACAGCTCGGGGGTTTCTGGATGGGGTTTGGGTATCCAACATTTATCGGAAACTTCTTCGACTGACTGGCCATATTTATTGCAAATCAATTAAAAGTTGTAATCAAAAGTTTAGGAAACCCAACTTTTGGGGAAACCAAATTGTCAGTTTGGAACTTTCAAATTGGTTTCCACATGATAGTTTTTGTTTATTGATTCCCATTAAAGTGGCCAATCGGATTTGGCTTTTAAAGAAAGCTTAATTTGCGGGTATTACAGGTCGTTGACCAAGCCGATTATCATTAGCCTCCCGTTAAAGTCCTCCACCCGCTGTCCCCTTGCGCTCAACGGTTCTAAATTTCCTTTATGCGACATTAACCCACACCAGCGACCAAGTTTTTCCTTATTTTTTTCCGTTCACTTTTGTGGGTCATAATAAAATTTTGGACAATGACACAATAGCGGCAAATCAGTGGCAGGATGTGAGGAGGACAAAGCGCACGCAAGGAAGTGGAACATGAGAGGAATAATAAAGGAAAACAAAGAAGGCGAAACAAAACAAAAACTGGTAAAAACCAGAAAACTTTTCCAGTTAAAGTTCTAAGTAGTTGGCTCAAGGAGAGTTTTTCCTAAAAAGAAAAGAGTCCCGCAATTGCCAGATTCGTGTCAGCACTAATGTTTTCTTTTTTGTAGTTCTTATATCCTTGGATTTTCAATTTAACCTTCTCACTCCCATTGACACCTATCGATTGTTTCCACAGCCACTAGTCAAACATTTTGGCTCCAATTAGGAGCTGCTTAGCTATAATTTGAATAGATTCCTTATAAGTTTCTCCCCCCCACCACCCTCCTCAAAAAACAGAATGCCGACAATTGTTTACAATGCTGGAAAATGTCACGGGAAAAGTTCAAGTCCTTGGGGGCGTAGCTCTGAGAAAGTTTCCCAGCTGCTGCTGCTGTTTTTAGGAGACAAAGGACCGGATTTCATCGAATTCGAGTCCTTGCTAATAGCGAATCGAGGCGGAGGCTCAAGGGATGAGCCCGCTGTATGGCTGTGGATAATGGATAATGCCGGAGTGGGTCTATTTTACCCCAACTCAGCCTAGTACGGGTCCCCTTTTTTATTCCCACACTTGACTGAGCCTGCTGACGATGCTTCTATTCCTTTACACAGAGGAAAGCTAAGCTTTTATGTTACATTTCAGATATATTCTTATTTTCCATTTAAATACTTCTTATAATAATACACTTTTCCTTTTATATGCCTCTATTTATATCACTTCATGATATGATGTGATCCTTAAACCTACCTTAAAAGGACATCTAGATATGCCATTTACAAAAAACATCAAGTTATTGCTATTTAAAAACTTTCTCTCAGTGCACTTTCTCTATCACCCAATTTTCCCTGGCTTTCCCTGGGTGCGTGTGTTACGCTTTTTAATGAAGTCATTTGAAGCATTCGCTGATTCGTTTGTGATTTATGAGCAGGCCCCACAAAGGCAGGATGAGCTTCCCCCCTTTTTGCACCTCCTCAAACACACACATACATACACACACAGGTGACAGGCATCAATCAGATGTTGTTTTTGTAGTTGTTTATCAAGTCATGGATGTTGTTTTTGTGTCTGGTTTAGGCATGTGCATGTGTGTGAGTGTGTGTGTATAGCTCCAGTTCACTTGTCACGATAATTGCTTCAAAATTTCTGGCCCAGGAGCTAACTGGATTAGGCTAATTGGCTGCCAGATGTTTTGGCTTTGGAATTTCATCTGGTCTTATCTGTTCGGCAAATACAGGAGCCATTTTGAATAACGTTAATTAGGGCAGCAGATTGCTGATTGCGAATTAAGCAGGTAAATAGTACTTAAAAGCAAAAACGTTTTTCCTAGAGCTCATTTTTCGCCATTTTCCAGCATTTCTGTCGGAAAAAGTAAAATTCTATTCCCTACCTTGGTCGTTTTACCTGCAGCTAGCGAGTGTTTAATTAATTACGCTGATATAATTGCGTATACGCCGCGTAAGCCCCGGATGAAAACTAACGTTTATCCCGCTGACAGGTTTTTAATCCCACCAACTTAAGTGCTTCAAGAGCAGTGCCCTTGTAGATATTTCAAGTTGGCGAGTCAATAACCTAATCATACTTCCCCCGACTATATATCCCACAACGATTGGACTATTTCATGCTTGATTAAACCAACGACCAAGCAAAAATACTTATAACTCAATGTCGAAAGTTGCTCT